CTCGGTAAGTAAAGTAGTTATCGTCGTAATATATAATCTAAAAAAGTAATTTATAAAGTACTTTTTTAAAAATAATATTAATTTATTTCTTAAAAATAAGTCGTTATTAAATTTATTTAAACTATTTATAATTTTTAATTATATATTTTAATTTATCGTAATTATAATATTTAAATTTTTTTTTTAACGGGATTAGTCTTATTTTATTATATTAAGGTTTATAAGTCCGCTATATTATTTATAAGTAATAGTTTATTAAAAGTTATTATTCCCGTTATAACGGTATCTTTAGTTAAAATTGCGTTAAAATTATTATTAATATTTACGTCTTAAGTTAAGTTCTTATCGTTATTTTTTTTTTCTTTTTTTTTTTATAAAAACAATTATCGATTTTAATTACGAATTTAATATATTAAAAAAAATCGTTTAATTTATCGATCTTAATAAGTTCGTTTTTAACCTTATTTTTTAATCTTTAATAAAATATAAAAATCTTAATATCGTTAATAAGATTAAATTAAGTATTAAAGCGTTTAAACTCAGCTAAATAGTTTTTTATTAATTTAATTTATTAAAATTATAATATATTACGCTCGGCTTATCGTTTTTTATTTAAATTTTAAAAAAGCGATTTAAAAATTTTTTTAAACTTATTAAAATTATAATAAATATTTCGTATTTCGATAAAGTATTTATTAAAAGTCTCTTTTTTAAAATATTTTTTTTAAAAAAGTTCGAATTATTTAAAAGTTCGTCTTTTAAAAAAGCTAATAGCGTATATAATTTTCTTAATTTCGTTATTAAAATTTTTTTAATAAAAATTCTAAAAGTTTTTAATTTAAATTAAAAATCTTTTTAAAATTCTAAAGGTCCTATTGAAAGTAATAGGTACGTTAAGTTTAAGCTTTTATCGTCCCTTAGTGAAAAGAATAATAATAATATTAACGGCGCTTTAAAACGTATTTATTTATTTAATAAGTTTTAAGGTTTTTTTACGTTTAATATTAAGTTTTTTAAATATAGTATTAAATAGTTTTTATATATAAGCGATATTATAGTCGTTTTTAGTTTAAGCTTTTATTAATTAAGTAATAGTAATATTAAAAAGGTTTATTAGTTTTTTATTACGTTAAATATTTTAATTAATAACGCGGCGTATTTTAATATATATTATTTTATTAAAGACCGTATCTTTATTAAAGTTATATTTAATATTAAGTATTTTTATGTTTTTTTTAGCTTAGGTTAGCTCGGCGTTTAAAACCTAGGGCTTCTTATTTTTATTAAAAGAAGATTTAATAAATATTATTTATACTATTTAATAAGTTTTTATAAAGTCGATTTATTAAATAAAAATAATTAAAATATTACGGCTAATTAGTTATAATAAGGTTTATATTAATAGAAGTCGGGGTTACGATATTTATAAATAATAATCATTATAAAAATAGTTTTTAATAAAGCTATTATTTATAAATTATAAAATAAATAAGGCTTTAATAATTAATTATAATTTTATTAAATAAGTTTTTAATAAAGATAGTTAAAAATAATTATAAGATTTAATACGAAGTTAATTATTAAAAAAGTTATAGAAGTTATAAATATAAACTTAGCTTAAGTTTATATTATATATAAGTCCCGTATATTATTAAATAGTTCTTTTATATTTAAAACCGATATCGTAAAATCGGTTTTTTAAAAATAAACCGATTTTTATTTTATTAATTTATATTTAAAAACCGCTTATTATCCGTCGGTCTTTTTTATTATTACGTAATTTTTTTATAATTTTTTCGATTTATTAAGGTGATATATATATTTTTATTATTCGATTGTATATATAGCGAGGTAGCCGCTATAGAGTAGTGGGGCAGGTCTTTAGTTTATTATGTATATTAGGTCGTAATACTTTTAATAGACGCGATTATTTAAATAGGGCTTCGATAGGATTTAATATTAATTCGTTACTTATGATATATTATAATAAAAGGATATAAAAAGCGTAAAAGCTAAAGATAAATATAATATAATCTAATATAAAATAATTTAAATAAATATGTTAAAATAAGAAAATATTAATGAGGGAGCCTTTACCGCCTTTAGGACGAAGTATTTATAGTCTATGTATTTTTTTGGGCCAATAATAGTGTATAGCTGTTATGCCCGTGTAAGAGTTATGCCCGTGTATTAATTGTTTATGCCCTTGTATTAATTCCCTAAAATTAATAAGAACGATATATTTATTTTTTTTAAAAAGTCGTCGCAAAAGCTTATATTAACGTTTAATAACGATATAAAATAAAATTCGATATACTTTATAATATAACGCTTTTTATAAAAAAGAAAATCTATACTTTTTTAATAACTAATCGAGCTTATAAAAATCTAAAATAACGGATCTTTATTAATAACATTTTTAATAATAACGATTAATAATTATTAGCTAAGTTAAAAGCGGTATTTAAATTATTTTATTTTTAAATAATAAAATATTAAAGTTAAAACAAAGGAGACAGCTATAACCGTTTATAAAAAATAATAATAAGTTTTAAATATTTTATTAATTATTTCGAAAAATAAAAGAAGTTATATAATAAACCTTTTAAAAAAAAGATATATTTTATAGCTTTTTAAATTATAATATTATAATCGTAATTAATATAAATAATATTATTTTATTAGTAGTTAGTTTATCGTTAATTTATATTTTAACTTTTTTTTTAATTTTTAATATTAAATAATATCTTTTATTTTATTTAATTTAAATATATATTTAAAAAACGGGCGGAGCTGCTTTTTAATAATAATTTTAATTTATAAAAATACTTCCGATTATTAATTATTAATATTTAATAAGTTTTTAATAAATATTATATTAAATTAAATTACTCTCCGTTTTATATTATAATAATTATTTTTTATTTTAAATAAGGATTAAAATAATTAAAAAAAAAAAAATTTATACCTAAATAAAGTTATTAACTATTCAATATAAAAAAAGGGCTTTATAATTATTAATAAAAATAGTATATAAACGAAATAATAAATCCTTTTTTTTTTCTTTTATTATAATAATTATAAATTATTTTTATTACCTTTACGATTTTAAAAAATATTATAAAAAACTTATAATATTAATAATAGTTAATATTTCGAATAATAAAAATAGTAATTAATTATGCGTTTAAATTTAATTAATATTATTTATAAATTATCCCTTAACCGGTCTTTAATTTAATTTAATAATAAATTAACTATTAGCTAACTTATCTAATTTTAAATAAGTTTATATTTAATATTTTTACAATCTTTATAATAATAATAAATTATAAGAAGATATTTAGTTTTATAAAGTTAATTTTAATTTTATAATAATTATTAATAAGGTCTTCTATATTAAAAAAGGTTTAATATTTTAAAAACTAACTTCATAACGGTATTATAAAAATGAAAAATTAATTTTTTAATTAAAAAAGTTAATCGAAATAAAATTTATAAGTTAATATTATAAGGACTTTTGCAATAGCTTTATTTATTCTTAATTAAGAAATTAATTTAATTTATTAATTATTTATTAAATAATCAAATATAGCGCAAGAAATAAAGTAAATAATTAAATACGAACCTCATATTTGATTTGTTTGTTTGGGTATAAGCGCTGTTGGTAGTCCATCCAAACCGCTGCGAGCGAGCCTGCCGCTATCCAGGTCACCTAACAAGATGTTCACAGAAATCGTGGACGTCCATCTTTTTACGAATCTTATTCCGGATCAAGAAGCTTCACATCACCAGAGGCTTTCTCAGAATCTCAACCCTACAAACGATAACAGTAGGGCACAGCCGCGGCTTCGGAGAAGTCCCGAGGTCGGCCAGGTTTACATGGATCTGCACGCATTTTCTGGAACACAGGCCGGGCATTGTCACAGGCTCTGGCGCGCAACAGAACACCCCCTCGAGATCAGGCCTCGGAACAAAGACTGGCTCTTTTCACAGACGGCTAGAGCGTCAGAGAATGTCGCGTCATCCTAGCGAACCGGCAGCTTCTACGGCTCTTGTCTCCCACAGACAAAGAGAGAGAGAAGTGTTGAGATACGCTCGCGAGAAGGGGTTGGATGAGCTGAGGAAGTGAATGGACCTATGTCGGTTTCTCGTACATTTGCAGGCATGCCTCTTGATGCGTGGAATGACTTGGTGACTCGTACCTGGCCAGCGTTGGAGGATGAAGTATGATCATGGGTACTCGCGCAAACTCGTTGATCGGGCACCTGAAGAGGAGATGCGAATTAAATCTATTCAGGACTGTGATAGTTAAGGGTTCATCAAAGAGCTTGAAAGCTGGTTATGGAATGGAGAGAAGCCTCTCGAGATGAGGTGGCCTCTGTGGAGTCTCGTATTTATACCGTGCTATCGATTGCACATCGGAGGATGGTCTTGGGAACTGTACGTGAACGAACCATTGCTGGAACTAATACAACATTTGGATGTTCGTCTCTGACTGAAGATTGATGCTGCCTATCCTCGGTGGCCGCATGCTACGTATGCTGAAGTTTAACCGGTAATAGGACAGCTGAATCCCATGCTTGGAGGTGTTTACTCTCCGCTCTGAATCAGGTCACCAAAAAGGCACAGGTCGATGGCATCGGAGGCAGTGCATCAACTGCCCCGCCGAGGTCGCAAGACCGAAGGATCAACACCTTGTCTAGGCAACCATCCAAACCCGTCAGCAATCCTGCCGGGAGGCAAGATGGACTCAGGGAATCTATTTAAGCTGGAACGAAACCTCTTTGCATACCTGGTTTCACAACTTGAGATGTTCCAAGCCTTCTCAGAACCAATTACATTAGACGGGCGTCGTTATGCGAGCTTTTGCTTCGCTTTTTCTAGTCGCATCCAGCATCATTCTCATAAGTGCCTACCGAGAACCGCAAAACACAAAAGTTGTTCCACTCGACTCTGAACCAAGACCAAGACCAAGGCAACAGAATCCCGTCGCAAACATGGCCGACAAAATTCCATATGAATTCGTCCCCGTGTACATGCTCACGAAACTCACCGACGAAGAGGAGAAAACCTTTGTATCGATCATTGCAGCGCGGGAGGAAGGCGTCGCCGAGGAGGACGACTATGTCCGACCAAAACTCGTTTACTGGACCGCTGACGCGGATGGAACCATTGAAAACGATCTCGTACCATTGCACAGGAAGCTCGAAGCGGAAAGCGAGCTAGATTATCACTCTTTCTTCTTCTACGCTGATCGCAAGAGTGTCGAGGACGGCGGGACCATTCTTGCGAGTCGCGATTGGGGCACCCTTTGCATCTCCAAGACGGCGACGCAGAAGTTTACCAAGTTTTGCAAAGAGAAGGATATCAAACTTCCCAGGGGCGGTTGGAGCCACATTGATGGTTTGATTGTCAACTTGACGAAGGACATCATCACCTGGGGTGTGACGTGGGGACGTCAGCCGGGGCCGCAATGGAAATCAAGCCACCAGAACCTGGATCTTGCGAATATGCAAATGTCGGAGCTTATCGAGATGCACGGCGAACAAGTCCAGATTCTGGAAGATGACGAATGGGATGCACAGGGCTTTTCAGAGAGGCTCCGGAAAGAACTGGACAAGATCAAGGACGAGCTCTAGAGCACGGAAGATTCAAAATCATTTCTTCATCGAGACACTACTACTAATTGACCAGTAACTGCTTTTTTGAAAGTACATGTTCAGATGCGCGCGCCACTACTCATCTCAGGCCTTTGAGAATCTATCGGGGATCGGACGCCGGGACACGAGTTGCAGATGAACTGGCTCCCGGCCACCCCACTGCCAGCCTCGCTCGGGCTTCGTCTGAATCGGTGTCACTTCGCGCTTGTAAATGCCCCTCTTCACTGGCGAACGAGCCATGCCGCAGGTTGCGAAGAAGGAGTCGCCAAAGGCCTGGCAGTCCGTGTCGGTGAAGCTTTGGGAAAGATTGGTGCAGAGCTGGCTGTTGCTGCTGAGGATGCCGCCCTTTTGACCGCACAGCTTTTGGCCGCCTGTTTCTACGACGGAGTTGCTGATGTGTGTTCTACAGCGGCATTGGATATCTGCCTGCTGTGCTTGCACCATGGCGAACCTGTTGATGGAATTAGCCTAGGCTCTGGGAAAGGGGGGGGGGGGGGGGGGGGGGGGGGGGTGGGGGTTTTTGCTTGTGCGGGGGTGTGTGCGGAGATCTGCTGTGTATCGGGAGGCGTGGGTGTTGCGATGTTGTATTAGGTGGAGGTGTATTGGGGGGGGGGGTGGGCTCAAGGGTTCAGCGGGAGATCTTACATGATCGCCATGAGGATGCAAGATATGATGGTCTTCATTTTGTCAAAGTCTTTCGAGGTTGAATGTTGCTCAGAAGCTTGGTTGCGGTTTAGGGTGAGAAAATAAAACACAACCAATTGTGCATCGCAAGTCGAGGTGGCACTGGTGGTGATATGTCTTTATGTAAGGTACCTTACGAAGATCAAACTGCCACCTTTGACGCACGCGGACAACGGTTAACCCATGGCAAACCTCAACATGGAACAAATAGCTGTAGCAATCAAAAGGCGTAATGTGGGCGGGCTTCCCGTTGACTTGTTGACTCGTGGCTTCTACGTACTATAGAATGAATTCTCCAGCTGTCAAACGTCTGATGTTGGCCGCCCTGTGGCAGTAGCGCCCAATGAGATTGCCAACTGGGTGGATCCATCTGTATGCTTGTCGTCTCATCTTTTTTGGCTGCGCCTCGGCGGCTCGGGCTGCCGAACGCAGGTAGAGGTTGACGAGGAGGGCGGGTGTGTGAAGCGTACCCCGGCTCCGCACAACACCCCAATACGAGATACGAGCTTATGTAGTAAGCGGACCGAGTATATACTTATCTGATATACTCCACTTTCCGGGTCCAAACCCATGGGCTTCAAATGCAACACATTGTAGGGTTTATCGGGGTTACTAAGTTACTAAAGTAATTGAGCCGCTCAGTCAAAACACCAGTTGACGCCGACAGGAATTGAACCCAACTTGACCTGGGCTTCTAAGCGTACCCCTGCTTCACACGACACCCCTATACAAGCGTACCCTCACGTAGGAATACCAAGTATATACTTATCCAGTGTACTCCACTTGCCGGGTACGAACCCACCACGGGCTTGAATGCAACAAATTGTGCGGATACATAGTACATGTAAGGTTTATCGGCGTCACTAAAGTAAGCCGTTCAGCCAAAACACCAGTTGACGCCGAACAGGAATCGAACCCAACTTGATTTACTAACCGTACCCCTGCTTCACAGGGTTGCAACTAACTCAAGATTGAAGGAAAGGGCAGTGACGAGCATGAACTTTTCCCCAAACGGTCGACCGCGTTCGGATGACGTGTATTCTTCAAAGTCAAACGGAGTCGCTGGTAGTCTAGATCCTTGCGCGTGTTTCATGATAAAGGGGGTCTCCATGGTTGCACCGGCGTAATCGGCCGTCGCAACAAATGCCCGCTGACGAATTCTTGAACAGGAGCTGAACATTTCATCTCAGCTGTCGTTGAGAACCCCTCGTCGTCGAGGCGAGGGCCATCAGCCGACGGTTATCTCCTCCTCGGCGTTACGTAGGCTGTCCACCGGCTGAGAAGATGCGTCAAGGGGTTCGGGAGGTTTCACCATCAGGGCCAACTGACTGCATAATTTGGGGAAAGAATGACGCTGGGAGAGTTTTATAGGCTCCAACTGGCCGACAGATAGCTAAACCTAGACGATGATATGACAGACGGGCCCTCTCATACTAGTCCTTTTTTTGGTGGCTGAGAGGTATTCGGACCGCTTGAGACATTAAGTTGCTCCCATTTCCAACTCGTTTACGGAGTGTCAGTTTTCGCTACAGGCAGCCGTCGTTTATCGAGACTCCATGTCATCTATATCCCATCGACATACCAAAATTACTCGGATCCCCAAAAGATGCGTCGCCGTCATCCCAAAGAAGACTGAGTATCAAGTCCTCCCCACCGGATACTACATGGTCGAAGGAAAACATGTCCAAATGGTCGCCTGCGCCTCCCTCTGCATCATTTTCTCTCACTGGCCGCCCTGGACTTCTACCGTCACTTTTAACTTCGCGTTGATGCGAAGCATCTACATTCCTATTCGTTTCAGGACTCTCAGTCAGGTTGAATGACAAGAGTCTCTCGACGTATGGAGCACCAGCCTGATGGTGCTCGGCCGGCGAGTTGGTTTTGAACGAATCAATGGCTTGTGAAAAGCTCGTGAGAAGACGGTGATACTGTGCTGCTTGCGGACTTAAGTGACCTAGAAAGTCAAGAACGCGGAGCGCATTGTGAAAAGCTTTCCCACGGTGTTGAGGAACGCCGGGAGCGAGGAGAGAGAAACCGAGAACGAGACCGGCGGCAAACAACCAAGCTCTGACTCATGCATTAGCAACATGCTTAGATCAGGTCAAAGAACTTACTTCAATATGCACATGTTGCCCATGATAGTACGCGAGTCCAGTGCGTCGGCGCACATTTCTGCCATGAACACCGCGGCATCCACACAGGCATCAGATAGTTCAGCAACGTTCGTTTCATTTTTATCGCCGGCTTCAACAACATCACCACGCACTAGCAATGTATCATTACTAATTCGAGGCATGATGTGCTGTATCATAAACTCTCGAGTTGTCAAGATAATACCAAAGTAGTATGTGCAGGCGACGTGGATATTTCCAATAGCTATCTCCCGATTTTGAGAGTGATGAGAGTGAGCAGTTCCTCTTTTGGGACGTTGGCGTAAGGCAGTTGGAAGATCCTTGCTCCAGCATCTAATTTCATCCAGGAACTGTTGCGCTCTCGCCATTCCCAGTTCGGAATCTTCGGTAAGAGTGTCGACGATTCTATTGAGGATCGTGGAAAAGGCGCAGGCAGCGTCCACTGACAGACTTCGATGCCGATCCTCGCAATGTCCCATACTTCGTCTTGATCGGCAAGGTGCTACGCTTGTTGGCCTTCCGAGGATCGAGCTACACACTACGTCAAAAAGGCGTATGCTTTTGTCAACGCGAGACCTTTGCGAGTCGTCAACAACCAATCTCAGTATGAATCAAAGGAACCAGGAGGTGTACCTCAAACTTCGCTCGGTCTCTGAAAGCGACTGAAACTGTTCCGCCATGTGTAAGCCCATGACCGAAGCCGCTTTCGTGGCAACCCCGAGGTACATGAAAGCTGAGTTGCGACGGCAGGCGCCAAACATGTAGAATGCCATTAGTACAAAGCCTCGAGCGGTGTTCAATGTTGGGTCGCTCAGCATCCCTTCGAATGAGAGCTTGCGAGCTTCCGAGAAGTACCGGAAAGCTTTCGACGCGTCACCTGTCTGGCCACGACACTGGGCACCAATGGCAATCATCATGTAGAGGCATAAGAGACTCCCCGAGTTTATCGAAGTATCAGATCTCAGAGAGCCAGTGTGGAATGTTTGGCTCAAAGCTAGTAGATTCTCGATATCCGATTCGTCAAACAAATCGAGGAGTCCACTAGACTGTCGATGGGTCAACCATCACGTCTCAAGGATACACCAGCTTTCTGGGGAGGGCTCTACTCACGGCATCAAGGTATCGTTGGACCAGGATTTTCCTCTCGGCGTTTCCAATGTCGTCGGCAAAGTCTTCAGTCCGCTGGACGGGAACTTGTGCCTCAAACATGCGGTGGCATCCTTGGCTAATGGTAAAACCTGGACCTAGGATACGCAAGCTTCCTCGCAGGTATTGCAGAAACGCAATGGCTGAAGCATTTCCGACAAAGACTGAGGATCCTCAAGATGTTAGCAAGTCATGGAACAACCCAGCACACTTCAATGCTTTCCGTCAGCCATTGAGACAACTGTACCTTTTTCACCACTACAGGTGTACATCATGACCGGTCGCGGACCCGGTGGAGGAACCGTCCTATCGAAAGTCGCCGAGATTGGAGTTTCATCACCATCTCGCAAAGATGATCCTTGACGCTGATAGAGCAGAGGAGAAAGTTGATCACGCCGTCTAGTGTTTGAAGTGGCTGGGGATCGAGTCTGTGGTGCACGGCGAGCCCTGACTTGCTGAGAATAAGTGCAAGACGAACCTACTCCGCGTTTGACGCAGGGTCGGCATGGCTGCGCGGCGTCGCATCGCTTCTTGGTCGCTCGACACGCAGTGCAGGCCCTGGTGGACCGTTTCCGGTCTTCGGGACGCACCGGCGGTCGGGGCATCGCGTAAGGTAGGGTCAGGTCTGTGTGATCCGGGTCCTTGGATACGGCGCCGGGAGTTGCGGATCCAACTGAGAGGCGGCACGAACTGCAGTTTGCGGGCCGACGATTCCAGGTGCGATTACCGCCGATTCACACAATATGGACAGGGAACGATGCCATCGGGGCGTGAATCAGCATCTTTCAACCGTGCTACAAAAGATCGCGATGTTCCCAGAACCCACAAGGCCCGTCATCGAGTAAGCAGATGAGCAATGTAAACATAATTGGAAGTCGAGATAGGCTTATCAGGGTGGTTCCCTGCATTGCCGAGTCCAGTCAGCGTCCGGTGGGAAGGCAAAGGTGAACTCCACTTTACATACTTTACTGCGTGAGCAGTGCTCGGCCCGCACACTTATCGCTGTCAGTCCGTAATAAGCCCGTAAACCCGAGACTCCCCCATGCTACGGAAGTTCCGCTTCCAATGGGCCTATCAAAGGCCTCATGCAGTTGGCAGCTGGGACAGACACTCGGAATAACGTCATGGAACTAGCATTGGTTTATAAGAGTCCGGCCGGAGCTCATCCCGTGCCGTGCTGTGCACTTTACATGAGATTTCGTTTTGATTTTGAAGTATCCTATATCATAACCTTTTGTTATCTCCCCGTCTCATCAGGTCACCTGTGCACCAAACCTAAAATTACGCCGCTCGAAAAAGACTATCACTAACGACACAATGTACGCAGACATCAGCAAACTTCCGGCTCCACTTCCCCAGTCCGATCTGGAGACGGTGGCGAGTGGAATTTCACTACTGCCACCTCTCTCCCGCCGTGGCGTTGGACCGGGCGTCATTCTTCTGGTCCCATCAATCGACAAAGCGCTAGCAATCGAGGAGGGCGTGCCCTCACTGCCGCTGAAATGGGCTGAAGAGGGTTACACAGTGATTGTGATTCAACCAGCAGCCTTCGAGAATGGTGTTCGCGAGACTCTCGATCTCGTAATGAAAACGTTTCAAAAAAGCGATAAATGCAAACCAAAAGATGTGGTTGGCCTTGTTGGTGAGTTGCATTCGCTATTCCGCATGACTGGTGATGTTGGGCATGGCTAAGTATGACATGGTTAGCATACGAACCAGAAATGTGGAACATGGTTGCGTCGATCCTATCTGACTTCTCGGAGATTGTGAGCACCGTGGTCTACGCCGATAACTCAGAAAAGTCATCAGTGTCTAGCAGCCCTGTACCCGCAGCCTATCACTTTGCTGGAAAATCTGAGGGACAACCTTTGCGGTCAAAGGGCCGAACAGAGTACTTTTACTCGGCAGCAAAGTCCTTCAAGTTTGCAATTCCGTTCCAGCCGCACTTCGACTACAACATGGAAATGCTCTCATACACTCGCAATCTCACTCTTTTGAAAGGCGAAATGAAGACTCCCATCTTTGACTTGGAGGCCATTTGGGACGAACATACTTGGTATGAGTTCGCGGATAGGTCTGTGGAGCATACTATGAGCACAATGGTACAAGAACCATACGTGAACCATATCCCAACCGTAAGAAATATGTCACTCATTGATATTGGAATCACCAAAGCCAGATTTACTGACAAATTCCCTCTTAGCTCACTGGCGGCGTTGGTCGAGTCAAGCTTACCGACTTTTATCGTCACAATTTCATCTTCAATAACTCGGCAGACACGGAACTAGAGCTAATCAGTCGAACCATCGGAATCGATCGCGTCGTTGATGAGTTCATTTTCAAGTTCACTCACGACCAGGAGCTTGATTGGCTGTATGTATAAACACAATAAACCCGTCTACGATCAACCTCACGCACGCACTTACTGATTGAATGGCCAGACTCCCGGGTGTTCCACCAACCAACAAATACGCTGAAATTCCGTTCGCAGCGGTTGTAAACATCCGAGGTGATCGCCTGTATCACGAGCATATCACATGGGATCAAGGGACAGCATTGGCTCAATTAGGCCTCCTCCCGGAATACCTCCCATTCCCAGGAGGTGATCTTCAGTACAGAGTTCCTGTAGCGGGTGTGGAGACAGCGATGAAGTTGAGAGCAAGAAACTCTGTTCCGTCGAATGAAATGTTCAAATTCACAACTCGCTCTGCAGTAGACAGCGAGGGGGTAACTCGAGGAAATTTGGTTGCGGCTGTAAGCGAGAACGGCGTAGAACCAGTAACAAATTGACGTGAGACAATCTGGAGTGTAGAATCAATTCAGGCAAGGGTATTTCGTCATCAGTATTTTTAATATCTATTGAGTATCTCCTGGGTTACCACTCCCAATCGCGTCATGCCAATATCCAGTCGTCGTTGAATCTCTTCCGGGGTTTGGCAGTGAGACCACCAACAGTCCAATACGCAAGTCTAGCTGTTCAAGCTGCCTTCCATCTTTTAGGGTATCTTCATTTTCTCTTCCAGTCACCTTCCCAAGTCGTTGCGTTGCACCTAGAATCAGGGCATCTGCATGTATTACAAAGCTAAGCAGGTGTTCCTCCACAATCCTCGAACGCATTCATCGTCTGGCTGCGCTAGACCACAAGCCTTGCAATCTTCTTTGCAATTATCTCGCAAATTAATCAAGCAGGTGTTTCTCCAAAGGCCCTTTCTCTCGAAGCGTCTCTTTGGAATAGTGGCGGAGTTGCAGGTAAGCTCTGGATCAGAACCTCTGGCGTCCTCGACGAACTTGATAATCTTTTCGATTAGTTCCTCATATTGATCGTGCGACATGACTGTAATGAACTCTTTCTGGCGCACCGCTGCAACAAGATATTGCACAAAACGGATAAATCTAGGTCCTTGCTTGACAGTGCCTTGTGGCATGAGATTGCCGTCGATGAATTTTCCCCAAGTACAGTCCCAAGACCTGTCGAAAATTGGCTCATCGTCTCTTACGCGGCGTTCCTTTTCCCATTCGACTTTGCTCCATAGCCCGCACGGCTTGTTGCTAGGGACTGGAAGGCCGAGTCCTTTGACCACGCGATCGGCCAAATTGCTTTGTTTCAAGCGGAAGTGGATCATGGAAGCAATTTCCATACCGTCAGTGGATGCTTTCTCCGACTCGATTGTGTCTAGGAGGGAGTCCTGGACGTAGGCGCCAAGTCCGCCGTACCAGTCACCTGGCCAGAGTTCGACAAAGATTCTGGACATTTCCACGACCCTGTCGCGACATAAATGGCAGGTTGTATAGGTCTGTTCGTCTTCGTGGCCTTCGAATGTGCAAGTGAAGTGATAATGCTCATGGATGCATGTGACATCGACTAGCTCGTTCAGTCTCGCTATTGCGGCGTAATAACCTGATAGTAGCATGTTATCGTAGATGAATATATCAATGAGGGAGAGCTCTTCGAGGATAATTTCCGAAAATTGCTTATTGTGTTTTCTAGTTTGTAGTAGAGTTGCTGTGTTTTGAGTCTGACGGGCTGTTATGACTTTCTACTGCTGGCTGCTGCTGGCCGTCTAATACATCGCCACTGGGCTTTCTCCGAAATGCTCTCGACCTGGGCCACAGCGAACCTGCCAGTCAGAGTTCAAGAAAGAACTACTTGGTAGACCTGATGGCACCAAAAACTTTAATAAAAGCCACCGGCCAAGGTGGACTGTTGAACACTATCGTGGGATCAGTGACACCCTTTTGCCCCCATTTCTTGCTTTTACTAGGCACTATAATTCATGGGGTACAATGGCTCTATCTATGTGAGATGAATTTGTTCGGCTCAGGCTATCAAGGTTCCAGAATAAGCTGGTGATATTTCCGAAAACGCGGCGTCTGCTCACAAATGATGGTTCTTGTTTCGAGTGTAAAGCCCGACTTTCTCTTTCTGTGACTCTATCCGCGCAACATTGTTTAGTCCCCTTCGAGGACCAATAAAAAACAAATGGCGAAAAACGACCTCAAATTCCGGCGAACTACTCCGAAGGCTTCTAAATTGGCGCACGCTGTGGTCATCAACAGCATGCCAGCGGGCATCGATACTCCAGGAAAAGTACGCCCAAACGTCGAGGCAATTCGATCTTTAACAGTTGATGCGTTGAAAGCATTTAAGTCGCCTTTTCCTGTTACCGATGCCAACCCAGGCATGGATGAATCATCAATTACGAAGAGCCTGGAAAATTTGCGAAGCTTATGGGACGGCGGTCAGACGAATTCCTATTGGGCTTCATTATGGATCGTGGTCAGCAATATCATCGATGGAAGCACGTATTCATCATTCGCGGAAGCTGAGGAAGCACTGAAAGGAGTCATGGTAACGTCCCCCCATGCACAGAAACACCACTAGCTCTCTACTCGTAAAAGCTGAGCGATAGTTCGCGGGCTTGGTACATGCAAGATTGAGGCATCAGTAACACTACCGTAAAACTCTGCCCAATACTGTTTACAACGAGTATGACCAAATAGTATAGCTGACAAGTTTGTGTTCAGCATTCCTATGCCCGTCAACGCCCTGGGCGTATATTATCATACCGCCTCACTTCATTCATCATTACGAAAATATCCAGGACACTCAGTTCTTGGAAGAATGCACACAGCCTGACGAGTGTTCAGTTCTTCTACCTGCTCGCCTTCTTTTCGAATAGGGTCAAGGAAATCAAGACAGCGTGGCACGCCATTGACGATAATGAATGGTCTCGCTTAGTTATTCTCAGCTGTAAAGACGCCGCATTTTATATCGCTCGACACTCCATCGCTTTTCAATCAGACATCACATGCATGGATCGGTTGATCTTGTATCATGTCGTCCCTGAGTCGGAGGAAATTATCGGACATTTGATTCCAATGGTAACTCGCTTCATGGAGCAGATCGGTCTTAGGCAGGAGGAATTACCGGCCGAATACTTCGGCTTGGATGTCGTTCCGGCACCGATCTCAACGAAGGACCTATTGCAGGCGTCTAGGCGCTTGATCGGCATGACTGATCCGTACCATATCAGGGTCCTATCGGCATCGATTTTCCGGTGGTTCATTCGAGAACGGATTTTGGCCGACCCCGATCCGGTGGCGATTCTCAGGCAAGCCCAAGTCATGGTTCAAAATCTTTGCAACAAACTTAACCACGAAGACGACTTACTGTCGCAAAGTGTTTGAAGTCCATGGCCTGATGGGCCAGGCCTGCACTGTCTTCGCAGCCGGTGCGATAAGTGGAACCTCTGCAATATGTTTCTGATTGATCAGAGCCAAGCTTCCTAAGACTGTGCCAGGCTGGGCACTGGAATAGACGGATTGAAGATAGTGGAAAAAGAGTATAGGACTATTCAAGAATCAAGCCCCAAGGGGTGAGTTACGACACTCTCATCAGACAATAAAATTGGGGACTGGCGACTTGGCTAGCAACAGCTACAAGTTCAACAAGGCTCTGTCGGTTACCGAGACATTCTTGTCCTCTAAACCCTCAAGGTAGCTGCAGACGTTCGGTTAAAGTTTAAAATCAATGAAGTTGGTTCGTGAGAGACTCATATAGGAGTGATCTTGGAGGGGAAACCTTGAAGACGACGTGGATTATAACCTGAGTTCATCAAAGCACCAGTTTATTATACCATTCGGTTCATACGATCCATTTGATCCATCTCAAAGCTCCCATTGTGGCCTTCAACATCGCTCTTTGTGTCATACTGCACAACGATTTCGTTCGTCTTGACAATCTTGCCGAACCCTGGTTCCGGCTCCACTCCAAGAACACTTTTGTCGCTCCGATCATCAGCTAGCTTGTCCCATTTCCTCCTGATAGAACCCTTTCGTGTTGTTGAGGTTGTTATAGTTACTGTGTTGTTACGTGTGAGGCCGCCGCCGAATCGAGATCCATTGGTACGGCTGGCGGAATTGCCATAGTACTTTCGAGTAGTACTTGCAACTTCCCGGAAGAGGACGCGCAGGACGGGAATGGAGGCTGCCATGATTGTCACACCTGATTCCACAGTTCCCCATATCACAAGATCGCTACCATCATCTAAATTGACATGTTAGTCCAGTCTCATGCGTTATAAGTTGTCGGTGCCTTGCTGCTTACAGGTGAAGTCTCCAGAAAGCAGAGTAGGGATCTTCGTACACTTGACGATCGAGGTCCCGCCAGCGCTGATATTTCATGTTAGAACATTGTGACACACCGTAGATCAGTAAACCTACAAAACCCCCATACTCATAGCAATTCCGACGCCAACCTTCTCCTTTGTCTTCATTTGGAGTCCCCAGATCAACTTCCATGGAAGCATTGCGAGGAGTATGTCCATCAGAGCAGAATACCCTGAGGGCTGTTAGCAACCTAGTTCGCCACAACCATTCCAAACAAGCCATACCTGCGGCAAAGACCCCAAAGTAAGCTGCCACCTTCGGACTCCAGCATTTTCCTGGTGTCTGTGGAAGCCAGTACTTTTCGATCGGGGAACATTGGACCCAGGCGGCCATCGCATTCAGACCCATGAGGACGTTCATGGATATAATCGCAGCCCATATCAAATTCCTCGTCCAACCCTTCTCTTCGATGCGAAGTAGTGTCATCGCAAATGAGGTCTTGCTCCACACTGCTGATGTGATCGATATCGTGCTGATGACGTTGACGTTCAACCCAATCGATGGGAGCTTTGCTGGATTAATTTGGTATACATGTTTACCGAAGCCGAGGGACACGTTCCATGTTGTTAGCGCGGACGCGATCATTAAGGTGACCTAACAAGATTTCTGCCATCAGTAAGCAGCCCGAAAAATGTTGAAGAAACGAACGAACCCAAGATGCTATGAGAACATGGTCATCCCACCAGAGCCCATTGCGCTTCTTAAACTTGCAGTAAACCCGTAGGCAAAGGAATAATAACGAGGCTCCGACCTGTGACCAGACAACTGCGCGGATCATCGGGCCATAGTCCTCCGGCTGCACCATTTGACCAGCCAAAGAGGTTGGTTCCTTCGCCCAAGCGATATTCCAGACGTCAAGAAAGGCCAGAGACACAGACCAGCTGTTGCGTATTTGATGACGTTGAGAAAAAGCAAAATGGATATCAAAGAGCAGCCACCGCAACTCATCGCGGGTAGCACAAACTAAAAGAGACAAAAGGGAAACCGAGAAAGGCACGCACCCACTCGGAGTGTGGGGGATGACAGCTGAGATATGACATCGCGTTCTCTAAGTCCTCTCCACCCTCTCAGCCCAATTCATTACCTGCAGATAGCACCTCCACCCGGCACTACGGGAAAAGGGTTGGGCAACCTGTCAGTATGCAGCTGCCGATGATCGACTTGTAAGGATGAGACGATGATCACGCAAAGGTGCTGGCGTGCTGTGGGGTTCTCCGTAGTTTCAGATGGTCAACCCGGACTAGACGAATGGCCTTCTAGAAGTATAGAAGAAAATCCTATCGACAGCATCCAGTCTCGACAATGCTGGTAGTGTCTGGAAAGCGGAGCCATCTAGCTAGGAATGACAGATTCTGAAGTGCCGTCATCGAACAACCGTCGAGTGGCGTCATGCCATTCTGCCCATGTCCGCAATGCGGGGGGACGAAAGAGCCAGGCAAAAGCCATGACTCGAAGTCAAACTGATCTTGGCTGGGTTTTCTGCTCGTGCTGTGCTGACAATTTCACCGCTTGGCCGATGGCTGGATAATTTCTGTGACTTATGAGAGAGACCGAGCCGGTGGTCATTTTGTCTCGTCGTCTTTGGTTGTGTTCTCTGAGAAACATTCACCGGTGCGGTTTCACTTTGATATGCCGTGAGTCAAGTGGACCCAGATGAGCAGCCCGCGCTCGGTTTGGAGCAGGAATATGGAGTACTGCGCCTTCTGTCTCTGTTAAACTGCCATTTCAAGGATTGATGAGTCGATAACCCTGCCTTGGCGCCAAAGTCAAAAAAGCAAATGATGTTTAGGTTATATTCCCGTTCAACTGTGAAAGAAGCGAGAATTCGAGATGTCTTGGACGAGATGACGGAGCCAGGAGCGCAGCGCAGGAAGAATGTCCCGTCATCAACGGCTTTGTGTCTCGGCGCGGCAACTTGCAGCATTTCCAAACACGAAGCGGAGAGAGAAAATATGCTACCCATCTCGTCCCTTTCATTTCCAGGCAAAACTCGCTCTTCTCAAATCCCCTATTGTTTCTCTTTCAATAGGTAGTTCGAGATCTGAGCAGGGATGTGCCTCGAGTCAGGGGGGTTGGGAATGCGGCAAATCATCCGCGGCCACTATTCCGGGTCAGCTGGCAGGGCGCATGGCGGATGTTGTCTCAGATTGTCAATGCAGACAGGGAAAAACTTTGCTGATTGGGAGGCTCAACAAATCGCCAAGGCGGTGCACAACTAGGCCAATCGTGAGGTAGGGCTGGGCGTTCAACATGGTAACCGTCGGCACGTTTCGCCTGAAGTAATTCGTCATCGAGTCTATTTAAGGGTAAATGGGTGGGTTCCAGTTTCTCGGTGTGGCCGTTCTTCTAGCTACAGGCAACTTGCTTGTGTGCTCGCCTTTGCTCATGTATATTGGCAGTCACTTGTCGGTTCGGCAGACCCGGGTTAGATTATCTTGCAATTGGATCCTGTGAAGTCCCTACTAACTAATAGCAAGCACAGAACACTACAGGATCCTCAATTCGCGGGCCTGCGATCATGTGTACACGTTGCTGAACGGAAGGCAGCACAGCCAGTCTTGATTCCGGGCGCGGAAACGTCTATGACAATCCCTTTTAGGCTTTCCATGTTTGCACAGGGGTCTTGTCGCATTTGTTGAAAGATATCTTGATTTTACACTGAGTGATCTTGATTAGGAACTTCAATGTTAAAGTCCAGTGTCATGGTTTTGCAGGGAGCTTGAAAACCTCTGCTTCACTTGCGATAAGCGACCAAATGATTCGTATTTCCTGCAGTTTCATTATTGCAAATACGATTCTTAGCAGAGTTGTTGCCAGCGTCGGCTTCAACCCCTGGGCGGCACGATTCGTTTAGCCGGGAGCTATTTGATGGCTTGTTGGGTAGGCATCCTTTGCAAAATTGTTCATCGTCCGATATTACTGTCATTGATTTGCACCTTCGTCACTTCGGAGTTGACAATTTCGAGAGCGCATAATAATCGTAAGCCCAAAGTTCAGCAACCTCAAGAATCTGTGCCAAGACTCACTCAACTCTGACACTTGATCAAGCAAAGTTCTCAGCCGTTCCTATGAAACATATTGAATTCGACTGAGCTCTATGGCATGCTTACAACACCGAAACCTCATGGATTTCTTGGTTTCCAAATGATATTAACTATTTGAAGGTCTCAGAACCAGCTTGAGTGCCAACAGCCAGCAGCATTCCATGTCCCGGACATGCCGCATTGTTTCCGAGCGTTTTCACGCGACTCTATCCAGTCTAACACATATCCTTCATAGATCACGAGCTTGCCGCTCCACAATGGGTGTCAAGACCACGTACATATTCAGACTGCAACAGCTAGACGATGGCATATTCGCGTCAATGCATCATTTCTTCTTGACCCATCTAGAATCAGCTGCCCAATCAGTGGGTAGAATGACCGTCCTAATAACTTGCGTTAGGTTGAAAGAAAAGTCCAACTGATCACCCGTGTCAGACTGCCTGACCAATCCTCAAACTTGAACTATAAGGTTTCGTTCATCACCAGAAGCCGATTCTCTGATGATTGCGGGATATCTCGAAGGTAAATACAATGCCTTTATGTATTCTTTCACTGCTTGCGTGGACTAATTTGTGGAGGAAAATCTCTCACGAGCCTCAACGATTGCTCATCACCGCATTGAAGCTTATTTTGGAATTGACAATACCGCACAGCCTGAAGTCTTTGAGTTGTCTTTACAATAGGGGCTGTAGCGTATGCCTGTCAATAGTTCCAATGTACACTATGTTCACAAGCGTTATGCAGCGTATTTCTGATTAAGAAAGTGGTTTGATAGTTAGCACTATTTCTGATAAGCTGAGCACTCTCACCCGAAAGATTTAGTTGCTAGTCCAGATATCGTGAGGCCACAGTTGACTTTGGCTTAGATGAGATAAAATAGGAACTTCACCCAAAAGCTTTCATTTTCAGCTAGCAAGCTCCCTGATACAAGTTTCCCTTAATACTCACATGTGGGATCATCAAATTGAAACTGGTGCCATTTTGTGCAGGGCTGGCTCGTTCATATGGGCAAGAGTGGCAACTGGCACACCTAACAACTAAGCTTTTCGCCCAACCTGATGTCCCTCAGAAAAGGTACATAACTACAAGTTCCCGACTTATAGCTTGGTCGTACTTAAGTAGTATGGGCCCACGAGGTGGGCACTCAGCCCATAACACTTTTGGATTAAACAAAAAGAAAGCGAATGAGGCTGCTACGAATAATCGATGTCCTAGATAAAGACACTCTTCTTCTAGTCAAAAGGAGCTAAGAATGGGAACAAGACATCACAAGCCAAACCCCCGGGTTGATTGACAAGCCTTCCAGCCGCTGCCCAAAATGACTCAGACCTACAGTGGCATAACAGCTACTCTCATTTGTGCGCGGAAGATATTCGCTATCTTCTCACCAAGTATTGTTACGAAAGATCAGAGAGTTTTGCAAGAATAGAGAAGGCTGGCGGTTAACGGTGTCCAAAATCTATCAGATTCAAACACACAGACGCGAGCATTATGAAATTAAGCGATTATTGAGCCTTTCAACTGTGAGGTCCTTAACAGCTCTAGTTAGCAAAGAGAAATTGGAAATTTTCGTTCGCCGGAATCTGTCTGTTGGGTCACTAGGCCACGTGGCGCAATAAGGAGGGCATTTGTCCTCGCGGAGAAAGCTTCCACTCACGCTGCCTTTCAGATCCCAGTAATGCCTCCCTCGCTTTAGAAAATAGACAACTAATATCACTCCACAAGCTTGAATTAGGTAGTAGGAGGGCCTGCAACGTCCCCAGTTGCTTGCGGACTAGCGCTGGTGACGGGTTAGGGTGAACGGAGCTCGCCGCATCGGGATTCAATGTATGAGCTAAATTGGGGGCGCAAACTGTGCACTGGTTTGGAAATTCAAGGTCATTACTAGCGCTGTGAACGACTGCTCTATCAATGTAAGACCCTCCATGTCGGATGTCGGGCCCGTTTGTACGTAGCTTGGGCCGCGGTGTGCGAGAAGTTATATGGTCGTGGCACAGCTGGTGTCAGGCTACGTCATATAAGTGAAGGGGTCAACACTGTACATTGCGTATTACGGTGACTGTCATTCGAATCTGTTTTCCCTCAGCCTGCTGCACCTGGAATCCTCTGTTGATCCCCTCCATACCGGGGTAGAGTTAATCCTTGTCCGGTGCCCCTCCGGCGCCCCTCCGGCGCCCCTCTGGTGACGGTGCACCTGACAGCTGGGCTCAGTATTCTACGCTCTATCCAGAAAACAGTGCGCTCGCCAGAGACTTATTAGGTAGAAATTAATTACGGATGGCGGTATTGCACAACTAATAGTCAAGCGCCTGCTTGACATCACTAGATATTTTCCGTCTACTAGGTGTCCGAGTATACGAAGGGGAAAGCACGATCATACAAGCTTCCCTTTTAAAAACTCTACCATGAGTTCTGTTGAAAATTACATGCAACATGGATCAGTAATTTCCGTGCCGCATATAACTGTGGAAACCGAAAAAGACCGAGCATTTTGTGTACGATAGCTGAGGATAATTCTCATGCTAACTGTGGGTAGGAATCCCGTAATTCTACCTTAAATTACCCCATACTTTTATGGCACTTTGAGTACGGTCGCATTGAAATCGGTATGTCAAAAGTAGGCCGAGCTCGAGTTTTCGCGCTTTATCATGTGACACCTTAAATTGAAGATCGTTCTGTTGATTGTAAGGACATACGGCGTTCTTCATTCTCAATGAGGTGCTTAGAAGCGCCGTTTTTGTGTCATCGATTTCATATTAATTAAAGAGTCTTGATTAGCACCTTATGGCAACCTAATGAAGACCCAAGACACCGTATGATCTTTGAAAATCTTACTCTTAGACTGGTCGCATTCACCGTGGCGATGTTGCATGACTTTCAATTTTGATAATGACCAAGGTAATGCAAATCTCTCCCTAAGGTAGCCACTATGAACACCCGTAGGGCTCTCAATGAAGTCTAAATGCCATAGGCTATTGAATAAGCTGTGGCTAACTGTCCTGATGCTCTTGTCTAGCACCGGGGAGCAAGCGAGAGGCATGAATCACCCAACCCGCTGCGTAACCCAAGACTTGAGGGAGGAGCGAGAATAACGCTAGTCTGCCTACCCACGAGGTTTTCATTATACGAATATAAGGAGGGGCGACATTGACCGATTTTATTTCGCCTGACCAAAACCATGTTGATTATCGGTTGGAGGCATCCCGGAAGCTGATGTTCGGAATGCTCAAGGTCTACCACGGTCCGATGACGCTCCGAGACCGCTAGAAGCAATTTGGCGGGTCGTAGGATGTTAGTCTAGAATTAATTTGCTCAAGGATGGATTCGGGGTTACACCGTTGTGGGAATACGTTCGTATCCCTGAAATGAGAGTGCAAGATGCCACTCCACCGGACCGTCCCGTTGGGGGTTAGCTAAACCCTGGTCTCTTTTGTGCACGACCCAAAGACTCAACGAGAGCGAGTATCTCCAATCGAAGTTCAATGGACCTACAAGCTGGGTAGATCCCTATGCAAGAGAAACAATCAGGACGAATCACTTGGACACAGCACATGGAACAGGCTTGCTTGCGATGAACCAATACTCAATTCCCCATACCCCTATGTAGCGGCGGTGTGCCGACTGTCTAACTATATCTGTCGATGACTCCAGAATTTTTGAGGCCCAACTTTTTCTGGACCCAGGCTGCTCAAGACGCACCAATGGGCCAGGGCTAGGGGAGCTTGTATTTCATTGGGGATGATTTATGTGACCCATTGTACCCCCTTCAAGTCACCACTTTATTCCCTCTGTTCCGGGGTCTTGATTGGCTCACGCTCTAAGAAATGCCTTACAGCCGCTCAATCGCTGATTGTTGGTTCCAGCGATGCCACCTTGGAGATCCTCTTGAACCTGGAGTTAGCCCCAGTGACTCCTAGCGGCCCCCAATTTCTTTTATCAACAACCTATGGGATCCTCTTCATGAACAACGTCGCTTATTATTGCCGGACTCAAAAAGCCCCTGCATAGAGTGATGTGGTTTCGCACGTGGAGTACTTACGTGGTGGTCACCGTGGCTGAGCGAGGAAGTTTTTTGCGAGACTCCCCGCTGCTCGGTCTTTGCGATACGGCGACCGTCAGTACGAATACGGATAGTCGTATCCAGTTGAAGCTCAAGATTGAGAGTGGACAAGGAATATTTGCTTCAATTCATAAAATTTAACTGGCCATCCACTGGCCTCCGTTGGCACTGACTAGGCATCCCGTCATCCACCCGCTCTCGGGCGAGCAAATCATGCCAACTATGCCGGCGATCTCCTCAGCGTAACCGGCCCGTCCTCCGTACTTCGCAGCCATCTCCTTCTGCTCATCCGAGTCCCATTCTCGGATTCCGCACAGCGGCGTCAGAGGGTACCAAGATGAAATGGCCTGCTTCGCCTCCTCAGAAGCACCTCGGAGCATGTCCGTCATAGTGGAGCTGGGGTTGCAAGAATTGACGGTACAGTGCTCCTTGAGCTCGCGAGCCCATGTGCGCGTCATGGCCTCAAGGGCGCCCTTGCTGCCGCCGTACAGGGTCAAGTACTCGAGACCAACCTTGGAACCGACACTGGACACATTGACGATGCGACCCGAACGGTCGGTAGGCAGAAAGGGCTTGATTGCCTGCGTGAGCAGGATGGGGCCGAGAACGTTGATGGAGTAGACCTTGTGGAAGTCCTCGATATTGACGGCCTCAAGAGGCATGGCGTGGAAGAGAGCTGCGCAATTCACGAGGATATCGACCTGCGGCTTGCCGGTCTTGGCGTTGGACGGCATGTCACTCTTCACCACATCGACAATCTTGGAGCAGCCATCGGGTGTACTGAAGTCGGCGCGCACAGGGGCTGCCTTGATGTTGTGTGCCTTTGACAGTTGCGCGGCGAGAGCAGCGGCAGGCTCGTCAGAGGACTCAGTCAGGTAGACGAGAACGACATTGGCGCCCTTGGAGGCGAGGTTCTGAGCAATGGCGGCACCAATACCTTGGGACTCTTGTCAGCGTAGGTGTTCCGATCAATGATACAAAAAAAAGAAAGCTCACTCCTTGCACCGCCCGTAATGACGGCCGTCTTGCCCTCGTGGACTCTGTACGGAGGGGCTTGCGTAATGGGAACGGTGATTTGTGATTCGGCCATTTTGTCTAACGGAGAGCACAACGTGATGTTTGTGCTAGAGTAAATTCACGCCGCAATTGATTTCCAGGCAATTTTCAACCAAATCATATCATGGGGCCCGGGGAGCATGGTTATTAAGGAAAATATGAGAAATGTGACAGCCGAAACGTGGTGCCTGTCAACCCGTCAGGCGGTCTATCCTCTCGCCATTTCTGGATCTTCAGCGAACGCCCTAGACCTTTTCGAGCCTCAAGAGCAGGGCATGTTTGTTAACGAATTTCTTATCCACCTTCTCCACTGGTGAAATCCAATGAAAATGTTGATCAAGGTCACATCGAGTCTTCCAGGCCTGAATGGTAGGTGGGACCGCGATAGGGCGCATGGCGAATGCCGAAGCCATAAACTGTCGATGTTGTGGTCTTCACTTATAAATACATGCATCTGAGGACAGATTCAATATTTATCCGGGATTTTATAACGTCAATGAGTAATGTCAGCAAGACGAACCAAGATGGTTGCATCCTGTCCTTAATAAAGTTCAATGTCCAGGCTATATCCTGTCATAACATGAAACTTTCTGCCAACGTGCGGCCGTTGACAGCATGGCATATAATGTCCCGGTTGTCCCACCTAGCGGAGCCGAAAACCCGACAAACGGGTCAAACATACGTTACCTGGTCATTCCACCAAGAATTGCCTCATTACTCCGTTTCCAGTCGCCTCCTTGAGATCCTCTGATGGTGCTGAGTACTACCAAAATCAGCTAACCCGCGCAACCCCTTGCTCTGCCGAAGCCAGAAGCATCCTTCCCTGCGAATTGGGTTTTTCCAAGGTTTAATCAGGGATGGATCAAGGATCTTAGCGACGTCAAGCATCTCAATTGGAAAACTGTCAGGAGCTTTTCTGCCAACGATCGGCGCGAGACGAAGGACGTTTGGCTGGTGACTGGCGGCAAAGAAAACTTGGTCCGCTTACATATAACCTGTCAAGCGTCTTCGCATACCCGTCGAAAATAGGCTGGATCTAGCCAGAATCGAATTTTATTCACTTGCGAGGAGTACGTTACTCGCCCATTCGTTCTGCCTTTCCCTCGCCAGCACCTCGATTGTCGTTTAACCAACGCCATTCCAGTCACTCATTTCGCTGACTTGGTCTTTTTGGCAAAGCTCAGCTCGAACGGCCAAAGTTTTCAGGTAATGCTAGACGCCCGGAAAAATGACGACTGAGGACCCCAATCGGCGGTTCGTCTACCAACTTGAAGGCACAGGTCTCAGTCTTGTCGTGGTTTCGATTGTTGGTGGCGTCGTGTCTTTGATTGTGGTTGGCCTGAGGACGTTAATTCGACTTCAAGCAAAGACCTTCAGCTGGGACGATGGCTTGATGCTCGGTGGTTTGGTAAGTCGAAGCCTCTCAAGATTACTATCAGCAGACCTGCTAGCATTGGTTTGCCTTATCAAGCCTAGGCTAACACTAGCTGTTAGGTCATTTACCTCGTTGACGTCGCCCTCGCCTGCATGGGTGCGTGGAGCGGCCTGGGCACGCGTAATGCAGACCTCAGCCCAGTGATGTTGGTCGAATCGATTAAGTACTTGATGATCTGGATGTTGCTCTACGTGGCAGTATTATGTACGGTCAAAACGTCGATTTGCATCACCACTCTGCGGATCGCCACCACAATGCCTAAGCTTCGACTTGCCGTCTGTATCTTGATGGGACTTACAATCGCCACATTCTTAACCACTTTCATTGGAATCTTGCTGTTGTGCCGCCCCGTGGCGGCCAATTGGGATACAAGCATCTTGCTCGAGGGTCGCGGCAAGTGTTCTCCAGTCAGCTCCATGCTGGCCTTATCGTACACTTCAACTGTCAGCACCATCGCTACGGACCTCGCCTGTGCCGTTCTCCCAGCTATCATCCTCTGGCAGACGCAAATGAAGCTCTCAACGAAGATCATGGTCTCTTTCGTTCTTTCTTTTGGCTCTTTGTAAGTATTCTGTCCCGTGCTTCCTTTCGAGGTGAACCCCTCGGCTAATTTCTACCCCTTCACATGACGCAGTGCTTCAATCTCGACGATGATACGCACTCCATATATCGACCATTACAACCGTCCGCTCGACGACCTTGCCTGTATGTGTAGGCTCTTACTCTTTGATGATTCATCGGCCATTTCTAACTTCAATTTACTGCCAGTCCACATCGCCAACATCCCTCTTTGGTCCAACGTCGAGACTGCCATCGGCTTCATCGCCGGCTCCCTTCCTGCCTTGAGACAATGTTTCTTGCGCCATCGTTCGCCACGACCCACAACATTGGGTCAGACTGACGCCTCCCATGGCCTCCCTCCAGGGTCAGTTGGGCTCGTTACCATCGGCGGCTCTGGAGTGACGTCCAAGAGCAAGAGTCGCAAAGGCACGAATTATGAAGACGACAATGCAGGGCAGGGGGATTGGACGCGCCTTGATGAGGACAGCGTCTCGGAGAAAAGCAGCACTGCGCCTGTCCGAGGGATTCGTAAGGAAATGACTTTCGAAGTGTCGTCGCTGCCGGGGCAAAAGAAAGGCCGCGGAAATAACTAGTTCCTCCACGTAGGTAGTTAAGATGTCTTTCACGCAGTGATAACAGTGTAATAGACGTAGTATCGTGATAGTACCAGTACCTACTTTGAATGGCTTCTATTGAGCCACTGAGCCGACGCCAAAGTTTGCGCCAGTCTATTGGAAAGAGTGTGTTTGAATGACGGTCATAGGCAATGGGCTTGTGAGAGGGATGAATGTGCCTCTCGCATCCTGTTGTACCGCTCAAATGGATTGCATTGCGTTCGGATTGTCAGCGCTAGGCTTCATTCGGCTACAGAATACTGAAGGCCTTGGAGTTGAGACATTAAATTGACCCCTGTCTCCCACTCTGAGGCTTACTATACCTGGTCTATATTGCAGCTCTGTCTTGACAACATCACCAAAACACCATCGTTCCACTTTCTCACCACTCCAGTCCGAGGTGAAACGACAGAAATAGCCCAGTCGAAAAATGATCATGTCTCTTCCACCCCTGCCTCGCTTAGAGCCGGCAATATACCGCTGGAATTCCGTACCAGGCGATCGCATTTCTGTCAGACGCCTTGCTCTTGGCACCGAGGCTTGGGTCGGTTTGCGTGCGCCAAACTCTCGTGGTCAATACGACAACTATTTCAACACCTCTCTCCGCGTCGAAGTTCCTGGGTTATCGCTGGAAATCCTCGCGTTGCAAATATCTGTGGCCCTGGTCAACATTCGATACCAGCACCCTGAGGTTGGGTGTACAGTAACCTGGACCACCGATGATGATCCTTCCTTTATCGACTATACTCCGCCAGTCTCAAATAAAGCTGCTCTTGAATGGGCACGCAACAGCGTTTCAACGGTGTCAATGGCTGAGAATGGGTTGGACGTTGCCGAAAGAATCTCGAAACAGCGCCAAGAGAGTCCCCCAGAATCATTTCCCCCAGTTAAGATCTATGTCGTCGGTCAGGCGTCGGAACCTGGGACTCTACTCGAAGTTGGCAGTCTAGTGGACATACTCTGTGCATTCAACCACATTCATTGGGACAGCATCAGCTCACGCATATTTGCGGGTGACTTGCTTCGGGGTGTTGCACAGCAATTAGACACAGGCGACAAGAATTACTCGGCTGTCAGTGTGCCTCGGCATCCTTGGGGTGAAGAAATTCTCAACCTCAACGAGCCCGTCCTCGATGCATGCAAAACGGATGTGGAGGGAGGCACTTGGAGACGACTTTGAAAAAACTCGAGATGAGTTCATCGCGTCATTGCTAAGAAGCGGGGTAAGCAGTTGTTTCTCCCCTTCCTAGCTTATTTGGTTTATTTGATGAAGCTTAAGTCGAAGTTAATATGGTCACTATACCCACTGACGTCTTGAAGTCTAGTTGGGGCCTCCCTGTCACTAACGCTATAGGCATGCCTCGAACCCTATGGAAAAAGTTTACTGCTGGTGAAAGCCAGGCCATCAATCAGGCTATCAAGAGTCGGCTAGGACCGCATTTCACCTTTACTCACCTCGGTCATGCTGCCATGGTGCTTGCTCTACTTCGAGTTCGCCCCTTGCCGTCCGACACCACGGATTCCCAGATGTTTTCATCGCCGCTGCCAGTCAACGGCAGGCGCTATCTAAGTAGTCGCGACGCAGGCGTTCGTTACGGATCATGTCAGGCTGGCGCTTCCGTAGAGTTCACACCGCTTCGTTCATGGGCTGTAGACGAGGGAAACCCTGAAGCCGTGAGGAATAACCTTGCGAGACTGGCTCGTCATGTCAGAGACGGCTACGAGTATTGGCTGAAGAATGAATTTCAACTGGTAGTAGATCAGGCGAAAAGCAACTTCCTAGCGAGATTTTTGGGATCGTGAGTAGTTTTCAGTCCTCATTTTAGTTTGTTGAGTTCAATGTTCTAAAGGATTTTCTCAGAGCTCCTTCATCATTTTCGCATACCAGCTTTCCGTTCTGTAGCCCCAAGTCTAACCCTTTTGCTTCATCAAGGTGTCTTAGTGAGCATTACTCACCTTTCGACTGCGTACAGGTCTTTGTGAGTGACGGGATAGTCGACAAATATATTCCACGAGAACTCAAGAGCACCGACGGTGAGAGATTACTCACAGTGGAAAGCTGCCATTTCCATCTCACTACTTATTCTTCTGATGGGTAAGAACCTTTTTGCTCCTCTCCCCGGTCTTACGTCCACAACCAGTCACTCAAGAGGCCAAATATCGTAAATGGCCTTGCTGATTTTATGGTAAGCAGACTTATTTGAATGGATAGTTGGAAGGGTGAGACTGGCCTTTCTGTCTGCTTCAATGATGGACGTCTTGATGAGACTCTCGCAAAGGCTTTTCTAGACGCCGTGATCGAGTTCATGATGGTCTTTGCACGCTGAATGATCAATAGCATTGGGCTCAAGACAATATCGCATGATTACTTTGCAACAATGTGTATCACGCATCTCGAATCGAGAAGCGAAAAGCATTTGCCTTCATAAAATTGCAAGAAGTGGCCTCTCAATCGATAAGCTCATTCAGCTCCTTTGGAACCTGTCTCCGGATCCAGTCCAATAAGCTGGGTCCCATGAAGCCCTTTCAGAAATTACCCCGACCGAGAGAAGTTATCGCTTTTCATGAAAGTCGAAAACGAAGTGGGCAGTGTTTCGCGGAAGCGTTCCGTGCGAAAGTGCCTTATGTTACCATCTAGAAAGGGAGTGGCATACTTGGCCGATTCGGCTTTGTGTTATACTTTCGTCGACAGCCTTCGCGCGCGTTGCATATTTTTCTTTCGACACCAGCCTCCCGACTCTAAATTAAGGCTGTTCCAGCATCGGTTGCCCTTGGCCGTTGATTACTGCCCTCATCCATCCGCACAAGTAATGAATATAAGGGGTAGTGGGGATTTGGGGAATACAGCGCATCGAACCCGAGCAGATTGAACAACTACCTTATGTAGAGACCATATAGCCAGGCAATGATGGAAGCGCCATTGCCCACCCTTGATGGATTTAAAGTACGTGGAGCGGAGTTGGTCCGTCAAGATTGCTCGCTAGTGCACCACAACACTGGGTAAGGGACAACAAAGGTTGGACCAGATCGTTCATCAGACCTCTCCCAAGTGCGTTAGCATTGAACACCCTGAATTTAGGCTGTCATCTCGTCTCACTCCTCGTTGACAGATGACATGTTTTTGTAGATGAATGCGGCAGACGGTGACATAAATTCCCGGCGAAGGCTCCTCAAAGTCCCGAAGACCCTTGTTTTTCGGCGTTGCCTCGGTCATTCTTACCCCAGATTTTAAGATCGGGATCCCTACCCGCGCGGACAGCAACCCCGCACGCGACGTTTAGGTTCTCTGTGGGTGGGAAGTAATCTAGAACTGACCCCAACGAAGAATTCTCGACAGTGATTTGGTGGCCTGATGTCTCGCCATCTTTGTGGGGTAGATCGACTGGGACGAGCGTGTACAATCCTCTCCGCCGCGGGGAACTAGGAGCCAGGTATACCACGTAATGTCCAGTCAGTATTTGAACATCGCAATTCCCAACTTCACAGAGCCAGAGATTTTGGTTCGTTTCGTTGTTCAAGAGCAAAGTGGTCTGCCACCTCTCATACAGCAATCATGGCCATCATCGGAGCCAAAGAACACCACGTCGATCCGCAGTTGTCGCAGATCGCGCAGAATGATAAGACAATCTGGTACAAGAAGCCAAACCTGCGGTTCCTCTACCTCATCCTCATCCCGACTGCACTTGGAGTCGAATGGACCTCGGGCTTCGATTCTTCTATGATGAACAGTCTGCAAGCTGTTTCGTCGTGGTTCGAATGTGAGATAACTCCAAAGCAAACCTGCTGGCGTTTTCCATGGCCCAGTACTAACACTAGCATAATTAGATTTCGGTCGTCCCAATTCGTCAAGACTTGGCCTTCTCAACGCAATGTACTCCCTTGGCGCTCTTATGGCGATTCCTTTCGTCCCTTTCTTCAGCCAGCGTCTCGGTCGTAGGCGGACTATCCTACTCGGATCCTGGATTATGGTTTTGGGTGCTGGGCTCCAAGCCGGGGCTAGGAACGTCGATATGTTCCTGGCTTCGCGATGGATCCTGGGATTCGGAATCCCCTTCGCAATCATCAATGCATCCTCGCTCATTGGCGAACTTTCCTACGCCAAAGAGCGCCCAATCATGACCAGGTAAACTCAACCCCTTTGTCATGATATTGAACTTACAGTTGCTAATATGTTTACAATAAAGTCTTTTCAATGCCAGCTGGTTCGTCGGTATGATATTAATCCCTATGAAACCTCTAAGCCGGGTATATTGCTGACCTTTATTACTCGACAGGGGCCATTGTGGCAGCAGGAATTACATTTGGCACTTTTCAAATGTCCTCCACCTGGGCGTGGAGGATTCCCAGTCTACTCCAACTCGTGCCCAGTGCCTGTCAAATCGTCTTTATGCCTTTCTGCCCCGAGTCACCTCGCTGGCTCATATCCAGAGACCGTGGCGACGAGGCACTTGCAATTCTTAGCAAGTATCACAGCGAGGGGGAAAATGGCGACGAGTTCGTCCGCCTCGAGTACGCCCAGATTATGTCCACCATCCAGCAAGAGAAGGAAGTCGCTAGCAAATTCCTTTGGGCAGACGTCTTCCGCGATGCAGCTATGCGCCGTCGATTCATGCTGGCTGGGATCATGGGCTTCTTCACGCAATGGTCTGGCAATGGCTTGATCTCTTTTTACATGAAAAAAATCCTGAATCTTGTCGGTATTACGGACAACCACACTGTGCAAAAGTTCATTCTGGGCAATACATGCTGGGGTACGTTGTCTTCTCGCAGATTATTATCAGCTATTTGTGCTAATAATTGGGAAAGGTTTCATCAATGCCGTTCCTATCGCCATGATAGCACCACGGTTTGCAAGAAGGAAAATGTTCCTTGTGTGTACAATCGGTACCGCTTGCGTTTACACCGTCTGGACTGTCGCATCAGCCAGATTCGCAATCGAGCAATCCCAAAGAGCTGCTATCCCAGTTCTAGTCTTCATTTTCGTTTACTCGCCGTAAGTCAAGTTGTCTGACCCTGCCATCCTATTGATTGAGATAGACGCTAATTTTCCTGTCGCAGGTTCTACAACATTGGCTGGAATGCCCTTGCGTAAATAGCCCTTTCCTCTTCTTTCTTGTCTTTCCCCTTCTCTGGACTGAAGATTACCATGAATTGATGAGCGCTAACTCCATCTAGTTACACTTATCTCGTGGAACTATTTCCATTCAGTCAAAGGTAAGATTCTGCAAGTACCTGTTTCCCTCTTGGCTACTTCACACTCCATTTTTGTCATCTTTTCAATAAAAAAATAATGTTAACACCACATATAGATCAAAGGGAATCGCTGTGGAGCAACTTACGGTCCGCTTTGCTGTATTCTTCAACACTTACGTTAACCCTATCGCGCTAGATTCCATCGGCTGGAAGTACTACATTGTCTACTGCGTGTGGATCTTGGTAGAGATTTTGACGGTTTATACGATTTTCCCCGAGACTCAAGGCCGCACCCTCGAAGAACTGAGTTTCATGTTCGAGGGCAAAGATGTGCAGGACAAAGTCCAGAAAAATACTCAAAAGGTGCTCCAAGTCGAACTTGAGGATATTCACGAGCGACCCGGCTCTCGGGATGCGGTTGAAAATACCAAGGTATGAAGTGCTGCTGGACCTGCTTCTTTGAAAGTTTGCTGGGCCTCTAATATTTTATTTCGTTCGATGGCTCGAGCTCTTCACTATTTCAATTTTCAGCGTAGTAATTGCTAGGCTAAAGCATCCGATTGATGTGGATGGTAATAAGAATGCCAATTACATTGCGTCACGGTAGCCGATATGCAGACGCTGTGGAATCTAGGATTTCTCTTCTAGCCAAGTGACAATTGCCGAAAGAAATGGCAGGGAGCACAGAACCCGCAGAACTGCAGACGACAGATTAATCGGGAACTTCAAATTCATCATTGGCCATGCCCTCAAGACAATGTCAGACCTGATTGAGAGGTTAGCTTCAGCCCTGCGGTGACCCACCGAGACGGGCCGGCAAGTGGGTCCACTTCTGCGGAGATCGGCTCCTCCCGGGGGTTTCTCTGGCGAGGCATTGGGTTTGCAGTCCGTTCACCTTTGCTTCCAGACGCATCAAACAATCCTGAAGCTGTTTCTATATATTGATTTGAAGCCGTTTGTGAAATCCTTGAGGGGGAAATTCATGTTACTACATGAAGTAAACCAGCAAGGATCCGGTGGGACCACGTCTTTCAAGAGTCAAATCTGGAAATGAAGGACGTGAGACCGCCTACTTGCAATCGCAGTCCAGGCAGAAAGTGGACCCAATTCTTTTTTGGCTCAGCTCGCTCATCATGAGGGAATATGATCCTACGTGGCTAAGGGGTGAGAGCCTGAAAGACCATTCTGCTAGTCTATGAATATAGCATCGATCCATAGATTGAAGTCCTCTCTAGGGCAGAGCAAATGTGCCGACTGTTTAGCCTTATTAGACTGATAGCTGAGCTCCGGTGAGCGTGCAAAACTAGTGATATCATTCTTGAACTAACACAAGAAGTCTAAAAGGGTCTGACCGACTCGGACTCGTCCGCAGTCGCATTTGACGTACGTGAGCTGAACTCCCGGTTTCATTGAATCATCAGATTCCTCGTCGAGTTCAGAGGGTCACTAAGGTGTGTGTATGATTTGTGGGGGATCTTCTAGCTCGTACCGCTTTAGTCGTACAAAAAAGCTGTTTCTGACTTCGTCTTCATCCTTCGTTTGGGCCGAAGGACGGGGTAAAGGTGAATGAAGTCAGCATCATCAAAGGTGCCTTTGGGTCTGTGATACGCTGAGAGAAGCATGGGCACTTGATTGGCTCCTTGGACTCCACCCGATTCTTTTTCTAAGGTGAGCTTTCTGATAAGGATGGCGCCCAAGCAGAGAGCTTGGCATAGTTGCACCAAGAATTATGGCGTCAACGTTGTCAACATCATCAGAGTGCGCTTCAATGCACATTCAGTTGGCCTAAGCAACCTTCGAATCCTTGAATGGAATCAGCAAAGTCACTTGAAGCAGAAACACTGAGTGGATTGCGTAGGGACGAAGCTCTCTCATATTGCACCCCAGCAGAAGTACAGCGCGTCTTTGACGCCAATCAGCCCATGGCGCGACCTCTTGGACGGTTCTTCGGTGTCAACTCGAGAGCTGTCTCAGCCACAAGGCTGTGAAACCAGCGACTTCTGACGGTACAGCATTTTTGCATGTTTGGATTTTGAGTCTGAGGGCTGCGTTGGGGGGCTGGGGACCGAAAGGTTGATCCAAACACAGGGCTGAGACCGTGTCTTGAGTCATTCATGGGCAAATTATGAAGAACGCGAGCACCTGAGAGAAGGGAGACAGCCACATCTTGCCCTGAGATTCCAAAGACATTTGCATCCTGAAGTCTTGTCACTGGGGCAAAATACATTTCCAGCTGAATCGGAACACGCAAAGCAAGGGCAGCTTTTTCCTACTCTTGTTCATTGCTAAGGATGTAAGAGATCTTCGCTGGATGTAGGGCCCTTGGAAAACGTCATATTCACGCCATCTTCGTCCCCATCAAATTCGCACCAGAAAATGGTGTGTCCGTATTTCAATGTGCCTTTTTGGGCCAGGGTAGTGGTTGGACTGGGAGACTGGTTTACATATCCACATTTCCTTGAACCGACGAGCCGTCACAAACATGCCATCCTCATAGCTGGTAGTAATTCCTGTTGGCACGTAGATACACGTGCATCCCCGTTGCTTGCTTGGTCTCGATGTGACTTCAAACATCGCAAGATTCCAGATTCTCAACGTGATATAGATGCAGTATTTGTGTTCTCAAAGCTTACCTAAAGTGGCCAGTCTGTTTGACAACAAGCCTCGACCCGGTCTCTGAAAGCTGAATCACGATGCAACTCATTTTTAATCTCCTACTAAGTGACTACCCGTATTTCCTTCATCGAGCTTCGCCAACGTACAGGCATGGTCTGGAAGGATTATCCAGGCCTCGGGTAGTCTAACACTAAACGAGTTGTCGTGAAAACACGAAGCTAAGATACTAGAGCTCGAAATCGATGGTTTTGATAAACTACAGGAGAAGATTTGAACGGCTACGAGTAAGCCGTAATATTTAGCATTTCCTAACGTAGGAGACTTCAAGCGATTGATATCGCGGAGCTCCATCTCACTCCGGGCAATTCGACCCTTAAGTTAAAAGTTAAGACGAAGATCAAACACACTGGCTCTTTCATGCAGAATCTCTCTTGGGCCTACTCTGCGGAGTCACTACACTTGTCCGTTTTGTTTATTTCTATCCTGTCAGCAGCTTCGCACAGCACTGCTGCTTTGAAAGCCTTCAAAAGTACTTGCATATACTGCATTAGTTGCTGAAGCGGGAAATGATGCCACGTATTTAGTCTTGAAATCGGCGAGTCAGAAACTGACTAGGTTGATGATAGTTTTCTGACTCATGAGGCATAGGTGTACCTTCATGGGTCGAGTACCTACCTGAGGAACGTGGCTCGCACTTTTTCACTATTGCTACCGATACCCCGTGTCCCGGGCCGGAAGGTTTGCGTACGCCTCCTCGACCCCGTGGGGTCCAAATATAGATTGATTTTGCCCAACGCTTTTTAAAAGGGCTTGCTCCATAATTTGCCCTGTTTCCCGTGTACAGCAGCCACCGGAACTACTCTTCACGAAGTCAGTGAGACATGGTGGGACCAACTGAGACCATTTGGAAGCCTTTCCGCCCTTTTGCCTCTCTGATACTATGGCCGGAGGTGTCTTGCCGCAGGCCCTGCAGTCAGGCGTCCTCTGTGCTTGCTGTTGAATCCAAGTGGCTTTCTGCCATGGTTTTAAAAGTCTCATAATTGCTTCCCGGCCTTGGCAATGACAATTTCATAAGGCTTTTGTCTGAGATTTGGAACCCCTCGAGATGTAGGAAGTTCCGAAGGCTAGCCCCTAAATTCAAATTAAGAGCCAGCACCACAGCATCACCAACGGGCAGACGATATTCGTTGTGGCACTTTTCTAGTGTCATTATTTTCAAGTACAAGCTTCCTGTCCACATGTGATGATGCCCAAGACATACAGTAGCTTTGGTTCACAAAGGGCTGTCTCAAGGCGCGTAAGTGTTCATGTCTTGACAGAGCATGCTGTGAAATACAGCATAACAATTTTCGGCAAGAAGCTTCTTGAAGCCTACGTCTTCATGCCGGAATTGATCTTGGTTCTCTAACAGTGACTACATGTACTGAGGAAACGGTGAATCATTGAATGCCTGAGCAAATTGCACTTCTCAATGCAAAGATTTTCCGTTTCCCATGGAGAGGGGCTTCGCTGGTTTGCTAAACTCATGGTGTAGGGAGAGGGCAGCTTGGATACATGTATATAACGCTCGGTTGGGCTTGGTCTTCTACGTATCAGCTTAATCATGAACCACAAGCTTTCCTACCTCACTTTCATCATATCAGCGAAAGGTTGACCAACACGAGGCATTGTCTGTAATACGCTTCATCATGTCTCCGACATTTGAGATCACCCTGCATAAGAATCATGACCGGCCTGAAGATCACATCGTATTATGGGCCTCTCTTAAGGTGAACACCAGTGTCTCTAGGGCCGATACACAAGCCTTGCCCGATGTCAAGGTCGATGCTTGGGCCTTCGCTGCTCATGGAAATCGAAAGATTATTATCAACATTCATATTGATGCCAATCATAATTGTCAGTTGCATCCCAAATATTCTTACTTTTTCACTGATACAGGTCCCGGCAGACAACATTGGGATTTCTTCTCCTTCTTCCCCTAACTTTGACGTTGTCCATCTATAAACATCTCGTTTTCCAGAGCGTAAGAACCGAATCCGTACGTGTTATTTTCTAGGAAAGTTTGTCTAACATATAACTATGAACAGAACTCGTTCAGGGATCATCTACGCCAGAGCAATCATCGTTGACGGCTGAGGCTGGCTCTTTTCGAACCGGGGCTGTCGAAAGCTGCCTCTCGTATTCTTTCCCGAAGTTCCATCTTGGCTTCTTCAAAAGTCCACCCGGAGAGGAGCAGAATTTTGAGAATAATGCCAATAGAGCCAGAATCAGCGAGATCGACTTCCTTCCGCATGTCCATACTAGGAAATTCATAGCCAGTGTTCAGGACGAAACACTTGGAGGGCTCAGGATGACTTTGGATCTAGTCCAGGCTGATGTTGCAGCCTGGCAGCAAAGGCACTCGCATAGCCTCGAACTGAAGACCGAGGACGAGAATTCGCAAGAATTACAATCCCTGATGTAAGAGCTTCTTCATTTCCAATAATGGCAACGAAAACATTCTAATGGCAACATTGTTAGTGAGAAGCTACCTGGACTCGTTAGGCCTATCGATTGGGATGTTCCAGCAGACGATGGAATCACTGCAGCAGCGGAATGGGTTGGTTCAGTGCAGTGGCCAGTTGCCATTATCTCCCCGAGCACTGTGACCGGAGTTGCTGGCATTGCCAGCCACTTGATTGCCAGAGGCTAATCCGTGAGTTACGAAGTCTGCGGGAGCGAGACTGTCAATGGCCGCAATGCAGTCATCAAGTTCTACTTTGGTGCGGCGAACAGGCCAGGCTCAGAGCCATTCGATGCTCTCAAGGACTGGGAAAGCGCCGTGAGGGCATCTGTTCCGGAGGGCGCATCTGGTCACGTCAACATGGGCCTGCTTCGTAGAAGTTACGAATTTGTCGACCCTTGCGGCTCAAAGAGACGTTTGTCTCTGGGAGAATTCAGAGACGCTCTTAATGCTGACATCAATACCAGCATACCTAGTAAGGACAGATAGCAGACCTACATTGTTGTGAGTTGAATTTGCATCCAACGGGGATAGAATGGGAATGCTCACTAGTGTTTGGTGCCATTGATGATTGGAAGTTTTGGTTTTCAGATGCTTGTATCCGTTGTCTTGTCAGTCCCAAAGATCCGTGGTGATTACAAAAAGTTGATGCTCAACAGGTTTATTCTCGATTCAGAAACCATGTATTTGTTTGTCCCTGAGTCCTGAAACCGAGATCAAATATAGCAAAATCAGATTTGTCTTTGCACAACGCCTCAGCCTATGGTGAAAGCCGTCCGCTTCCTCGGCCCCGGCAAGGGCCTTATCCTCCAGGACATCCCAGTCCCATCCCCAGGTCCTGACCAGGCTCTGATCCGCATCAAAGCCGCCGGGCTCTGCCACTCCGATGTTGGTCCATATGCCGCCTATGCTTCTTTCTCAAGGTCGACGTTGAAAACTCAATCTAGATAGCAAATATTCTGTGAAGCGGCTGTGTGCCAAAAGATAAGATTGCAAGAACCCAAAACTAGGTAGGTTTGCGGCAAGACGGAACTACAAATATCTAGAGCGCAGCTACTCCGTGTGTTAAACACTTATGATGCTTGTGCCGGCGTCCGGTCCACGGAGCCGACATCTCGCCAGATATCCTACGGGTAGCTAGCGGGCCTGAGAATTGCGGCACAGGTGATCGGCGGTTGAGTCACAAGCACCAAAGTAATGCAGAGCGGTCTCTCGTGATCTCAGTCCGGATCTTGCTGCGTCTTTGTTGCGTCGCCTGTATGCAAGGCAACGGTGCATCGTGACTTTGGATCCTCACTCTCCAAAACTTGAATCGATAATGACATCGTGCGATACCGGGAAAAAGTTCGGGTTTCTGTCCGTCGTAACTTGGCGTCAAGCGGGTTGGCTCCTCACCAAAACGTCACTTGATCATGCCACAAAAAGCAATGATAATCCGGTTTTCAACCGCCCACTGCGCTAAGTCCCCCTTTTATGGCGGATTAACCGATGGGCGAACAACCAAGTCCCCACTCCCGCTGTAAGCTTCCTGCAGGCTTCGGCGACGAACCGGTCAACGCCCCGAGCTTTCTCACTGTCCTTCGGTAGGTATCCTACCGGGATCGGACGAGAGGCCTTTGGACGTATGCGGAGCCGCGGCCAGTTAAAGGCGTCAGCGGGGCTGGGAGGTGATGTAACCGGACTTTGTTGTTCCCGTGCGGTCGACGGGATACGTGCGGTTCAAAACGTGGGGTAATTATGGAGGAAACTTGGAGGATGGGGTTACCCACGATGCGACGGATCTTCGCGATTAAGAATCTAGATTTTAATCTTACATAGGTACTTCCGTGACCTCTCTGAAAATCAAACTTTCCCTTGCCTCTGCTGACCTTCTCTTCTAGGCATCGAAGCAGTCCAACGGCATGAGCAAAAACAATGCTACTTCGACCTGCACAGTATACTAAATGAGACAACTGGCCAAAATGTCGAGTCCTACTAGTTTTCTTGCGAAATACAATGTCGCCAACCGGCTCTACAAGAGCTCACTGCTCAACACAGTGTGCTTAGTCGCCGGCATATCCATCTTCTTCTTCGGATACGACCAAGGGCTGATGGGTGGCGTCAACACCGCACGGGATTATGCTGAACTCATGGGATTCGGCCACTGGGACGATGCAGAAAGGATTGTTATCGTGGATAAACCATTGTTACAAGGAGGCATCGTAAGTGAATCACTACAGTAATCAAATGCTGTCCGTCTCATACTGGGTCAGGTTGCCGTTTACTACCTTCCCGGAACCTTGGTAGGATGCTTGGTGGGTGGGTGGTTTGGTGATCGATATGGTCGCCTCAAGACCATCGCCGTTGCCTGCATTTGGTCGATTTGCACCGCGGCTCTTCAATCCGCTGCGCAGAATGCGAATTGGATGTTTTGTGGTACGTACATGTACCTGCAGCTACCTTACCCAGCCTTACAATGTGAGGCCAGGATAATATTGACCTGAAGGAATAGCACGAGTCTTGAACGGCTTTGGCACCGGGATGTTGAACGCCATTACCCCGGTTTGGGCAACAGAAATTGCTTCTCACACCTCCAGAGGCAAGTTCGTGGCTATGGAGTTTACTCTCAATATATTTGGCGTTGTCGTCGCATACTGGCTACAATTGTGAGTCGTGTCACAGCCCCAAAGCAAGACTCTCGACATCTAACCTGGCGATAGCGGCACGTCAAAATACAAAGACCCCACATCATCCTTTATCTGGAGATTTCCCGTCGCTTTCCAAATCGTGCCTCTCATCGCTCTATTCATCATGATTTGGTTCATGCCAGAGTCCCCGCGATGGCTCGTCAAAGTCGGTCGAGAAGAGGAGGCCAGATTCGTCCTGGGCAGACTTCGCGGAACCGAAGGTGAAGACGGCGAGGCCGCAGAGGCAGAGCTCCAGGATATCATCAACGTTAGAAACCTGGAGCACGACACCGCCAAGCAGCAGACTTACTTTGCCATGCTCTTTGGCCTGGGCTCGGGCAAACTGCACACGGGCCGTCGAGTACAGCTTGTCATCTGGCTCCAGATTCTCCAGGAGTGGGTGGGCATTGCGGGAATTACAATCTACGGTCCTACAATCTTCTCGATTGCCGGCATCAGTTCGGAGCAGCGCCTTTGGGTCAGTGGCGTGAATAATATCACGTACATGGTAAATAAAATCGTCTTCTTCTATCATGTGCTCGAAGTTGGCAATGTTGACATTTTCTAGTTTGCAACCTTGATATGCGTGTTTACCATTGACCGCATCGGCCGACGCTGGACTCTGTATTGGGGTGCTATTGCACAAGGGATATGCATGTTCTGCGCCGGAGGCTTAGCAAGAGCAACTCTCAACGCTGATCCTGGTAGCCGTTCTGGACTAGGCGGTGCCGCAACCTTTTTCGTCTTTCTTTACACCGCAGTTTTTGGTATGTCGTACTGGTTATTATTTTGTTACAAGCCCGGTGAAGTATTGAATGGCAGAGGGCGGCGTCCGATCCATAATTGCACCTGGGTAGCCGACTAATTGCCCACTTTGCAGGTGCGACATGGCTTTCGGTCCCCTGGTTATATCCCGCAGAAATCTTTCCTCTACAAGTGCGTGCCAAGGGTAACGCTTGGGGCGTGGTTGGATGGTCCATTGGAAACGGGTGGACGGTGAGTGCACGACTGCTAGTCACCCTTGGCATTATGTGTGTCAACGACTAAGACCATTTACAGGTGCTTCTCCTCCCCACAATCTTTGAGAAGCTCAACGAAAAGACGCTGTACCTTTTCGGCGCTGTAAACTTTTTCTCCCTCGTCATCGTCTGGGCTCTGTACCCTGAATCGAATCAACGTACTTTGGAAGAGATGGATCTTGTCTTTGCTAGCGAGAGCATCTGGGCATGGGAGGCTGAGAAGGAGTTTGCCAAGCTCAAGGCTGAGAACCCTTCTCTTGTCCGCTCGGCACACATGGGGCACGGCGTTGTCGACTCTGGAACCGGTATCACGCCTTCAAAGGTGAACAATGATCATAAAGAGTAGCCTTGACGCATGTGGAGACGCGCATAACGTGGAATTCTAGAGAGTAGCCAGAGAGGAGAGCTTTTGGCGTTGATACCCAACTCCATGGACATGTATTCATAGCATTAGATTAGCTACCTTTGGAGGAAGCCGTCATCTCCAACCACACGGAAGGAAGAACTTTGAATGTGGTATAGTAGTGAATAAAGCTGATAATTACTTAGAATATCTTTGTCTCAACTCCTGGCTCCAGCCATTGCACCTTGTCCGCAATGCCCTCCTCTTCAAAAACGGCCCTTAGTTGGTCACCGTTTTCCGCAAAGTGTGCCCAGGACTCGTAATGCATCGGCACCAGAACATCTGCGCCAATCTCGAGGAACAGCCGCGCCGCTTGTTTCCCGTCCATGGTGACCAACAAGGGAGGATCGGAGATTGCGACCTCTACCGCACCAACATTGACGATAGCAACGGAAATATGGTAGTCTCCCAGCAATCTCGGGATCTCTTCGAGGTAGACTGTGTCGCCAGAAATGTAAATGACGTTTGGCAAGCCGTTTGTTTCTCCGAAAGACGCTGCCCTCAATAAAAAGCCCGTGACCTCTCCACCCGGGAGGTGCTGACATGGTACTCCAGTCACCTCGAACTCCTCTCCTCCAACCCGGAGTTTTGTAGTTTCCCGGGGCCTGAGGGCGGCGACTCCGGGACGTGGTGCAAGTTTACGGGCTCCATCTTCTGTCGTCAGGACTCTGCGACCGTCGAGGAGACGTCGCCCAAGTTCGTCCAGGTTATCGGGATGGTTTTCGTGGCTGAGAAGGATGGCGTCGATGACGGGTAGGTCATCCAGTTGTAGGGCTGGGCCTTTCGTGTTTCTGAGCACGGTCAAGCCCATATCCCACTCGGTACCGGCTGGGGAGAAGACTGGATCCGTGAGAAAATTGATGCCATTTATGTGGAGGATGGCCGAGGCGGTGGTAATGTGAGTAATGGAGAAGGAGCTTTTGAAGCTAGAGGACATTTTTGCGGTGACGGTTGAGGTTTCTGTAGACATTGATGAGATGGCAAGAAGCAAATGCCAAGCACCAGTGAGATTACCCAGTCTAATATACTACATTCAATGTAATCTGAATTTATAATCTGATTCACAGTAGCCTGATTCATGGGAAAGAGTGTGCTTGTGGCGATGCCATAGCCTATCAGTAGCCTACTGTTTGACGATCTGACAAATGGTTGCTCCGGTAAGTCCGATCAGTCCAGGCGAGATATCAAAGGCCGCAACACAGACGACAGCATATACAGGGAAATTTTTGAAATGGCCATGAGCAAGTATCGTTTTGAGGACAGCAAAGTCAAGGTAAAAAGCGATCGGTTGAGTGACAACGGCCAAATTGTCCAGTCCTGGCATGTTCTCGCTCTACTTAAAGCTTTGCGAGGACTTTTCAGCCACACCAGCTGGTCTCTGTGGCTCAGTCGGTAGAGCGTTGGTCTCATATCATGTACATATGACTCTAGATCACCTAGGGACATCCAAAGGTCGCAAGTTCGAGCCTTGCCAGGGACATTTCTTTTGCCAGATGAGCTTTTTGGTGACGTGTTTCAAGCTTGTTATGGTCGGTGATGGGGTGGTCTAGTTTACCACGGTTTTTGATTGCAGAGGATTGCTGCCACGTAATTCCTAGTATCTGAGTTGATCTCGAAAATACCTAATATCCCAAGCGAGTGACATGAACACGTGCCATCGGGATATTTTCGGATCATGCCTTTTGAATGGCTGGCGAACCGTGCGACCGGGCCGCAGCGGTACCTTACCGTGCTTAAGGTACCCAGATGAGGGAGGGCAGACAGGCGAACGAGTCCCGGATGCCTCCCGCCCCACCTGCGACCTTTCCTCTTCGAATGCCACGCCGCGGTGCGACGATGGCCCCTCCCCCCGTCCCAAGCACCCAAGTCCCCCAACCATCCACATCTAATCCCTCCTTCCCTCCACTCCACACTTCCTACGCCTCCGACACACCTTCGCCTACAGGTACAGCAGATCCGTCCATCGTCATAGCCTGGCTTACCTGGGCTTGCCGGTGTAATTTACGTCTGGCGGTCACACGGGGTCCCGAAGGCGCATGTTGAGCCAAGGCTTCGCTGCGACCAATTTGGGCAGTTTGCCAGTGGCCATCTGATGGACTGACCTGTCACAGCTCGCCCTAAACCATGTCACGGACACCTCCCACACAGACGATGCAGCCAGCGCCTCTAGCTCTGACATGATGCTTTGGATCGGTTCGCCTTGCCCCCCCTCGCCGACACCAACGGCTCATGGCTGCCGTAGCTGAAAGCTCCTACCTGCTACATGTGCTTACTCCCAGCACATCTTCGACCAGCTGAGACATGCGCCGATTACCCCGTACTGCCTACGCCCATTCATCTGGTCGCCTACCCTAATATGTCCCACCCTCCTCCACCATTTCCCGTCAGCTAGGAACAGCTCCCCTCCAGACACTTTTGCCTTTCAGCCTTGAACCATCAGCCTACCAACCACTTCGCCGCCAAGGCACCAGGAATATCCTTCTTCGAGTCACATTGCTCAGACCGCCGACCAAGTGACCGCCCACCTCTCGTAGGGAGGCGAAACACACCTCCGAGAGAGGCAACCCTATAAAGACTGCAAGGCAACGCGGAAATCTGCAATCATGGCGGCCAAAGACGATAGCAACACCCCCGCGGCATTCGCAGACGAGATGCAGAAGCAGACACGCAAAGAACGTCGCTTCGACGAGATCGAGGCACAGCTCCCCAACCCAAAGCTGCCGACGCTACAGTCGGCCTTCGTGACCGCCAGCGGCATCCTGTCGCACCTCGGCAGCTACAACCCCTGGGGCAGGCCGGTGACAGATGACGATATTGTTTGGCTTCTCGACAACACGGCGTACAAGCCGTCCCGCCTGAGCAGCTGGCAGGCCGAGTTCGTCGCCGCAATCTTTGAAAAGGAACCGAAATGCACCGTCGTCGACATTGTGCAGGGCGTCGCCGAGAAGCTTGGGCTCGCGGACGATGCCGAGGAGCGTAAGACGATTGAGGAGAGGATCATGCCTTTCCTCTGGGACGTGCAGCCGGCGCGGCACCTCCGCGTTGTGCAACAGAAGAAGGAGCTCAAGCTGGGTCCTTCGGGATCGAATGGCATCACTACGGACACGCTCAAGATCCACGATCAGCCTACCGGTTCGACGGTTACGTCAAGTGCGGCGGTGCCGCGGGGCGCGACAGCGCTGTTGGAGATGAAGACTTTCTTTGCTGCTCCAGAAGGCTGGGCAGTCATTTCAGGTAATTACGCAACGATGAGAAATCATCATCATTCCAGAAGTTTGCGATTCACTCACACGACAACACACAGATATCGACGACACGATCAAGTTGACGCAGACGAGCGACCCCATCGGCATCCTCCGCGAGACGTTTGTGAATGAACCAAGGCCAATCGAGGGCATGCCGGAGCTGTACAGGAACATTGCCGCACTCCTGCCGCAGGAATCGCCGTGGTTCTACCTCTCGGCGTCACCCTACAACCTGTACCCGTTCCTGAGGGAGTTCCGCGACAAATACTACCCGCCGGGGACCATCATCCTCCGCGACTCGAGCTGGAAGACGGTCGCGGGCCTGCTGTCGGCGCTGACGGTGGCGACAGAGCAGTACAAGGTGAAGCGGATGAACAAGGTGCACGACTGGCTCCCCAAGCGGAAGTTCATCCTCATTGGCGACTCTACGCAATCCGACCCCGAGGCGTATGGAGACATGTGCGTAGTGGTTGCCTTGCCTCGCTCAGAGGCTTTCCCCGCGATTGCATTGGCAATGACATTGGATTGCTAACCGTTTTATGCAGCTACCGCGAATTCAAGGGCTGGGTCAAGCTCATCTTGATCCGCAAGGTCACCGACATTGCAGCCATCGGCATCGCCGCCAAGAACGAGCCGGAGCGCTTCGAAAAGGCGTTCAAGAACATTCCTCGCGACGATTGGTTCGTCTTTGAGAACCCTGTCGACTGCAACAAGATTGTTCGCGACACCGTTGCCCAGGCTTGAAGGAAGGAAACATCCAACTGCTTCGGAGATGAGGTACACGGAAATCTTTTGAAAACACGCCAATGCCGGGGACAGGACATGGAATGCTGTGGATCGGAGTTTCTGGCGCCGGGGAACATTGTCTTTCCGTATTGATTGAACACGACCGTCATGACTTGAAGTCTCGAGAAGCTACGTAGCGAGCCTAATCCAACATTTTTGCCCTGCCCTTTCATACCTCATTTCGGGCCATCTCTGGTCGCAATAAAGGTCCTTTGACGTGGGTGACGTATGGTAGCAATGTAGGTAGGTGAACGTCAGACTCCAACGGCGGCGCCGTTTACAAGCACCGGCGCGTTCGGTCTCAGTAAACATGTCCCATTCCCTTCCACTTGACTTTCCGCCGCGACCATCCCCCCACCTCCATCGACCCTGCAGCATGCATTTTGCAGATAACACTGCGTGCAACGATGAATACAGGGGCGACTTCCGCCTGCCCACGGATAGAGAGAGACACCGTCCATGTCGGGGCGTCGCGGGAGGTGCAGTTCCACGGGGAGGGCATGAAGCTCTATAAGGGTTTCACGACCAATTTTTGCCTACAAATGCGCCGGATCCTGAGGGATCGGTTCTTTCGGGCCGGCTCGGGACTTTTTCCATGTCAACAGCTAGTAGATAGGTTGATTTACACTATGGCGAGCTGGAGGTGGCTGGGCTGAGCTGAGCGACCTGAATACTTCGTTCCTGGAAATATTTCCGGCAAGATAGAAGACTCGCATTACGTTCATGGGGGCGCCGCAGCCCCTGAAGACGAGTTTGGGGCGCATCAAGGCGGAGCACGCGAAGAATGCGAAGCTGAGGGCGCTGGAGAAGCCAATGGCCGAGGAGGAGGGTTTGGCCATGAAGGAGGTTGAGAAGCGCAACGCGACCAAGTAGCGTCAAGAAGGGGGACGAGGTGCTAGTGGAGAGGTGGAAGGTTCTGGACGAGAGGAGGAGGAGGACAGATGTGATGGCGGAGAAAGAAAGGAGGGAGACGAAGGTCACGAGGACTATGGAGGAGAGTGGGGAGAAGAGAAAACATTTTTTAAGGAAGAGGGTCGTGAGACGGAGAAAAAGTGAGGAGGGCGTTGTCGAGAATATGGGTGAGCTTTCTCTGTGAGAGGCCAGAATGTGGCGGGCTCATGTGATGCGTGTTTTGGCTGGATGATCATGCGGAAAACGGAGTTCCGGTGTGGCTTTGTGATGCCAATCAATGGTGATGATTCTCACGAACAATCAACCACTTGACGACCATTTGCTCTCAATGATGAAGCAGGTGGAAGACATACCTTCAGCCATGGTTGAGTAACCTGCGGTGACTTGAGGAAGAGCAGTGGATATCGGCTCAACGGCTCAGGGAGGACCACTGGCAAGAGATTACAAGAAGCCAAGGGTACAGTCATTAACGGTGATGATGTTGATGAAACGTGCCAGGTTACATGAGGCAGAACGATACCTGCCTTGCCTTCTCAAACCAGGAGTACCTTCCATGGAGAGGCAAAAGCCATCTTCGTCGTCAAGAAAAATGCTCTTTCGGCAAGAATCAACGGGCTAGGAATGCCAACTAGGAAGAATCAACAAATGGCATTTCCTGCCCTAGACGGCAACAAGCCTTTCGAGGACCTGCCCATCCCTATTGAGATGAACTCTGACTGACCTCCGACCTCCGACCTCCGTGGCTTGACTTCCCAACTACACCCGACAATAGTCGCAACAAAACTTTCGTTTGTTTTTCTTGGTACAATACCACTTCATTCATTTCAAAGAAACTTCACAGGATATTGTCAGCCTCAGGGCCTCGTTCTACTCGACCAGTAGCCTCCGTCCAGGTTTCTACAATACCCAGTCCTTTGCAGTCGTACCAAAAATCTCCAGCACCTCTCCAACATGTCTTCCAATAATCATTCATCCCCTCCTCAATACGAATTACAGGACATGGCGGCAGGAAATCCGGGCGCACTCGCAGCACCGGACACACCCACAGCAGTATCGGGCGAAATCCCACGGGTGGCGGGAATAACCGTCAAGACTCACATGTGGTGCGCTCGGCTCGCTGTCGTTCTCTGGATTTTTATTTCGATTATACTGTTAGTATTCGACATCATTGGGCTCTACCGCAATGAGACCCGCGACCGCCACGACGTCGGCGTCACAAATATGTGCGTCTTCGGCTCCGTCAGCGCTCTTAGGAGCATATGCTTCGCCGTACCCACGATTAATATTGCACTTGGACAGTGTTTCAACACAGCGGAACGTTTGTATTCGTGTCGATGCCAGAATTTTCTCCTGATTGTGTGCCAAGTGAACTTTTGGTCTGCCTTGTTTTGCCTCATTGGCTTGTTAGTGCACACATCCGGAAGTGATGTTTGGCCTCACATTACCCATAGCCTTGCGCTAGTTCTTGAAGCATTCTCGCTCGTACTATCTTCTTGGAACCAGAGCTACGGTTGTGAGAATGTTATGCAGCCCCCTAGCATTGCGGCATGATTGTTGGCTGGCGAAGAGTTTGGCATTCACAGTGGAAGATCAGCGAGGCAAGGCCGTAAGTGCAATTCTTACCAACACAGAGACATTATTCTTCTCTGACTCAACCAGTATGGTTCGATGCAGGCTCACGCATTCGTTTCTGGACTGAGTTTCAGTGGACTCGTCTGTCGAGAAGAGCGCAAATCGAGGCAGGAGAAGAACGAGGTGACACCTGCGGAGGATTCTCAGGGCAATGGATGACAGAATAGGATGGAGGCCATGCGGACAGCGATATTTGAAATGAGCGATGAGCGAGGATGATAATATTGAAGAAAGCGGTGCGGCTGTGACAACAGGCTTTGTCCACGACAAAAGTCTACATACAGCTACCGGGGGCTCACTTGAATAAATCAGACTGTCCGGAGGATCAAGCTTCTAGAGCAAGACCCATTACGCATATGTACTACTGGAATGACTGGCGCATGTCCAGCTTACAATGACCAACATGACATTAGCCCTGAGAGCAGTTTATTTCCATTGTCGCCATTATCTGTGCTACATGAAGCAATTGGTAGGTCATAATAAGCAATTGGTATGCGCATCTTTTGCATTTATCATATTATGGAACCAGTCAGCCCAAGTTCAAGAACCCTCAAAGACCGCCAACAAAACTCATCATCAATGTTAGAGAAGACTTTTAAACACAAGGCCCATCCTTAAAATCATCCGACGTGCCGCAGTAGAGGGTACACTCCCCGACCTCGATTTGACGCTGCTCGGGACCCGTCCACACCTCGCAGGCGTACCACTCGGACCAGTTCTTATTGGGGGTCCAGGCACCGGGGCCGGCGCCTTTGCGGACGCATTCTTTGCCGAAGACGTTTATTATTTGGTTTAAAATCACGTCTTGGCGGTGGTAGTCGTACTGGTCCTTTGTGCAGGTGTGGCCGGCGAAGGAGGAGCAGCAGATGTTTGGTGGGACGTAGGGGACGGCGGAAGAGACGGCGGGGGCGACCATTTTGGCGGAAGTTTGGAGTTTGGAGAGAAGTGTGTTATTGAAGGAGGGATGTACCGGTTGTAGGTAGAAGTCTTTGGTAGTTATCCGGTGAGTGTGTAGAGACGTGCCGAGCCTTGTTGGCCACGGTTGGTGGTAGTCACGCTTTATAGAACTCGGACGGGTTTCGTGTTCCTGTCGGACTTGAAGTTCAAGACGATCACCGAGTCAGAATCAGGTGGAGGCAACTGATCGACGGCTCTGGGCCCCATTTCCAGCCAGCAAAGGATTTCCGGGCAGCGGCGCCAATCTCCTACTTGTACTGATCACGCAGAACCAAATACAAATCCCACTTGATTCTTTGTCACCGATCCAGCCGTACGATGAACAGCACTGTGATATACTATACCACCAGTTTCGGTACTCACGCTCTCTAAGCGACATGTTTGCCTTGTCCTTGTCGTCTAAGCTACTAAGTCAAGAGACTCGAAAAGCAAGACTTGAGTCTTGGCTTTTCACTGAGGACGCTTTGCTAAGACTCTGGATAACCTCGGATTCGGTTTTGAGATTGAACATGACTTTTGAGACTGAAATAAATGATGTAGACATGGATTGAAAGTGGCTAATCAATTGGATACGGGGGAGCGCTGACTAATGATTGGTCTGAGGGTTATGAAGAAAAGCTTAACTTGGAGAGCCTGTAAACAAGGCACAGCCTGAGCTTTTCTCTCGCGGTCTCACTGAAAGCTAATTTTATTACCCCTAGGTGCTTTGAGAGTATTGTGGATGGTCTCGTTGAATGTGGAACTCGGGAAAACGGCTCAGGCAATGTCGTGGTACATGTGGCGTCGATTGCTGCCCGCAATTAATTGCGTCCTTCTTGTGACAGGTAATGATGGCCTGAGGAAGGTGGCTAAGAGTTGGCAATTTCGAAGGGCAGGTTCTTGAGAAGGACTGTACCCTTTCACTTAGAGATAAAACCAAGTCATCGGTACAACATTGGCCATGACGTGAAATGCCTTCTTCCCCCTCCCCCCACCCTTTCCCGGGGAATACCAAGCCTTTACCTGAGGATGATTCACTAGGAGGAAGTTTTGGGCGACAGGGTGACAACCAATAAGTCAATGCCGGAAAGTAGCCAGCTCGATAGATGGACAAGAGATTTTCTTGCGACGTATTCGTCTTATGGAGCAAACGGTCCGATGCGGCTTTGCCTAGCATAGTCAATTGGCTCCCTCAACGGACATTATAATCGCCTCATATGTGAGATTCATAAATGAGTGAATGTAGCAAATGTAGTTAAAGGGGATTAAAGTTGGAGTAAATGTAGTTGTGGTCCTGACGCCAGGTCAGAGGAGGTCGGTCCTCAAAGGCGTCGAGGGGAACCAGTTGGAGTCGAAAAAGGCGTCACAGCTCTTCCTGATATGGTTACTGGAAAGAGAGAACTGTCTCATGGTAAGCTGAATTGTTTAGACTGGTCATTTCTCCATGTCGTTCCCCCGCATCCGGAGGTCGACCTCCCCTGAGATAGGCGGAAAGGTTCCAGCTCTCCACATTCTTGTAATTCCCATCGGGCTTGCACATGCCCATGCGGAACCTAAGGGCGTGCTGTGTCTGATGGAAACTACCAAGTCCAGCGTTGAGAATTCAGAAAATCCAGCTTTTTGAGTTCTTCTACAGAGCACGTTACCCCTAGTGGTATCCATATTCATTCTTGGAGGGTGTTAGATACGAGCTCCGAGAGTCTTTCAGTTGAGTCTGTAATATCCGCTCAGTCATTTTGGACCGAAATGATGATTTTTTTCCAAATTAAGAATTGGCTTCTTCTACAACTTCAAAGCCCACTAGCACCAGCCCCCCCAAACGAAGTTTTTGTATTCTACCTATGTCACATAAATCCGTGGGGCTTCATCATCACGGGATTTGTGCTTTCCATCAGCTACCCGTTTGTTGTGAATTTTGTAAATTACCACTTGGAGTATCGCAAATGCGATGCCCACTGAAACCATGATGATTTGTGTTCTCAGTCCCGTTTGATAGCTACATGAGTTAGCGAATAACAAGGAACTAGGCTCTCGCTGGTGTTAGTAGCTTGAATTACTTACAAAGGCGCATCGTTCCCACGATAGTACTGCGTGCCCACCATCAATCCGCTGATAGAGAGCATCACCCACATCCTATTTGACATCAGCATTCCTAGAATCAAATGTCATGCTAGATAAGTTTTCAACGTACGCAATACTAATACTTCTCTCGCCTGGTTCCCGGCAATTGAGTTGTACCCACGAGTTATTGACAGGATGGTACCCAACCGCGAAGCTATTCACAGCAGTCCAGAGCCCCCAGCGCGACCACTTGCCGACATGAGGATGTGCCGTACGCGCAACGATTAAGACAATAAGATAGCAGAACTGGGCCCCGATGACTGAGAAGCCACGCTTGTTTGTTTTATCGCTGATATAGGCAAAAATAAACACAACGACCAAAGCGAGTGACGCGCCCACCGCAGCAAGTGCATTGGCTTGGATGCGGTTGAAGCCGAGATTCCTGGTGCAGCGAAGTGAGTGGAAGACTATTCAATATCGTGACGGGCCAAGGAAATATGTCCAACGCTTACATTATGATGGTAGGTGTGTAAGTGGTAAGAGGGCTCCAGGTGGAGAAGACAGCAAAGCTGCTTAGGAAGTGCGGCCAGCGCTTCCAATGTAGAACGGTCTTCCACACGAGCTTGAGAGGAATTCGCATTCCCTGAGCACCTCCTCGTCTCTCTTTATCATCAACCTCTAGGCGTCTTTGGATAATGTTCTTCTCCGAGTCTTTGAACCGGATCAGGCCGGGGCTCAACAGCGGATCAGGGGTGTCGGGGGACCCCGGTAGGAGGAAGAGCAGCGAAAGCCCAACGAAAATGGTAAAAACACCCTCGACTAACCCGATATTAGCAAAACTATATACATTCAAATCAGTAGGAATCGTTCGCGTACTCAGGAAAAGCCACTGCCAACCACGCAGACCGCGCTCGTTTTCGAGCTTCAAGATACCCGATGCCAGTATAGGACTCAGGGCATTCCCACTAAACATCCCGAAGAAGCTGCGAGGAGTAAGAAACCGCACCCTTCATCTATCTCGTTGGCACTGACAAGATTGCAATGCGCTTGGCTAGCTCCTTTTTCGTGTACCAGGTGGAAAGCGTATAGCAAGCCCCTGGTATGTATCCCGCCTCCGCAAGACCAAGCATCATTCGTGAAGCCAAGAAGCCCTTTCGGTCTACGAGGAAAACTTGCATAGTCGCGACGAAGCCGAATAGAATGACCTGAGCGGAGATGTACTTGCGTGGGCCAATCTGATCGTCATTCTGTCAGCAGAGGGATCCTCCGTGCCTACACGAAGACAACACTCACCTTTTGCAAAAGCATGTTTGACGGAATCTCCAATACGACGATCCCAAGAAACATGAGCTGGTTTCCAAGATTTATGGTGTCCTGATTGACCCCGATATCTTTAGCAAAGCCGCCTGTGAGGGCGCTGGCAAGGTTCATGCGGTCAAGTTGAAAGACGAGCAGGCCCAGGTACAAGAGTGGAAGCACCGAGCTGTCGATTCTGCCAAATAACATGTCAGCGAATCACTTTTTGAGTGAGATTTCCTTCCCTGTCACAAGTTCAACGTATCAACTCACTTTCGACGAGCTCGAGCCTCCTCATACTTAGTCCAGTCTGGCTCCGGGACTGGTGTCACCTGGCCGGGCGAATAGACAGACTGCAGGCTCTCCTGCTTCAGCTCACCCATGTTGTAATATGCTCAAGGCAAAAAAGATGACTCAAGTTTGAGTTCGATGGGTTCTTTTCCCAAAGAACGGGTTCTGATCAAGTTTTCAAATGCATTCAAGCGCAGCTGTCTTATCACGCCTCTCATTTCGGCCTTTGGAATTCATAAGCTTCCTTCCCCGCTATCCTTAGCTTTACGTTACTCTGAGCTTATTGCTCACTCGCCTGGAAGGCCTGCCTCAACACTCCGTTGACATACCTTTGCGTACTACGAGCTGTGACCCCCCTCTCGGTGCCACGGTCTTGGGAGCATCACGCAATCGACCCCAACCCTCAGTCTAGCGGCATGCCATGTCGGTAAAGCGAGGCTGATTTGCTACAACACCCGGCCGATAGGCACATGCCGTTGAAGATTCTCCACTTTTGGCCTGCAGGTCGATGGCTACAATTGCCATTCTACTGAGCACGCCATCTTTCACCATCGCGCCAAGACAAACCCCGAGTAGTTTGCCTTCTCTTTTGTCGGGATTTGAGCTTTGCAATAGGTACCGGAAGAGCGACTTCGGAAAGCTACATCTTGGTCAAAGATGAGCCTTTGGAAATGTCTCATTTAGCATTTGAATCGACGTCTACCTTAGCTTAATCCGCCTCCACGTCCTCGGGTCCTGCTAGTTCATCGTCGTCCGAATCTGTCGAGCTCGGTTACCCGAAGAGCGGATGAACTTGAGAAAACATTTCACTCATCATCCCACTGCCTCAACCACACGGGCTCTCAATTCTTCCTCACAAACCAGCTAGAAGCTCATGTGAAATCCAGGGCCCTGAGAAACAAACTTTCCCTTGGCTTATCACCACACCACAGAGCCCTGTGGCCAGACTTTCCTGAAGATGACATCAGAGGCGAAGCACGCAAAGCGCGTTGCGGTCATCGGCCTTGGCCCGGCCGGTGCCATCACGATCGATGCTCTTGCGAAGGAGCAGGCGTTCGACATCATCAGGGTCTTCGAGCGTCGTGAGGCTCCGGGAGGATGCTGGTGAGTTCATACTTGTTGCCTTGCACCCTCATTTCAAAAATGCGTAACCCATCTCCTCTCCGCGTTCTACGCACACTGTCGCCCCCCAATATTGACTTGGTATCCCGTGCTCACCTTCATCAACAGGCTAGGTGAAGAAAACCCACCGCCCCTCATCCAACCAGAGGAGCTCGGCCTTCTCTCTTCACGAACGGCAGATCCTGCGCTGTCGTCAATCCCGTCCAATCTCCCCGCTCAATTGCCAAAGTTGCACTCGCCACGGTATTCTGAATCCACGGTGTACCCTTACCTCGAGACCAACGTGGATTTCGTCCCCATGCAGTACACCCAGGAGCCATTCCCCACTCAACTGTCAGAGCTCTCCAGATCCATCCACGGAGAAGATACACCCTTTCGGCACTGGTCCCTAGTCCAAGACTACGTCCGTTCTCTGGTCGACCGAAGGGGCTACGGAGATTTTGTTAGTTACAATACCACCGTGGAACGGGCTGAAAAGGTGCCTGATGCAAGCGGTTCCAACGAGGAGTGGAAGCTCACATTACGCAAAGATGGCGAGAACACTGATTACTGGTGGGAGGAGAGATTCGATGCCGTGATCGTTGCGTCTGGGCATTACAGTGTGCCTTTTATCCCCCTCATCGACGGTCTGTCTAAGTTTGCCAGAGACCGTCCCGGAAGCGTAATTCACAGCAAGCACTTCCGAGGTCACGATGCGTTCAAGGGAAAGAGGGTCGTGGTAGTCGGCGCCTCCGTTTCGGCAGGAGACATCGCCTACGATCTGACCTCGGTGGCCCAAGCACCTGTTTATGCCGTGGTGAAGGGACATACTTTCAACGGATACTTTGGTGACGAGGCTTTCAACCACCCCCTGATCAACAAGGTTACCTCCATCTCCCACATCGAACCGGCCACTCGGACCATCCACTTTGTAGACGGGTCATCCGTGTCTGACGTGGACGACATCATCTTCGGTACTGGATACACCTGGACACTCCCATTCTTCACGTCCCCGTTATCCAACTCTTCAACCAAAGCCACCAAGCCACTCCCGACTCCTCGCAACAACCGCATTCCAAATCTCTACTTACACACAATCTATACCCCGGATCCCACGATTCTCTTCGTCGGTGCCGTCAACGCAGGTCTAACGTTCAAAATCTTTGAATACCAAGCCGTCCTCGCCGCCCGACTGCTCGCCGGCCGCGTCTCATCCTCCCGGCTCCCATCAACGGAAGCCCAACTCGCTTGGGAAGCAGACCGCATTGCAAAACGCGGCGACGGCCCAAAATTCGCGCTCGTCTTTCCAGACTTTGAGGAATATTTTGAGGAGTTGAGGAGACTAGCTGGCCCACCCACGGCAGATGGCAAAGGCCGAGAGCTGCCGCCTTTTAACAAGTTCTGGTTCGAGAGATTTATGCAAGGTCATGAGCGTCGAAAGGACATGTGGAGGAGGTTGAATGCGCAAGCGAGGGAAACACCACAGGTGGGAGCGAACGGTTCTGTAGGTGGTGTGCTGGCAAAGTTATAACGCTGCCTGGCTTCAGTGCGGTCGCCAGGGACATACACAGATAACCCACTTCAACGAGAATGACATATGTCTGAGTCTGTGAATTTGCAGAAAGAAACTTGCAGGTTTATCCGTGATTGAGGAATGTGATGCTGGTCATCTGCAGATTGTGAAAGGCTAGTCCAGCCCGCCTACCAACAGGGCTATTCGCCCAATTTCTAGGCTATTCCTTAAAATGAACGTAACTACAAGTCAGGGACTTGTAGCTTGGTTGCACTTGAGTAGTATGGGCCCAGGAGGTGGGACTAGTCCGTGACACAAAATCGTTTGATAGTCAACCACGACCCTGTCTCCAAAGTCCCGTTTTTCAACGTAGTCTGGGTTTCAGCGGACCCTGCTCAAGTCCTTCGTTACTGCTATGATAGGACTGCGTCGGGATTTTCGGGTTTGGAGTCGCGAAGAACTGGGGCTGATGACAATTGCATTCAATCATTGTACATAGACGCCGTATCTCGACTCATACCGTGGCAGGAGTGACGAGTATGTATTAGTCTTTGAGCGGCAGTCAGAGCCAAACACACCGTCATCAGCCACCTAGGCCAAGACCCAAACACAATACCAGTACACGGCCAAGAAAGACCTGCCTTCATTTCCGCCGTTCGTCTCGAGCACCGAGTTCCAGGCGTAGAAGTCGAATCAGGAGCTGCCGAAACTCCTGTCAAGAGGATGTATGGAAGTCTGAATAAACCTGGTGTCGTTTACGACCTAGCTTTTGACTATGACTTTACCCAAGTTCCCCGAGACTTTGGAGACACGCAGCTGAGAGTTGAATTTTCGTGAGTTTTACCCCCGTGTCCCACCAATGCCGACTCGATAGCCTCACCATGCCGGGATAGAGATCGAGGGTAAGCTGGAGTAGCCTAGGCAGGCCAGGCAGAGGGTGCTGGACCAGCCTGGCAAACGGTAAACCTACAAAACCAAGCAGAAAGGCATTGTGAAACGTTGACACGAAGTCGGGCCAGAGAGAGGAAGAGGTATAATCGGCAAGGGTGTTCATGTTGCTCATTACATGCTTTAATAAGCGCTGAGAAAATGGCCATGTACAATGATCACCTAGGTATGTTTTCTGAGGGCCTACGCCAGCACTCAAGACGCCGCTCCCCTCCCTAATGCTTCTATGTGTATCGTTGCCGGATCTTCCAGACTGCGTGTAAAATAAAACAAAAAAAAAAGGCCGTAAAAGGGTATGATTATGAAAAAGAGAAAGAGAAGAAACGCAAAACACACATGACGCCCCAAGAACCCTGCTCATTTCCGGGTGAACCGTGAGAAGAAGCTCTTCTTGGGCTCCTTCTCCTTGTCCTTTTCCTTCTTGAGCCCCCTCGACTTGCTGGCCTCTTCCTGGGTATCGAGCAGCGTGGTGTTGTCGTTCATGACCTGCTGAGCATGCGACACGGTTCCCGGGTGGGGACCCGGTGGACGAGGCGGTGGCGGTGGACCCGGCGCCGGAGGACCCGGAGGCGGCGGTAGTGGAGGGAGTGCGTACTGGTACTGCGGCGGATACGGGTGTTGTCCAGACGGCGGCGGCGGCGGAGAGGCCGGAGACGGCGGCAGAGCGTAGCTTTGCGGCGGCGGCGGGGCCTCGAGCATGGGGACCTGGTTCTGCTGCTCCGGCTTCTGCTCGTCCGCGAAGAGGTCAATGACCTTGCCGGCGCCAAAGAGTCTCTCGTACACGGCAAGGGTGGTGCCAAAGTCCTTGTGGCCGTCGACCTTTACGGCGTCGAGGAGCTCCAGGACGTAGGTTTGGCAGTTGTTGGTGATGAGGTTGTAGGCCGGGTGCCGCGACCTGATGCTTTGGATGACGTACTCGCCCGCGCGACGGATGGCGTCGTCGTTGAAGGTCGTCGCACCGACGGTGAAGGTGCGCCACTCTTCGCGCTTGTACCGCTCATTTGTGTAGATTACGTGAAAGCTCTCATCCTAGGCGGGGTGAGTTAGGGTCATGATTGGGGGTGGGGGGGCAAGCATGTGAGATGCGACGACGACGACTCACCATCCACAGCTGGTGGGCATAGTCGCCGACCAGGACGGCCCAGTGCTGGGTGGGATCGGGATACTTGTTGATCTTCTCGGTAATCAACTTTCCCAGGCCCGTCTCCTCGGCGAACCATTTGCCGGCGAGGCCGCCGACGGGGTGCCAGCCGACCTCGACGACGCGGGAGGAGCCATTGATGACGGGCTGTGTGATGGGGATGACATTGGGGGTTTGGCCTAGGCCTACGGCATGCTTTAAGGCGAGTTCACCCTTGGTGTAATTCTTCTTTCTGTCGTCGAGTCAGTGAAAGCGCCCTTTTTGAATGCCTTCACAGGGAGCATGGCGGTGTGGGAAGAGGATGGCTAGGGGATGAGGGGTTGGAAGCCGTGCTCGTAGGGCTGGGGGGGGAATGGGTAGATGCGCAAAGTGCATAGAATGAAAATGACGCGCATACAGAAACTCTCCCACTTTGTCCCGCTTTCTCTTCCCTTCCTCGTCGGATCCCGGTTGTGACATTACGATATCCCAACGGCGCGGCGCGGATTAAACGGGGTTTTAATGTGTGTGTGAAGTCGGTTTGCGGGGGGGAAGGGGAGGAAGGGTAAGGTGAGCGCCGATAAGCGACCAATTGGGGTTCCAGTTTCTGCTGTGCTAGCTCCCGGCTCAACAAGAAACGGGATGGCGAACAGTGGGAGGGTTATTTTGTTGTTCACGTTTGACGGTCAGATCGGGCGTCAGATCTTGGAAGTGGGAGGGGAAGTACGGATAATTGGAGGGGAAAAGGCTGGGCGTCTTACAAATGGGAGGCCTTTGGGAGGGCGGACGCGGAATACACGGCAAAGTGCGACAAAGAAAAGACTGCTAAAAAAAAAAACACTCCGTAAAACAAAACAAGAACCGATTCTAACTGAACCTTGCCATCGTCCACTGCCTCGTTGCCGATGGGCCGCGATGGCGGCGGGTTCGGGCTGGCCGACCCGTGGAGGCGCATTAACAATATTTAATCTAATTTCAAGCTGCACCGCGCCTCCATTCAACCAATCAGATGGGCAATGCGACATTGAATTGCCGTCTCGAACGAGTAAATCCACGCGGCCGCAGCAGCGCAGGCCTTGTTTTCCTTGCGACACAGCCAAGCACACAGAGGCTGAGGGTATAGCTGCGCAACAGCAGCAGCAGCAGCAAGCTGCGGGCTCCGTTCAACACCCCTAAATGATGCCTGTGTCTCCTGCAATGTCAGCGGGCCGGTCCGAGGAGGCTTCTTTGAACACCGATGGTCGACAGCGGATCTTTTGGCACCGTTGCTACTGCTCTTCCAGATCGGGGTCTGCCCAACTCTAGTCTCTTGGCAGGCCCGGATGGCTCGGCGCGAAGTTCCAAATACGCGTACTCAATACGACCAAGTTGTCTTCCTTAACTTGGTTCACAAATGAATCAGTTCAACTGCATTCATAAGACTGCCGTCCCACAAGCCGTCCATCTCACCCAGGTAAGCCGAGGAGCCCGGGTCCCGGGTCCACGGCAACGCATGATCGGGCATCTTCAGATGGGTCTGAAAGCATCAGTTCTACTTGAAAACCTTGCGAGCTCAGGCTCAATGCTCACAAGTCGAATCGTCATGATTCTTTTCGGGCCTTAATTTCGGCCAACCACACCGCCCCTTCAATTCCCATTCGAGTGAGGTAGTCACATTCAAATAGATCACCAGTGAGTTTTCGGATTGTTTTCATCAAAGAAGTTCCCGGACGTAATATGAATGATTACTCTCATCAAATTCGTTTTTCTTAAGCGGTAAGCCCCGCGTTTTGAAACTCAGCTGCCCAGACGTTGATGGATTCAATGTTCGTATTGTGGGTTTTCCCATACCCCCCCGAGGCATGTAATCGAAGAAACCTTATTCACTTCAAGTCAGTGTGTACACGACATACAGATGCAAAGGTAGCTTCACTTATAATCACCTTAATACCATTTACTTGACTACGTTCAAACTACTCATCAATCAAGTCATGTAAGTCATCTGTTCGCATGAGATAGAACGACGTACCCGAATTGACAAATGTGAGCGACTCAACTCGCAGTTCACTGTTCCCTAGGTTATTGCTTCCATATTGTCCTACAGATAGTCGCAATAAAGCTTGACAAACATGAGATTCTTCTTGTTAGAAAGTTGAGTTCATAACGGCATGATGACAGATACTAGGAGACCTCCAACGATACAAAACACGAAGACTTCCATCAAAGAACATGACCCTCAATCCCATAGACAAAACCCCCCCAGCTCTAACCAACCCAAGCCTCAACAACCTTCTCCGCCCTCTCCGCATCCTCCAAAATCGCCCTCCGCCTCTCCTCGCCCCTGGGCACAAAATCCACCTCGAACCGCTCCGGCCCCATGACAAGATCAGAATGAAACCCAGTCTCAATGCTCGTATCCAGCCGGCCGACCCCCTCGGCGGCGGCCGGAACAACAGTAAACTCCCACGCCAACTTGGCCATTGTCATCAAAATCTGGTTCTCGGCATATTCCAGCCCGGGACACATCCGCCGCCCGGCCCCGAAATTATACGTCGCGTGCCTCTTGTCCCGCGCCGCCGCCGCCGCCATCGCCGGCCGCACGCCCCACGGGTTCGCCAGGTACCGCTCCGGCACAAACTCGTCTGGCCGGTCGTACCACCTCTCGTCCTTGTGGATCCCGTACGTGTTGAGCAGAAACGTCGTGCCCTGGGGAAACGTGAAGCCGCGGTAGACGTCCTCCCTCGCGAGGACGCGAGGCACCCCCGAGGGCGCGGCGCTGCGCCAGCGCATGGCCTGCGTGGTTGTTCTTGTCAGCTTGCTCGCCCAAAAGGAAAAAAAAAGACTCGTCAAACTCGACAGACGAACAAACAAACGAGCAAGCTTACCTCGGTGAGACATGCCCGCATATACTTCGCCTTGTCCAGATCCTCAAACCCAGGCGCCTCCCCCGGCCAAAGAGCATCAACCTCCTCCTGAAGCCTCCTCTGCACCTCCGGATACGCCCCCATAATGAGCACCAAAGTCCCCGTCGTCGCAATCACCGTATCAACAGCAGCATCCAGCGTCCCCGCCCCCAGAACCGCAAGCTCGTGGTCCCCAAACCGCGCCCCCTTGACCGCCGTCTCACCTCCCCCCGCCTCCCCCCCGTCCCGAATCATCCCAGCCATCAGCGACTCCGTCTCCCGGCCCCGTCTCCCGCCCGCAATCTCGCCGGCCTGCGCCCGGGCGCCCTCGAGCATGTGATACATTGTCCGCCTCATCCCCGCCTTCAGCGCCGCCGCCTCCCTCTTCCACCCGGCCGCGAACGCGGGGAGGTACTTCATCACGGGGAACAGCTCGACCGGCGGCGCCTGCGCGGGCGTAAGGAACCGCAACCACACATCCTGCGTAGCAAAATACGCCCCCGTCGACGCCGTCCGGCCCTCCCCTTCCACCACCCTCTGCCCACTCACCACAGAGAGCGGCGTAGCCAACGCCCAATGCCTCAAGTGCGTATGAAACGCCCCCGGGTCCTCCAGGATCCTCCTCATCAGCAGCGCCGCGTGCGCCGCCTGGACCGGCACGACGCGGCCCAGCTCGGCAGGGCCGAGCAAATGGTTCCGCAGCGCCGTGCGCGTCTTCTTGATGGAAGGATCGTTATTCATAAACAGAATCGTGCCCGGGTTGATGAGCTTGGACGTGATGTACGGCTGCGGCCGGTCCGAGTAGAGCGCGCCGCGCTTCTCAAAGAGTTCCCTGACGTGCTCGGCGCTCGAGAGGATGACGTAGTTTTCAGCGCCGACCTTGATGCCCACAATGTCGCCGTAGGCTTGTGCCCACTCGTGGAACTTGATAAAGGGCTTTGTGGGTGGGATCTGGTGGACGTTGCCGAGGATCGGGACCGGGGTGGGACCGGGGGGGAAGTTGGGTGGTCTTCTGCTTGAGAGGATCCAGAGGGCGAGGAAGTAGAGGAGAACTGCCGTGGGGAGGATCAATACGGCTGGGGAGCCGATGAAGGAGAGGAGGCCCATGATGTTAACTTATTGTCTCTTATTCAAAGGGTGCGGCTGTCGAGCAGAGAAGGGTGAATATCATAAAGCAGAAAGAGAGAGAGAGAGAGAGTTATCATGCAACATCCATCAAACGAAGCCAGCAAACCACCTCCCCAAACCTCCTTTTATGCTCCTTTCTCCGTCTCAGCAACTTGGCCGACATCATCGCCATCGACAGTCGTGTAACCTCTGCCAAGCACCACAGCGCCCGGTTCACACCATCTCACCCAAATCACATCAGCGCTCTCCCCCGTACCCGACTGGTCAAAACCAAGTTTGTCTCTCTCCACACGAGATAATCGTTGCGATGGCCGTCTGACGTTACAACAAGAGGCAGGCCGGTTGAGAAATATCATGTCCAACCTCTCGGCAGCCATCTACCGTTGGCTCAGTAGGTTAGCACCAGACACACACCTTCTCGAGCCAAGCCCCACGACAACGGGTTGGCACCAACCGGAACCCCCTCTCTGAGCTGCAATGGTCGGATCAACCCGCTGCAAGTGATTGCGGGCCGAGGAAAATTTGTCGAGTCTGTCGATTGTGAGTAATATGCAGTCAGTGACGGAATAGACGACTCTGGCATGGGTCGGTCAGCGGGACGCGAGTGACAAAAGCAGACTGGGGTCAACCGTCACACGCATATTTTCTCTCCACCCACCACGGGTTTTGTATTTTTGGCTGCTGTCCAATTATCTCGCAGGCTTTTGTAACTTGCCAATCGACTCTCAAGAGATCTTTGCCTAATCTGTTGGACACATCAACGAATGGGCAACGAGATGTCGTCGCCCAGAGATAGAGAACGGCGGTTCGAACAGCCAAGAGCGGTGGCCTGCCACGTTAGGTGCCGTTGGGCGAGATGTCACCTCGTAAAGAACAAGAATCACAACACTCAATTTTATGCACCGCGCAATAGAAAGACGTACTTAATCAACTGTTGTTATCCTCGTTCGATGAAATTGTATATATAGCAAACATAATAGATGTACGTATGGAAAAAAAAAAAAAAAACCTTAGAAAAAATATTTAAAGACCACCACCCTACAGCGATAGAGGGAAAGATGCAAAAAGGCAACGGGCGACCGTTGACAATGATTTCCGAAACCGAGAATCGAACTCGGGGCTATGCCTAACCTCTCACTGAAGATGAGAGGGCATCATGTTGGCCACTACACCATATCGGATAATTAGTTGTTCGTTCATCCGTTGTGGGGGCTTAGATCTGGTGGAACACGGCCTCCACGGACAACCGTGGCCATCGCGATGTGGGGGGTTGAGGCCTTTGGACAACCCAAAGGTGGGAACGAATAAACAAACGTCAAACATCACACTGAGTCATCCTGGAACGCTACTTCACAAGCAAGTGCGGTAATTAATGGGTTCTGAACATTGATTCGTCATCAGGATGCGTATCCTATTCATGATGTCTGTCCCTGCCTCATCCACAGAGGCGTCGTGCAGATTAGCCTACATATACATTGTACACTTTTGGACCTTTTAGACGCCGGAGAATAGCCTGCCGCACCATCTAACAGTGACGCCGGTGTCCAACATAGACACGAGGGCCTGGCCTGGTATACCCACAACTCCAGTCCGTCCATCCATCTAAAGACCATCCACCATCCAAAACCACAAAAAGTAGGATACAAAGTGGAACAAGACGTCCTTCCTCCAGCTCACTCTTGAGCGAGTGAAGGTCGAATCCAAACAAGAAGTGTCCATAACTCCGACATCCACAAACAAACCACTTCTGGTCGCTGTCGAACAAGGGAGAATGAGATATTTCCCATCATGCAGAAAAAATGTGACAACTCGGTTCCAGCGCCGCCTGTTCACGGTCCCGGCGGATGAGGCCTCAAGCCCAGACGAGAAGTACAGGGCAAGAAAGCAGATTAACGCCGCGTGAAGTGCTATCTTGAGGATAGAACTTTTCATGACATAATACCTCGACGCGAGGTTAGAAAAATTGGGTATCAAAAGTGAAGGAGAATAAGGGGTAAATATGTCGCCGGAAATGTGGGAATGTTGTTCCCCGTTCGAAGAAAAATTGTCGCGATGCAGAACGCTTCGTCCGTTGCCTCACATGGGGGTAGGTGTCGGTGCGCCTCGATCTCGGCTCATCCAGCCAAAGAGATCGCCGCGGCCCTGGGTGCTAGTGTTGCTGGTCTGGGGCTCAATGGGAATTCGCACCGCCAGCTCCCTGGGCTCCAAGAGTAGACTCTTTCGGTAGTAGCTGACTTGGACATTACCTTGGTCGCTCTCGCGGACGCGCACAATCTGCGCCGCCATCCAATCTTGCATCTCGGGGATCTCTGTCAAGCGATACGGAATTTGGAATCGTTGAAGCTCCCCGATGATCTTGGCAGTGCGCGTATGCTTATCGAAGTTGACGACGGTAAGACCACCGCCGTTCTCCTCGGAACCATCGCCACCAAGGGTTGGGATTTGCTTGGTTGCAGGGTTGCCAATGTCGACGAATGTCAGATCCGTAAGGAACATCCCAAGGAAGGGCAAGCAAGGAGGAACGTGGTCGTGCAGACGAGTCCGCAGCATCTTGTTGTTCTGTGCAGGCTCGACGATTGCCTGTAGAGTGCGAAGCATCTCACGGCGCTTGACAGAAACAATGTCCCAGGTCTTGCGAAGACGGCTGATCGTACTGCTGTTCAAGCTGCAAATAATGGCCATCAGGCCGTCATAGTTGTGGAGTTCAAGACATTGATGAGCAACCTTGATCCACTGCTTGATAACAGCGGCACGCTTCTTGACTTCCGAGTGCTGCAGGATCGTCTCGGCGACGAGGTTGGATAGGTCAGTGGACAGAGCCGACATTGCCTTGACATTGGGTGCGTCGACACCGCCCTTCTTCATCCACTGCGATGCAAGTAGCTCCTCGGGCATGATGGAGCAGAAAATGTTCATCTGCCTAATGGTGAGCTGGCGGGCGATTTCGAGTGGCTCGAAGTCCAAGACGGTAGGATTGCCGCCTCCGTTCTTCCACGTAAATAGCTGTTGAATCTGGCTCTTTGTGAGCGCCAAAGGTGGGTGCGGTGTGTCGGCCGGGATGTACTGCGCAATGGACGTGTTTGTCTTTCCCATGGAAGACACAAGGCGTGGGACGAGGGCAATGTCCTTGGCAACGCGCTGGGCAAGTTCCAGAAGTCGCCGACCAGCGGAGGGCAACACCGCGCCGAGCTCGTACTCCGCGAACGGCCCAATGAGACTGAGGGCCTCACGGTCCGTCTCGTCGCGCCAGTGCGACTCGAGCCAACCCTTGAAAGCATTGTATACACGCAGCCTGACTGGGCCGGCCATATGAGGAGCCTCGGCGACGTAGTGGAATCGATCGATGAGAGTCTCAGCCAGCTTGAGAGGGCTACTGAATAATCGGAATGTGAGATAGAAGGTTGAAACGAAGGTCGCATCGGGAGTAGATTCGTGTGTTGTCAGGCGCTCGACAAGAGCCGGAAGTGAGCCTCCAGTGACTTGGCCCTCTTTGTTGAAAATGAGTTCGTGCGCATATGTCCTCTCAAGCATCTTAGACTCGACATCGTCGACTTCTTCGTTGTTGGCGTTTGCGCTTCCGGCGTTGCTAAGCTCTGACATGGACGGCTTGAGTTTTGGTGCCAGAGAGTGATCCGGAGTGGTTGCGCGCGTAGATGTTTGGGAGACCAAGCTGGCCTCGGAGTCTCGGCTGAGATAAGTGCTGCTGCTGCCGGCGCTCGAGGCAACCATACTGTCAACACGGGAGGAATTGTTGTAGTCGCCATCCTGGTTTTCGATGGGGCTGTACTCATCTCCCGGGAGCAGGGATGTAGACAGTTTGGGGAGAGGCGGGAGCGTCGGCCGCATCGACGATACTGAAGACACCATGCCCGCAACATTGTCATTATTGGCTGAAGACGGTCGCGAGTTGGGTGCAGAAGAGTTCTGAGACGAGGGCCGACGTCTATGACCGTGTGGTTCAGTGCCATCGACCGGCGGTAGTTGAGGCAGTGGCTTGTCGTTGGCGACGAGACTCGGCCGTTGCTGGTGGTGGGGGGGCGTTGGCGGCACAACGGACTGAGCGGAGTCAGAGCTCCTCGTCGACCCCGCTACACTGGTCGCCTCCGTCGTTGTCGTCTCTGCAACGGATGGTGCGATTGATGGTCGACGGTATTGCGGCTCAAGAGCAACGTCCAAGACGCTGAGATCGATGCCCAGCTCGCCAGCCTCAAACTCGCATTCAAAGTCACCCACACGCTCAATCGCCCACTTGGTCTTGGCTACACACTCGCCGGCGGCCTTCACACAGCCCGTCGCAGCCATCAGCAGCAAGCTGTTATCCTGGGGCATGATTACGTCGGCGTCCTGGAATGCTGCATGTCGAATAATCTGACCTGCTGCTGTTACCAGTTCCCGAATGCGCTCAAACATCATATCCCTTGCCCGGAGCAGCATGTCAGAGCTGGTGGTCTGGTCGCAGACGATGTCAACAACAGCCAACAGTTCTCCACCAGACGTCGCCGAGAGTTTAATGGCGAAGGCCAACTCCGGCCGAGACTGGGACTGCAAGTGCAGACGGCCAATGAAGGAGCCCAGGTGGGACAAGAACGTATCGTGGCTTTTGTTGAGGCGTTCCGAGACAAGGTGATGCGGTCTTGACAGCGGAGAAGGGCCAGCCAATGAGACGCGATGTGAGATGCTGGATGACAGCCGTTTGGCATTCTGAGACATGCGGTGCGAGTTGGGACTAGCGGGAGACTGGAGAGTCGAAAGTCGCCTGCTATTCGGTGCGTTCGACGTTTGTGCCGCATTGCTTGATTGCGAGGGCGTACCCCGGGTGGGTGTGACGTTTGTCGGTCCTCGGGAAGCTGCATTATGAGTTGCATCGAACTTGATCTGATCTGCAGGTGGCGTCGGTGGGATGTAGGATTCCTCAATGACGGTAGCCATTACAGTCACTGCGGGAGCGCGTTGCCTGCGATCATCCTCGAGGATGTCGAAAAACCTTACACCCTTGGTGACAATCTTGAAAGCCTTCAGGATCATTTCATCAATGATATCATTGACATCTTCTTTTGACTGGCTGGCGCCCTTCTGGGCTTCCTGCAAACGTTTTGCAGTCTTCACCAAGGCCGACAACTCTGATAGCAGAGTCTTGCGTGCGCGTCGCAGGCTTTCATTGCGGGTGATGATAGCCGACTCCCTGGTCAAGCAGTGCGTGCGTTCCTTTTGTTTGGTGAGTAAAACGAAGCTGGCCAGGACGTAGCACAGAGCAAAACAAAAGGCTTACCAAAAGATAGCGTACTCCGGCAATGATACCCTTCATGAATTCTTGGTTTCCGAAAATCTCGCTGTCGTTGATGGATGTGCTTCGCAGAAGGTCCCAAAAGTTGAGCAGTGCTTTCAAAAGGTTCCTCATCTCGTCCGGGTCGTATGCCTCGCAGTAGTTTGTCGGAAGCCATCCCCTTGCGCCTGATACCAGCAGGGTTCCGTCGGCCCATCCATTGGTATGAATTGAGTGCACCAGGATAACATCTCCCTCGTTCAATGGGAGAGTAACGCTCGAGTCGGTCATGGCGTAGCTTGGATGGAAAGGATAAAAGGCTCGCAGGAAGTTGTGGAAGACCGGCGGCGGCAGCTGGTCCGCTGCCAGGTCTTCCTGCGAGCCATTGGGTGTCGCGGGTGGTGTCATGTGTGATGCTGGGTTCGACTTGTAGTGATCCTGTTTCGAAGACAGAGCATCGCAAGACCTGGATTTGTGAAGCTTGAGAGGGGCCACTTGGAGGCTGGCACGCATGGAATGGTCGCTCAGCATTACCATGGCTGCTGCTGGTAAATCTCGTAGAAAAGCATGGGCAGCCGTCGTGTAAGCGGTGTGCGCGCGGTTAATAATTGTCGGGTTCGAGGCCGCCTCCTCAGTCGGGTCCAGGTCCGATGCAGTCGTTAAGTCAGGTCCAACCTATCCCTCGAATACGAAATCGTACTGCTGCGCCTCTGCTGTGGCCTCGTGCGGGTATCGGATAGGTCAATGGGTGCCGATGCTTCGTTCACGCAAGGTCGGGTCGAACCAAGATGCGCCTCAGGCGTAGTGTCCTTCCTTTGAATAACAGTCGCAAGTCGCAAGTCCCTACTTCGAGTGGGTTGATGTTGCAGTCAGGTGTCCGGATCGAAGCTGTCAAGCTGATGTTGACAGTCAGTTGACGGCGGAAGAAGTGAACAGAAGAACAGCCCGCTTGGCCTGTGTGCAAGGTGGTTTTGATGGGAAGACGTGCAAGTTATGGAATGTAGGGAGGAGATGATGGGCATTGATGTGGGAGGGGAATAGGAATAGCAGGAATGTCATAGCCCTGGGACGGACGTGTTGGAGGGATCCTTGCCCGTGCTAATAGTGGATAGCTGCATACCAGGACCAGGGCTTGACTCAAGGTTTCGGGAGCCCAAGAAGAGGGCACCATGTGAGTGCCCAAAGCGAGGGACGATCACGTAGGTAGTACCTAGGGAAGTGGAGGGGGTGAGCAGCCAGGCCAAGCGTCCGGGAACTTTGGAGGGTGTGTGGATGGAGGGATGGATGAGTGGATGTACCGTGCCACACACCACATTGTTCGTTCCCTGTAGCGTACGTACCTTGCTCGACGGGGGGGTCTTCGTTTTATTTTCTGACTTTTCTTTTGGGCGGTTTGTCGACGTTGAAGATCAGTTGTGGCCGCCCGCCAGACTAGAAGAGTAGCGTGCTGCTCGAGGACTGGCTGGGCTTGCGACGGAGGCAAGCTTGATGTATCGTGCGTCAGTCTGGCGTCGCTTGTCTCCCGAGGGACGGCTACATGCGACCCTGGAGCCCTTGAAGGGAACAAAGAAAGAACAGAAAAGCCCTAGCAGCCGGTTCGCGCGTTCGTGGTGCGGATAGGATGGATGAATAACAGGCGAGGAAAGCAGAGGCATGGATCCGATCGGATAGGTGATTAGTAGCGTTACGGAGCACGAGGGGAGATGCTCCGTCAAGAGGGACGGGGTAGGCACGTCACCGCCGTAATGACCTCTCCCCGTTCAGGTGTGTGTGTCCTCCGTACTATGTATGCAGGAAGTTGGCGAAGCGCCAGGGAAGGACGGGGAAAGAGAGAATGCGGAGAAGATTGAGAGAAGGCGCGAGGAATGCAATAGTTGTGATGTTCGTTCGTACCTGATGCATGTGCATATGCAGTGAAACTCGAGCGAATGTGACTCTGTATTGTCTTGGGGGTGTGACAAGCAGACAGGCAAGACAGACAAGATGCCGGCCGGGGCGCCGCGGACGCAGGACCCAGACGCAGGTTCCGTCCCGTATCCCCCCCCCTTCCTCCCCCTTCACCAAAGCACGGTGGCTCCTAGTAAACTCGACCCTCTCTCAGTTTGCACGGTATCGGAGCCAGGCAGGGGTCGGCAATGCAGCACAGCGGCGAGGTGAGCTGCAGACAATAGCTTGATCGCCCTAACACCCAAAGAGATCAGGAAGACGACCACGACGGGTTCTTTGATGGCAGCCGGAAGAGACGAGGCAGAAGTGTTGAGGGACTAGTGCAATGCGACTGATGAACTGCGTAGTACCGGCCAAAGTTGCATCATCATCGAGGCCTCTGCACCTTGGACGGTCCTCGGACGGTGCTGTGACCCGCGAGGTTTGGAGGCGCAAAAAAACCGAGCGCACTGATGCAATGAAATGGTGACGGGGATCGGCGAGTGGCCGACTGGAGATGCCGTGCGCGCGGCTGTGTCTTTGCCTGCCGCCCACCTTTCGTGGAAGGCCAGGCCATTGCAACAGATTTGACGCGACGGGGCCGGCCAGGCGAGGTCAGATACTCGAGGCCACGATTTCGCAAGGCGGACCGCAAGGTGAGGTGTTGGGCGACGACGATGCGCTCGGATTGTGGTTTGCAGCATCAGACGACAGCTGCCGATGGGAGAATGCAATATTGAACGACGGCAGCAGTGGGCAGCAACCGAGAAGTTCTTGGTGACGCCGTGGACTTCTTTCGAGACTTCCTACTCGAGGGCCGCCAGCAACGCTCTTGCATTACTCGTCGACATGCCGCGATGTTGCCGTCGTCGACATCTGCCGCCACCACGGTGATTATCTCCTGCCGCACCTTGAACTCCGTCTGTTACTTTCTTGCGCAGACGGCAACTTCCTGCCAAAGCTCTGGTGCTCTCACTGACTCTCCCCTCACGGACTGCGCCACCAAAAGTGCAAGGTGCGAATGAGACTCGGCAGGTCAAGAATACTTATCCATCCAGAGGCCGTTACCCTTTCTGTCCAATCCCCCCCCCCTCCTGCGTTGGAATCCACGATCCCTTCAATCTTTGTGTCGACGTTCCAACCCGAGGTAACCCTTCTGTCCCCAGCTCCACCTCCTCCTTGGCCTTCTCTCCGTGTTGCTTGCCCACATGTATCCCCAAGGCGAGGTAAGGTGAGCCTAATACTTTGGCCGTCTGCTGCCTGCTTCGTCAGTCAAAAAGTGCGATTCGCACACTTGCTGCGTCAGTGGCCTGGGTTCGACCGTCGGCGACCCCTTGCTCGCCGCGGCTTGGTCCCAGCGGTCCCTCCTCCCACCTTAACGGTCTGCTCCTTGCCCTTGCTCGACGTGACGTTTTCCTTCCTGTTTTTCTTTCTTTTTCTTCCCGCCCAGCTCCCTCTGTCCCCCTCACCCGGTATCGAGAGTTCGAGACCCTCGCACGACACGCCCTTGGGCGTGCACTCAGGAGTGAGGACCAACCGGTCCCGCTGACAAAAATCAATTGCGCCAAAATCGCAAATATGTACCTGGAGCGGGTGGCCTGGGAGCCAGGCCCATCGACAAGGGGGGCATTTAGTGAACGACGGGGTCTCTCCCGGCCTTTAGTCTAGGGCTAGGGAGGATACCCATCCTGGGCCGCGCGCATTGTCTTTCCCTCTTGTCTCCGCGGGTCTCCAGTGATCAATTACGCCCAGGTGTCGTTGAGGAAGCCTGGTTGGTGGTTGATAACTTAATGACCAGGGGCAAGCCGTCGCGGCCACCTGGCAAATTCCCCTACTTTTGCATCCACGCTGAAGCCTGCCATTAATCCATCGTCCTGATTCTGATCTTTTGGTCAGACTCACGGGCGGTTGTTCGGGGCGCCGACACGTCGTCTGAGCCCTCGAACAGAGTCCGTGGCGTTGCCTCCGTCTCCTTCTCGTTTCCCTTGCTGTTTGCCGCCTGCAGGGCAGGTTCCGCTTGCCAGGGAGAATACGACGAACGACAGATCACCTCAGCTCAGGGCAAGGTCAAGGAAGTCAAAGTATGTTGCGCAGCGTAAACGATCATACCCCAACGATGCGGATGAAGACCAATCTATCCACAAAGCTCCTTTCTGGCGGGGATTTGGACCACCATGCTCTGCTTCCTTCTCGGATATCTAGGTCTTGAGTTCTCGCGGTCTCGGCCCTGGCGCCCTGCCCCTCGTTATCGCACCCTCCCCCAAGATGCCGGGTCCAACGCCTCCAGTCTCCATTCTGTTTGCGGACTAGCTCATGGCGTCGGAGGCTCCTGGTTGTCGGAAGCGATGTCGATGGTGATTTGACCATGGCGAAGAGTTTTTGGTCACCAGTGCTGAGCTAATCGATATCTGTGAATGGATGATGTGATGTGCGGCTCCCACGCGAGGCTCGGTCGTGCTCGCTTGCGTTGGACTGCCTTGCCATGCCTTCCGTCTCCCCTATGGCGTAGGCCCAGTCTACCCAAGCAACCGCGCCGGCGACTGTTTATTCAGGCCGGTCGTGTCAACGAACGACGATTCGAGAATCATCTTAGCTGCCTGCCCCCGAGTCGAGGCACATTGTGATCATGCCAGACCACCCACGGGTCTTGCATAGGACCACGGGCCCGGGTTGCTGCCGAGCGCGGAAGTCTACTTACGCAGACCAAGTATCAGCCGATGCGGGCGTGGTCGGCTAACCGTCGTTCCTCGATTTTTGTGCAGACGTCAGACATGTTCTGGCTTATTTTGACATTGATCGTCGCCGGCGGGCGGGCGAGAAGAACTACAACCCGAGTGTCGTGCCCTCTTCACACTTCACAGTGAGATACCGGAAACTCGCGTTCTCATCTTTTCGTGGGGTCTGGGGTTGTGCCATGATGCTTGTATCGGGATCCGAAGCAGCAGAAGAGGGTGGATATGCCGCACCGTTCCCATATATCCAGTCAATACAAATACTCGGACTCACCCTTTTCGGCCGCGGTCCCCCTCTCAAATCGGGCAGAATCCACAGACCTCGATGTACTTGCCCTGCTCCATGGCACTTTGCTATCGAGCTGTCTCGAATGCTAGTCGCTGTCGTCTTCCAGTAAGCGACTCTCCACAAAGAGCGCCAGCGGAGACATGATGAGTCGCGCCGGCATGCTACTTCTTAGACGCCCGCTTAACATGACAAGGTTGGTAGGTCTTTTGTTGCTTGTCTTGCCCCAGCAACCAGACAATGATGAGTGGGCGCATTTTTGTGCGAGTCAAGCCAGGCACAGCTGTCAAGTCATCCTGTTCTTGGTTGCGCTTGACCATAAACCATGTATTTTTCTGTACGCACGTTGCTTCTCATACGTTGACGTCTTCGTTGACACTTGGTCTTGGTTTCTCGTCAGCCGTACCACAGGGCGAACTTGCGAAGAGCTAACTAAGAGCGCAGGGCAGCTCTAGCTGCGATTTGTGTCTCTCAAGGCACTACTGTCAGCATGTGTCGATGGCCGCTATTATTTCGCGCTGCTAGCTTGGAGTTGGACGCTCTCCTAGCACTGATGCTCTCCCCATCCTGACTGAGTGAATCTGGACGGTGCCGCAATAGTTCATGTTCTCCGTTGCGGTCAACAAGGACGCAAGCCCAGATCGTTTACACCCGCACAGCCGTTGTCTGAAGCGCGTATCCGTACTTGACCGCCAAAAAATGGGTGGCCATTGATCAACAAGCAAACGCAGATGTTTCTGAGTCGCTGGCGTGGGCTGTCCACAAGCCGTCAGCCATAGATGTGGCCTCATCTAAGACTGTTTCTCGGCTCTAGTGTGGCTCGTTCCAGATATGAGGCTGGCCCATGGTGCCGTGCTCGCCAGGGCAGAGCAGCCAGAGACAGTCTTGATCAGGTGTCTCTGAGCTTTATGCCACCTGGGTCATGTTGAGCCGTTTGGCAAATTTGGATTGGAGCAGCCGATGAAGCGGGCGCGCGCTCTTCGTTCAAACATGTAAGAATAGGCTCAACCAACATACAGGTGGCCGGGATAATAAGCCACACGGCCAGTATCGGGTACCAATCAGCATTGAACGCCGGGCGACTTCTGTAAAGAGACATGCGGCTGGTGAAGATGGAAATAAGTATCCGTAGCATGCACGGCGCAATGCGAGGTGCGTGATATGTGTGACGGACGACCTGGATAGAAGCGATTCATGCGTCTACCTGCAATTGGCGTCATACCATGCTATTCCATGTTTGTTTGGCGCATGTGCAGAGGAAGGGCTGGCTGGTATGGTTCGGATACTGAATGTTCGGTTACGATGTTGCATGCGCCGGGGGTGCAAGTTTGGTTCAGAGCAACGCTTCGCGGCCTAATCTTCCATTCGACGTCGGGCAACGGTACATCCAATTTAGACATCTGCCACTGTCCAGTCTCGCGGTGGCAAAGTTGAAAGCACGGCTTGATTGATTGCTTATTCAAGGTGTTGATGTCGCATTCGAAGTGATGGCCGAATTCTTCTTTGCTTATTCCATGATATGTCACTTCATGCCGGGCCGCCCACCGTTGCGCGCCTCATCTCCGAGGTGCTGCACGATGCGGCGAGTGGTCGGGTATAAATCCTGCGGTGTTTTCAATAGCGGGAGGCACTCGTCAGGCGAGTATCGTGGAGGTGAGCAAGAGACAAATGAAGAGGCGAATGCGGCGGTGGCTGTGGCTGTGGAATTCAGGTGGTGATGCGACTGTGAGACTTTGAGGCGGAGGAGGAGGAAGTTGGTCTTGGCGGCAACGTCCTCTCGTGTGGTTGTGGTCACTGGAAGGGGAAGTAAAGCCTGAGGCAAATGTTCACAATGTCTCCAGCTTCCAGTCTGGCAGGAATGATATTCGCACCTTCCTTCACCTTCCTCAAGGCCCGTTGCGGTTTTTTCGAGGTGCACACCTGCCCTGGCCAACCAACACTGCATTATGTAATCCGTACACTTCCAGGTTCCTACTTTTGGTACGTATCTGTAGTTGGGTACTTTATTTGCCCTGCCCTGAGGCACCCGACCTTAATTATTATCTACCTTGCTTGTGATTCCTCAATGCAACCTTTGCCGCCTGTACAACTCTGGCTGATGGTCGCGTGGAAGCGGATGCTTCAATGGCTGACCAACGACGACATACAACTTGTATCACGTCCAAGACTGGCAGCATCTTTTCAGCCAAGCTCGGATAGCCCGTCGTCACTCTAGTTCACCGGCCTTTGCCGCTCACCAAGCCCCGTTACCAGCTCCATCTCGCCCCTCAGATGCCCCTCGGATCACACTTCAAGTCGTCGCCAACAGCTGCGATCTTTCGCCCCATCGTCGAGAAGGGCTGCATGGCCCGTATTCCACGTCACCGGGTACCTTACCTGGCGGAGCGGCCACCATCCGAAGCCCTGCATGCCCCAGTCGTCTGAAGTTGCAAGTTGCAACGGACAAGAGGCGAGGGCCGGCTACCGCACAAGGGGAAAGAAGAGGAGTCCGGACAGGGTGTCTCGTCAATCTCGCTGGCCTCATACCCGTTGGACAACGGTCTATCAACCAGCCAGTTGGTTCCAGCTCCCAGTCTTTGACCCATTCCCCCCGCTGTCCACCGCCGCTATCCGGATCCCCGTGCCTGGCCTGCTCTTGGCCCTGCAAGCTCGGGTCATTACTTGCCCATATCCAGACAGCAGAGGCATCTTCCAACAAGCCAGGACACACACTGGAATTCCGAGGCTTCGAGTACTTGTCCCAGTCGAGTCGCTGAGAAACGGAGGTGCTGATGCTAGTGCTGGTGCTGGTGAGCAACCTCCGGCATCCAGTTCCTAGGTAGTAGTGTTCCCACTGCAGCGCCGCAGCGGCGCTACTGCACCCTTTTCCGGCTATAGCCTCTGCATCCCCCTACCTGCCCTTCACGGTTCACCCGGGCTGCTCGATTCAGTTCTCGTTGCCTTGCTGCGGGCCAGGCTGCCGGGGTACACACCTTTTGGGAAGAGAAGAGAGCAAACTGGAACGGCCCCTGTCTTCAAGCCTCGTTGCAGGCACGTGCGGACCGTCTTCGCACCACTTAACCCACTGAGGCGGAAGACCTCGTGTGCTCGTGGAGTGGGTGGTCCCTGTTGTGCCGGTACCAGGCTTTGATCCCGTCCCAGCTTCAAGCAATGCAGCGAAATCTCGGCCGTCCACGCTAGGCAAGCTATTGTCAACCTTGGTGCCACCTCTCTCTTGACCCATATCAACAGGTCTTTTCAGCGAGCACGTCTGGAATCCGAATGCCTTCTTCAACCCAAGCGTACAAAGACTTGAGAAGAGCATACAGATCTAGAATTACTACGGTTGAACATGCTTCACGACGAAGAGTCGAACCCTTGTAGTAATTCCCTACCTGTGGCCGGGATTCGCCGGGCGTCCTCAAAGGTCCCTCATTTCCAATGCTGCAGCGGTGACCGGGGAGCTTCATATCACATTGACCGGCGTGCCGGATCACCCAACTGTAAACGGGTACGGTTACAAAGATATCATGCCCTCATTTGCTCATCCTTGACCGGCAGCAAATTTCAGCCCTTGGCCGACCTGAGCGACCCGCAACTTGACCCGCTCACTTACAACGGAAGAACTTAGAAATCACAACACTGTCAACACCGGCTTGATCGTAACGGCTCGTCTAACGGTCTCTCAGGCTGTACGAATAGACTCTTTACCGTTGAGGAGAATCCTTGCCTTGCATTCCTAGCGGTGCCCCTCTCTAGCTTCTCTCATACACGAGGTCGCGTGGCATGTCGATTCGTCTAAACGGATGCGGTAGCCATGTCCACAGATGGCATACGCGCGATCACGACGACAACGAGTTAATTAGATTCGTCACGCACCAACGAGCTGATTTCGAGGCAACAGCCCACCAAGAGACCTTCCTCTTTTCATTTCTATCTGAACCGATAATACAGAAAATATCGAGGTCCCACGCCCTTTGAATAATTTTTGTCGTACTACCTATCCACAGTGACCGGGCTGAAGCAAAGGAAGAGGGATTCCGACTCGCTGTCTGCAGCACCAATACGTACACAACCAGGGGCTCCCTAGCCTAGGCCATGAGCCAGATCAAACTCTCAAAGCCCATGCTCCCTGGCCAGTGCCCAGCATTCAACTTGCGCGCTTTCGATTGGTTTGCAGTTGTCCCGCTCCATGAAGAGCTCTGAAGACAGTTCGTTGTCCCATTACGCATTCTGAGGGCAATCTGAGGAATGAAGCTGTCCCAATTAACGGTCACGACTCGCGACTCATTGCTTTGCATTCTCAAGGAGGTACCCGCTCGATTGGTAAGCTGGGGAGCCTGCCAATCAAGTTCATTCTCATGTCTAGTGCCCGTCAGACTCGGCTGCTCAACGGCTGCGCATTTTCCAATGGATCATGTCAGTGAGCAAGAAGGATAGCTTAAACTCGGGTGTTTGACATCGCCTTCGAGCAGCCTCATCACGTGGGGATACGGTCGAAAGTAATGCAAAGCCGTGTGTTTGAGCTGCCACACTCACACTACAACGACATTTGATTCCTTCTGGATTGTGTTGATGGACCTAAGATGGCGTAGCGCAATCCCTTTCCCGTTGACCAGCAACTGCTCGGTGGCTTTTTGGATCCAGCAAACATCACGTCAGGCCAGGCCGATCAGCCTCGTCCAACACGACGAACCTTGGTAGCTGAGGGGCAAGATGCGGGCTGGGAGTCCTTCATCTATGAGTAGATCGGTAGCATACTCCCTTCCCGCGGTGGTCTCGATCGCCTATCCCAGGAGCCCGGAGGAGGTTCCTCAAACGGCCAACTATTACTCAATTCTCACCCGCATTTACGAAGAGAGTCCAACAGGAAGCAAACATTTCGCCCGCAATGGAATATGCTCCACCACGTCATTATCATCACCAACAAAGTCCACCAGGGTGCCGATTGTACCCAGCGGGGTCCGAGATTCTCCAGTACACTAGCATCCGGGATCTTCGGCTTCTCTTACTAGTCCCTGGCTCTTGGGTCCGATGTTGCCTCGACACGAAGTTGAGAACTGCTTATATGCATGCTAAGCATGCAGCAAGGCACAGCGACGCGCATCCTGTCTTCCGGCCTGGATTGCAAATGCCACAGCACCAACCCGAGGCATCTCCTCTTTGCGCCCTTTCCAGCCCGTCAGCTGTATGTCATCTGCGAAGCTGGATGTTCAATATCACGAACCCGACTTAGACGCCTCACGCGCAATTGTTGCTTATTCCTGCTCCGAAACTCCCTCATGATCTCGACGAGCTTCCAAATCCGTCATAAATCGTCTACGAGATGCATTACCGACGTTCGGATGGCCTGGCAGAGGTTGACAGGAACGCCTGCAGACTGCAGGACCGGCGCGCTTCTGGCGCTCGGGCGGGCTTGCGACGTGCTTCCCCGGAGCGGCTGAACCTTGAGTAGCGGGCGTGGTGGGCGAACTGCTCCGTTGGTCTCCCATTCGCCCATCCAATCTCTTATAATCATCACGACGCCGTCTCATGCTAGTAGTACATCGTGTCATGTTCCGCAAGTTGGCTGAACTCTGTTCTTCGGCAACCGCTGCGTCGCGTTGGCTCCAGGGCATTGGTTGGACTTTTTCACAAGATCAGATTCGATGCTGTTGCTGCGATGTTGTTCGAATCTCCCCGTTGGCACGCTTTTCATCACAGAGACGCGTCGTCAGCGCGCACTCAGATTGGAAGGCAGGGGAAGTATTGGTGTTCATTCGCACTACAGCAGCGAAGGAATGTGCTATGACGTTTTTATCGCAGCTTCGACCACGATCAAGAGATCCTTGAGCAAACCCCTAGAAGCTCACTACCCCGTCCACTCCGCAGCACTTGTTCCTCACATCGTTCGGATATCGATTGAGCATCCCACGTTAAAATGGCGCCACCGCTCACTCAGAGAGTCCAAGCTCGCGGAGCTAAACGAGCCTCGCGCTGATCAGATGTTGACGATGGTTCGTCGAATTGAGATGACAGAGCTACCAGGAGCTATGGCATTCGGGGATCTCGGCCTAGTCAAGGTGGTCTTCATTGCTGTTGGCACTCTCAAATCTGCAGTAGCGGCTCCTTGGTCTTCGCATTAGAACTGCAGAGGTACGGCCAAGGAGGTCTCCCCACCCTAGTGCCGCAGATGTCTGTTGAGCTCTACGTCAGCTGCGCCAGAAAAGATGGATTCCAACGCCGTGGCGACTACTTGAGGTTGACCTCTACTTTAGGTGAGGCCGGCTGAAGGAATCTTGCCACCCCTTTCTATAACTCTCATTAATAACAATCGCGGTTCGTCAGCTGCGAAGCTCGCTGGCGGCTTGCACACGGGCCCTCAAATGGTAATTAGAGTGAGTTGGAGACGACGCCGTTCAATCCAGCTTACTGCCCCAAGGAACGCCCTTGATAATGAGTCTAGGCTTTGATCAGCCATCCTTGGTCAATCGACTTCTTTCGTCAAAAGCCACCGCTCTCTTAAGCTTAGTTCAAACCAGGTCGGGCTCCTGTTACAGGTTCATGCCAAAATGCGGCCGCCGCATGGAAATGAGACATCTTCGAAGCCGGGAAACCGGAGCGACGGACGTGCGAGCCTCTCTGGTGTGGTGGCCAGAGCGTGTTCGTCTGCTTAGCTCTGGAGGCCGACGCAGGTCCCTGAAGATCATCTTTTCTGGTCTTGATCTGTGGATGAAATAGGAAGAGGCGCTTCTGTTTGCTTATTGGCTGGTGCAAGGGCATATCGTATGGTCTACCATCAGCCGGCTTTGTTTCTTCCAGTGATCAACGAACTATTACCTTATTAAAAGAGGCATCGCGACGGCCTAGACTTTTCATTCGGGGGACTGTAAAATGATCGGTATCTGAATATTCCTGCCAGGTGCATGTCTCACCTTGTTCAACTATCCGTCGGAGCTAGCGGGCGGTCGCTCCAACGGCGAGCGAGAGACCGCTGAAGGAAATCACAACAAGGGGCAAGTGATTGACAAAGAAGACAAAGATGAAATTTCAAAAGCCCAAGTCAAAACCTGGCTAGGGCCAGCCGTTCGTGCCGTTCTAGAAAGGGGGGCGCTGTCTGTATTTCCGTTGCCACAGGCAGTTGACGCGCTATGCCGCATACAGACATCAGGCATCAAGCTCCCGCCGATCTGGACAGCTTTGCTCTTGGAGCAAAAACTCTGTTTCATGAATCGCGTGGTTGCCGGGGGTTGATGGACTGATTGTAAGGTTTCCCCTTTCCGACGAAATCGCACCGCACTGAGCAGTTTCCAAGGTCCTCTGTGTTGGAGATTACCTTATGGAACCCCCCTGGTGCTGATCATGGGTGTCCGGTGCAACGGATGATTGGGAATCCGGGACGGAGACAAGACAAGATCGGCAGAGAAAAAGTCATTATAGCCTGTATATTAGAGACAAACCGGTGGGATTATCTTTTTTTAAAGTTAATTGTCATCGGTTATCTGATAGCCGAGCTCCACCAAGACTAAGAAAGAGAATGGCCAAAAAGGCCGGTCACCACATCATCTACTGCGGCGCATAGAGAAATGCCAACTGATCAATCTCATCCCCGTCCTGTCCCAAGTAGCCAACAATCTGCCACCCCGAGGGCGCCGTGTGCGTCTGGCAGTCCGCGGTTGACGTGCCGGCCGAGAGCGTGCGGCCGGTGCTGGTGGTCGCCTGAATGTAAAAGTTGCGCGTGTCACCGTTCTTCTGGCCCCAGCAAAGCTTCGCGGCGGTCCAGAACTCTGTCGCGGCCAGCGTCAGCGACGTCGCCGTGCCGCCGGTGCCGCCGTGGCTGAAGAGGGTGCCGTCGGCGAGCGTGAGGGCGACGGCGTCGAGTCGATCCGCGCCCCGGAACGTGAGCACCGAGGCCTTGGGCTTCGTCTTGCCGGCCAGCGTGGGCAGGTCGGAGAAGGCGTCGCCGTGGGGCCCGCCCGAGTAGTCGGACTGGCGCAGGGTGGAGGAGAGGGACCAGGTAAAGTTTGCGGTGATGGGGTTGTGGTCCGTGAGGATGCTGCCGTTGGGCTGGAGGAACTTGCTGCTCTCGTAGTTGAAGTAGGTGGCCTGGAGGCTGAGGATGGCGTTGCCGCGGTAAAAGGCCTTGTCGACCGTCTCGCAGTAGTTTGTGGTGCTGGGGTTGTCGCAGAGCGTCTCGACGGTGGGCACGACGCCGTTGCGCTCGAGCTGCAGCCAGACGTCGCGCAAGCCGTTCTGCGAGGCAAAGACGCCAATCTTGTCCGCGGTGCGCGTGTAGCGGGAGTTTGTGTCGCCAAAGACGAGGACGGCGTTGCCCACGGACCAGGTGTCGATGTAGTCGGCGACCTGTTGAAGGTTGCTGTTGCGGGCCGTCTCGTCGCCGGCCTCGGTGCCGGCGTCGGTGTGGAGGTTGTAGACGTCGACGTAGACGCCCGTGGCGATGCGGAGGCGCATAAAGGTGAAGCCCTTGGGGGTCAGGCAGTCGTTGCCGGAGGCGTCGGAGCACGTAGACCACTTGATGCGCTCGAAGTTGATCCAGTCATAGTTGGCGAGGGTGTTGAGGCCGGAGCCGAAGGGGACGCCGCCCGAGGTCGCGGTGCGGTAGGGGTGCGTGTCCATCTCGTAGATGTAGGCGTGGTAGTTGAAGTCCTATTTTGGGCCATTGTCAGTAGAGTTTCTTGTTATGGTTGTCTTTATTACTGCTATTTTCTGCTATTTTCTAGAGGTTCGCGGCTAATCATAGCAGTAGAGTTCAATCTTGAAACAGTGACATATGGGAATGCTGGGATCGCGAGTCGTGGATGTCCTTGCATTGACGCAGGTAGGGAGCAACTGGTGGCTCATGCGCTTCTCCTGGACACCCCCAGCTCACGCGATCAACCAGAAATAGGCAGCTTTTCAGCTGTCGGGAATAGATTTCTGCCTTTTTTCGACAACGTACCTCTTGAACATTGATGATGTCGTAGTTGTACTTGGCAAAGTCCGATCCAATGGTTCGGGAGTTTGTCGTCTTGTCGCCGGGCACCTCGTTGTTCTGGAGGATCTCGGGGAGGCCTGCGACGTTCATGGCCAGGATGGTGAGGTCGCCGCTCGTCTGGGCCAGGGCGCCAGAGGAGAGGGCGCCTCCGGCGAGGAGCATCTTGAGGCTGGTGGGCTTCATGGTTGATGGGACTGGGTCTTCTGCTCTTCGCAACGCGGGAAGTGTGGTGGCGAGATGATCACACGTAGGGAGAGAAAAAGGGATTGACAGGCGAGCGAGAGGACTAAAGCGGCGCTGCTGGAGACGAAAACCAGCTACTTGCGAGAGGAACGGCGAGTGGTGTTGATATTTAAAGTGATTCCTTTACATCAACTTAAGATAACTAGCTATGAACTCCTCTCTTGGCAACACGAAGCGAACCAGACAACAGACCCCGGTTCACCTTGACGATGTGCTACGAAACAAGGCCTAGCAAGATTAGAGCAAGTTGCAATTGAATTGAGAAGGTGACAAGAAGTAGCCACAACGTGATCTACATTGGACTCGTGATGGGTGGGACATTTTTACGGTGGTGATGTTCATTTCCCTCGAACCCCTCACTGCCGCGGCACTGGTGCCCAAATCGGTCATTCTACCCCGTCCCTATCGATGTGACGATGTAACCTCTTCCCACCGGCCAATGCTGCACAAGTACGAGCCGTTGGATGCGGAGCGGTCGTAAATATCGGACAAAGGGCCCAGCCCGGACGAGAAGGTCGATATCGATCTGAATACAAACACGTGCATTAGAGTCGCATCGCTACTTCGATATTGACTCCCGATCGGCATGGTATGTTTTGATCAACTAATTGAAATTAGGCCTAGCGGGCTCGCTGACCGCGCATATCATGAAGGGGGGAGAAGCCGGAGAAGTGATGTTTCCAGGTAAACACATTATTCACCAGTACAAGTAGAAGGCCAGCTGCTGAAATGACGCTGACTATCCGTACCTTGATGGAGCTTGAAAAGCGCTTGCATGGAAATAGACACCGACAGTTGTGCAGGGGCTTTCTGAAGGTTCACTCTGCGAGTCCCTGTCCGGCAGGTCCCAAAGTTGCACGTGGATCCACGTGGAGAGTCTTGGCTCTGACATTCGTCGACGAGGGGTTCTCCACGTCGAGATTACTTCTTCAAACGACCATGTTCCCACGGAGGGCAGACCTTCTCACGACGTTCTAACCTGCCTCAGCAGCTCAGCCGGCATCGTGGGAATCCTTCGACGAAGAAACGCTTATTCTCTTTGGCCACGTTTTTTTTCCGATGGCCGAGTCTGCCGAGAGGGAGCCGGACGTAAGATATGGAAACAAGGGGTCACTCGCCTCAAGTGTTCGGTACCGCGTTTGGAATCGATTGACCAGGGTCAATCTTATATTTTGAGATGACTGACGTATCCCTGCCAGGGCGCAGGTCGAAGCATCCGAAATTTACCAGGCGAACCTATAATTACGCTCGCCTGTGTAGGCACGAAAGAAGAAGGCAACGGTAGGCATCCGCTGGCAAGATTCGGAACGACTCCGACGTCGGCTCGGGTTGGGAAGGGAGTGCGGCTTTGGCGGGTGCGGTTGTGGAACCGGTCATTCGGTGCCTTTGGATCAGACAAGTATGGCCCGTCCGCCTCTCCGCCGGCGACTTTGTTTCGGCGCTGCCATGGGATGGCCGGGTTCGCTACGGCCGTGGCAAACCCCCCTCGAACCCACGAAACCCGGTGACGTTTGGCGCGGGCGCCGAGGTCCGAAGGAGACGGAGCCTTGAACTCTTTTTTTTTATTTTTTATCTCGCAACGACTAGTTCCATGGACCCAAGCTGCCGGGTCGGCGCTGAGTCGCGGCGGAACCAAACTAAATCAGCTTGTGGCTTTTCCCACACCAACCAGGGACCTGGGCGACCCCTTTACTGGCAGTCAGTGGCTGGGACCGCGGCAAAGTCAATCGCCATTGTCGATTGTTGCATACCCCTGAGCTTTCCAATTTTAGAGCCGAATGTGGTTTAGAGAATGAGCAACGGGTGGTTGGTAACGTTGGCATTCAACGTTAGCAAAAAAGCCACGCCGGAGAGATGAACCTATGGCCGCCATACTACTATGGTAACTTGTCGCGAAGATCGAGAGGCTGAGAGAGAGAAAGAGAGAGAGAGAGCCCCGGAAAAGCATGACGCCGCCCTTTGTTCCTGGATGGTGTTTGGGACTAAGAAAGTCTAGTGCCACACGGCAAGTCGCCACGGATGGGTTCTTGGCAAGATTTCTTGGCTGGTAGCTGGTCTCATTCCCATGGGTCAGTCATCACGAGTGAGCGCGACCGCGTTGACGAGATTACTGCTGCAGGTATTTTCCACTACTCGTTTTGACAAACTCTGGTAGAGGTGGTCTTGTCACGCTTCAAGATCATCCTCATGACTCAACGAAGCTCATTCGCAGTGACCATCATCCTCTATATGCAACCATTCAGACGTCACTCTATTTATGGTAGAGTCGATGAGCAGAGGGAGGTCAACTCCTCCCTGCAAAGAAACCACTTTTTTCCAAGGCGAACCAGAGATAAGACAATTGTACCCGAATTTAGTGAGAGGTACGGATAGGGAGGGCAGGACTCTGACTCGGTGCTTGTTTGGGAATGTCAGCGCACGGCCCTGGCGTTGATCAGGGACCGCCGGGCGAGCTTTGGTCGGGAGGGCTGAGCTCCGGGTCTCAGGATGGTCTTGAGCAGTCTTTCATGCGGAGGGGTGATGATGTGATGGATCGGAGGGCAAGTTGGGAACAAGCAAGAAGCGGGTTCCATGGGCTTTGGCAATTCGGGGGGTTTTCTGAGTTGTGAGATTTTGCATACGTGATATTTGGCACAGTGTGTGTCATTATGCTTTGTGATGGAAGCGGTCGTAATTGTGGAAACGGTAGTTGACAGTGACCGTCGTCGTATCGGCACTTCTGGGAGGGTCGATGTGAGACTATCTTAGCCCTACAAGGCACCACATGCCGACGCTCTCGTCCGATTTGTAGGTGAAGCAGGTGTCATGCCTGGTGGCCTTTTTTCGGACAGCCCTTGTGGGTGGGCAAAATTTGAAATCTTTTCGTCGATGTCGGGGTTGTTGGTCTACTTGGGAATTATTGCCATTTGATCCTGGTAATCGGCCGTAACTGGGTCATTCGCGATCACCTAGGACAAGTCTGGAGGCCTGGTTCGAGGCTCAGCAAGTCGCGGCAGAGATATGACGATCGGGGGGTTTTCAGCTAGCATCGCGATAACATCTGCCGAGATTCCCAATGCCATTGTTTACAAAAGACTTGTAAGCCAGATAAGCGAGTCTTATGCATGCCTTCACGATCATATGACGATTTATGGATGTGATGTTCTTCAACGGATGGAGAAAGGGTCTAGGCCTTACTTACCATCCGGCCATTTCTTTGGTGGGGACCCGTCTTTGACAGCGACATGCCGGCAAGCCCATCTTTCGATAGTCAATGGACAATGTGTCTCGTCGAGTTGCCTGGAGTGGTACAGTGTCAAACGGAGCAGTTCCAGGGTGTGCAGTCTGAGTTGGTGAAACGGGCCGGACACTATTCGTACGCTACAACACCTTTCCAGGCGATATTAAGCATGGCAAGGTTACGGTCGGTCGCTTTGTTTTAGACGGTTTCTTCTCTATCCCTGTTCTGGACCCCGATGAGATGGGCGAGGGAGGAGGGAGGTATTGGGCCTGTCCATGCCGAGGTCTGGTTGCGTGATATGCGTGAAATCAGCGAAAACTTCGGCACACTCGGACGGGTCATGATAACGGGTTCTTTGGGTGGGTGTTCTCCGGTTTGCGCTCAGTCTTTCCCCTCTTCAAATTCACTGCTAATCCACGGAGACGGCCCAGATGATCAGTCCGGCACGCGGGGTTAATATTACATTGCTGTTATTGAATTTCAACTAGGCGATAACCACCACAACCACCACCCAACGCTACGTTGTTTATATCGAAGGGAAAAGCTCCATATATTGCGCTCAAATTCCATATTGCCTGGGGTATGCTTTTCCCCCTAAGATACAGAGCTATATACGCATTTGACGGTGTTTGCGAATCGTAGGGAGATTTCGCACCGGCTGTGTCGTATTAACACCGCATGTCCGGTTACCGGCAATAAGTAGACCTTGAGAGTTTGGATGTGGAGTCCTGCGCCCGCTTGAACGCATCCCTATAGAAGTCGTCATCGCGATGCCTGGCAGTTGTGGAATGGAGCTCGGTCCAAGAGCAAGGGACTTGAGAATCCGGAATGAAGGACTGTGAAGATTGCTGGGATATGGTGACAAAGACGGTGTGCGCCGGCTTCGATGATTACATATGCAGTGATACGGAGGGCAATGCAGATATCGAGGTGCTTTATGGCAGGGAAGACCGTTGACGGTTGACTTCTTCTCGGGGCTCTCCCTGCATCAGCTAGCGAGGACACGTTGTTGAGATCGCTCGACGAGATCAAAGCTCCTTCACACCAGCCTAGCTAGAGGAAACTTGCGAGGAAAGGACTATCCCCGCTAAATCCACGTTTTCTTGCTTCTTTTTGGTCCGATGCGCGGGCTTCTAGGAAGTGGTTCATGCGAGAGTGGGCACGTCACATCTCAACCCGGGATAATCACAGACCGTTTCTGTTATCAGGCTTCTGGTCTAGAGTGAGTAGGACAGGGAGGGTGGTTACAGTCCGGAACACGCCGGTAGTTAGCAAAAAGGTTGCAGTGTCTGCTGTTTCGCGAGCGTCTAGAAAACGTGGAGAAAAAGAAAGTGATGGATTCAAGTGGTGAGCTAAATTGCATGATATCAACCTGACTAAGTAGAGATTAGCTAGGTCTGTGTGCATCTGAACTCTCAGAGAAAGAAATGCAAAAGTTGAGTTGACTTTTGTGCCCCCTCCTCCCAATTCGAGAACATTGCTGTTTTCAGAACTACAAAGCGGACCTCCCGATAACTAGCCGTTGGTCCGCCGGAGCCGCTATTGGTGGTACTCGGCATGGACTCGGGGTGCCGGAATGATTGTGGCCCCGGGGTTCGGAGGAGGCTCCGGATCCTCCCACTCACCGGTTGCGCCGCCCATTTTCCCAATTCTACCAAGAAGAAGAAAGAACAACGCCGCAACCCAGCCGATATGCGTATTTGAGATGAATACAAACAACTGCATAGAAAATGTAACGGCCATGTTCATCATTTTTGCTTGAGCGTCATTTCTTCTTTCTTGCGTTTGGACCTCCCCCCCGTGCCCGCGTCCCATATCACACATGCATTCATCCCACCAGACGCGTTTCATGAACCCACGCAGCACAGTGAACTTTTGCGTCTTCACCCTTTGCCTCTGACATGCTTGCTCCATCTGCATCGTGTCCGTGCGCTCAAGGATCACAGAATTCAACGGTCAATCTGACTGGTGGTACTTCCCGACCACGAAGCCGGCCGTCGGCTTGTGCCCTGCTTGCCCCCCTCTTCAGGAGACCTCGCGATCTGAATGGGGTGTAAGGATCACAATGTCACTCAATCACATCACGCACGGGGCCTTTCCTTAATCGTTAGTCTCACATTGATCAGATGTCAAAGTGTAAGGTAAGCGAAGGTCACCTTGGAATAAGAAAAGCAAAGAAACCTCGCCTCTTTCTCGCCTCGTTCCCTTGCGTTCGCTTGAGAATGCGGGGGGCGCGCGGGCAGACCTGGCATTGTCATAGCAGCCGAAGTGGACGCGCGGGGGTTCCATTCCTGCAAACCGATCCGACCTCCAGCTGTCAAAGCGGGCAAAGAGGGCGTCGCGCGGTGTCGCGGTCCCATCAGGAAGCAGAAGCGGTGGAGGGTTGGATGGCCTGCCGTTTTTTCTGGCATCCTTCCCGCACTGACCATTCCTCTAAAATAATCCAGGACTCAGAATGACACCCTTGTCCCCTGATGGGGCCCTGTCTAGGTCCTGGTCAATAGTTTCTTCGTAATAAGAATTGGCATCGTGGCTGTCAGGGTTTGTGATGTGTGCCTCCAGAGAACGAGTAGGGGTGTGGATAGATGGAACTTCGAGGACCTGGCAAAAGGCTGAGAAAAGATGACATGGAACGAGGGGATTCAATTAAAAGAAGGTAAGAAACGTGCCTCGGCGTCGACACCGGATTGACGCGGTTGGAGCGTTGCAGGGCCAGGACACGAACCCCCACTATGATGCCCACCGTTAGATATTGAGATCGGCCAAGAACATTTCCTCAAGCTCTCGATTACGCAGGAGGGATTTTGCTCTTCTTGACCGAAACGTTCTAGCCAGCATATCGGAGCCTTATCAGCTACCGCGGTAAACGTTAATGAGTTGCTGCAACGTCTTCACTTGTGATTGTGTGATGCAGGACTGCCTTAGAATGAAGCAATATCTACTGTCATGCCATTGTGAATGCTGTTGACGTCCCGCAAATGGACCTAATCGCTGCCGAGGCGGACGTGTGTGCAATACAACGTTCAGCGAACGAATCGGAGCATGGGCGACGAAGGTCTTGCTGCGTAATGGCGAAGGAAAGATCATCACTCTACTAGAGGAAATGAGCGTCGCCGCAGCTTTACTTTTCGGCCTCACCCGATCAGAGGGCCAAGCCTCTACAAAAAGCCTAACGGACATTTCTTTCGCTATTTGCCGAACTTCAGACGGAGAAAGAGGAATCGCTTTGTCACTGTGGCTTGCCCGCCGATGACACACATGGTAGGGAGACCACATGGCAACTTGATCATCCGAAGACGTAGGCGGTTCTTGTTCATTGAGGGGGGAAATCTCCACCGCCCACGGCTGCTGTAGCGGGGAGTACTCGACAGGCGCGCGTTTCAGACCTCGACGGTGACAACCAGTTCGGCGACATGTCCATTCTGGGATTCTCAAAAGGGTTTCTGTTGATACGAATACAGAGGTTGTGAGACGGTGAAAAATGTTGAGCTGGTTGCCCGTCGCCGTGTGTGATAGAAGAATCTGGCGGGCGTTTGGAACAGGTGGACGTTTTGATACGGTTGTCATTCGTGTTTTGGAGGGTATAACACCGGCTTGTCAAACCTTATAAACGTATGATGAATTTCTTGAAATAGCATCGGGGCTTGGAATCTGCATGACATGATGATGTAATGGCGACTTACCTTAGAGACGGCACTATTAGTGGAAGCTCGGTAGTTAGGATGGATGGTGGCGACTAACGTTCGGAAAGTTTCGGGGTGACAGCTAGTTTCAAGAAATGAGAACGAAACAGAGCGGTCAAGTGCTGATAATGTGACGCTGGCAGGGTGTTAGATAGCTTAAGGCAATCGTTGATGGGTATAATGCCCTGATTGAGTATAGCCTCTCCATAAGTCGCAGTGTATCGATAGAGTTGATAAATCCATATCATATGGTCATTGCCACATTCGGCCCGTTGACGATCTCATTAAGGGCCAGGGATTGCAGTCGCCAAGTGATTTGAAGACGTTGATAAGCGCTTGGGAGACGCATGATCAAAGTGCGATTAATCTCCTTCGCCATTTCACATATACCCGCGTTGAACAGGCTACAGCATAATGACTAACACAAGGCAATTCGCCGGCTCAGGCTGCGGAAATCTCACGAGATGGACACTTATAAGGTTGCCAAGTGATCGTTATAATACATATGGCCTTGGTGCCAGTTAATCAACGTAGTCTTTAGTCTCAAGGTTGGTTGAAGAACCTCAGGTGTATGCTTCCGCGAATCGTAGAAATAATAGTCTTTGAGTTAATGGTCATCTACTCACCAAAACTTCCACATTATATTTCGAAACGGCGGTTTGTTGTTCACCAAGCTAAAATAAACGTTTGATAAACCTTCCCCTCGCCAAGTATTGCTGGTCTTGTGACTCTGTGCCTGCCAATAACTTAAAGTAGTTTGTTAAACGAAAAAACTGGCCGGTGGCTCAATCATATCAAAAACTTGGCACCATATTGAATAGACTGGTCATCAAATGCTGCAGTCGTAGGCGGGTCTCCTAATTACAAAGTACAGAGGAATTCAACGAGATCAAGTCACAACATAAGTCGTTCCCTGGGATTACACGCGTTCTTCTTTCTTTCAGCAACAACTCAATCATTCTCCCCCAAACTCTGCTTTTGATCCAGGTAGTGGTGCGCATATGTTCGCTTCCGCCACCAAAGTTTTATAGTCTCAGTCCTTGAAATGAAACCTCGCTTCGCTTACATAGTCTGCTGCCTCCACTGAGGCACTTCGAAATGAATTTCTTAAACGTCCGCCAAAAAGTTGATGGTATAAAGATAGAACGACACAAAGGTGGCCCCAACGGCAAGCAATGCCCACTAAATATATATTAGGATTGTAATGCAACAGAACACTACAAAGACACGGTACTGACCTGTATCATACTCCCACTGTTTTTATTAATCGCCCTCAAGGCTTGTCCTATAAACGCCAACGCGCTTGCTTGTAACAAGAGGGCAATCCAACTACCAGATCCCACAACTGCCCGTGGGAAGCTGCGCTCGCGACCATTGTTGGTGCTTTCCAAAGCATCTAGAAATACCTCGTCTGTTTGCATCAGCTGTAAAATGAGTGCGATCATCAATGAGACTGAGGACGTTGCTGCCGCCCACGAGAGCCAGTACGCAGCGTCTGCGGTGGCTTGAACAGCCGTCATCGTGGTAGGGACAGTCTCGTTGCTCAGGGCGACGCCGAAGAAATTCCCTCCCGTGGCAAATCCTTGGCTTGCTGAGATGGAAACGGAAACGGTAATGGTTGCAGTAAAAGCCACGAGCTGAAGGTACGCAGAGAATGGCGGGCTGCGCGGTCTTGAGACACGAGCATGCGTGGGTTGCTGGGTCATTTCTTGTGTTGCTGACACACTTGATGGCCCTGGGCCACTGGTTGGGGATTGTGGCGCTGATCTTGTAGGCATTATTGCTCAGCAGAAACCATTCAGGTGTAAACCGCTTCGGATTTAAAGCGCAAATAAACAGAGGAAGATAATAGGAAGTGAACAAGAGCAGAGGAGTGTGACTCATGACTTCGGGTGCGACGCGGTGCCACTATTTATCTCAGCCCAACGAGCTGTCACATCACGAGCTACCAATTTGGGCGTTCTCTTAGACTCAGCTGCCTCAGCTACCTCAGCTGACAACCATGATTGCCTAATGACTAAGCCGCTTTCGGCTCGATAAGAACGCCAGAACGTGGCAGTGTGTCACACAGGGAGGTGTAGGTGGTGGCCAATTTACCTATCTTCAAGACGATTGGAAGCACCCACCCGCAGTGGTTCATCAATTTGCACTTCTTACAATCATCAATCACGATTAGAGATTGAAGGAATATCTGGAATAGGAGGATTGGGCATCATCAATCACATTATTAGCCACCAGACACCTGGTACCGTCGTGTCATATGGAACAGCGAGCACAGCACCTTGCAGCACGAGTATCTCTTGATATGCATCACGATCGAAGAAGAGCCAGAGGTCTCATGGGTTAGGTCGGAATGAGTAGGCGACATAGGCAAGCGGGAAACAGATGAAGAATCAAATATGATGTTCATACCTGCACCTGCCATGAGAAATCTGATTCACCAAGACGACAAGACTATTCAAGATATCAGTCTCGGCGCGTCCCCGCCAACACTGGCGAACATGGCCGTTATACTCTCATTCATCCACCAAACGGCATCCGACTACACGTTTCTCCACCACAATTCTTGGTGGTTTTCTAGACAAACCCTTCACCGTTCTTTTCACACATTTTATGCCTGATAGAGCTGAGAAGAGAGAACTTCGAGGAGATTGTACTATAAAGAACCTAGAACATTCAGAGACGCCATGTCATCCTGCATGGCGTGGACGGCTGCTTCGAGGGGAACTGTTGCTTGTTACTGCGCCCATTTTTATCTTCGCCTGTCCAGTCATTGTTGTTGGTACAGTAGGTATGTCCAGATACACAGTGTTTTTTCCACGAATGACTGCAAAAAGGATCGATGCTCAGGTCGAAGAGTATCTACACAGTGTGGCTAAGGAAGTAATCAAGACCATAAACCCAACACTTCGTTCAGTCCGCACCAGTCTACTTCGAGAGGTCGTCCCGCGGGATGGACGTGGATATGTTGAATGAAGTCGTGCAGTGCGTGCTTTACGATATTGGCAGGAAAATACATTGCTTATGGCGGAGTCTAGCCTTCAACTTTCTTTCTGCTGCGATGCTGAGTGGTTTCGATTATTGTAAGGAAAAAATTGCGCTGCGCTGCCGCCACGATCAGGGCCTTGACAGGACTAAAGAAAGCAGTCAGAGAATCGCGCATGTTTCAAAAAGACTCGAAGAAACACACTCCCTACCAGCAATCTCACTTGACTCCCAAACGTGACATTTTCGAGTTGTTAAGTTAATAAGATATACAGCGAATCCAAACTCACCACATCTCATCCTCCTCTACACTACTCACCACCTCCTCATTGCAGCGAAATTTAAAGCTTTTAACTTAGCAGTTATTATTGGGCTTTACTAAGTCTCTGCTGCTCGATTCAAGCATATGCCTCCGTTGTCTGACTCCGACTCTAGTACTCTTAGTTCCAGAGACTGCTTCTACAGTTTGCGAGCTCCCTTAAGCAAGCCCAAAAAACCTAGTAGTGAAAATTCTTGATTTGCGCTGGATTGCTCAAATATGCAGCCTATTAGGTGAGTGGCCTCTTCAACAGTAGTGATACACAGCTCGCTATGGGCTTCTATAAAAACTTTGTCTAAGCAAGTCGTAGCGACTATGGAAAGCCTTACGTTGGATGCGTTTGATGCCGGTGGAGGAGCTGTACCTTCGTTAGACCTGTCTGCCAATACTTCAGTTGCTCTGGGTTTCGGAAATGGACTGTTCAACGTTTTGTGAAGTCTGCAGATGCTCCCAAAGGAGAACTTATGCCATTTCCAATAAACCTTTCCATAAAGAATACTTTCACTAATGGATCTTTCAATATTCCCAGGCAACCTTCCCGTTATATTGACGTTGAAATCTTACTTCTTCTCCTCGCTACTGCTTTATTTTACTCTTCACATAAAAAAAAGAGTGACGGAGCTGGCAGAATCCTATGAGGCCTTCCCCTCGACTCGCCTCTCACGGTTCCAAGTCATCACATAGTTTCTGTACGACGCGGACGAGAATAGAATCGGACGAGATTCCTGTTTCTTGCTCTCGCTGTCCAACGAACCGCTGTTGTGCATGTGCGTGCTCTTTTCATTGAGCGACCGGTCATTCATGATCTTGTCGCCAGCTAGCTGCTTGGGTTTTCGGTCCCTGAATGCCGTGATTCCCTCATACCTTCAAACTTCCATTAGAGACTGAAGCAAAACTCGTGGAAATGTTTCTCTTTATGAATCTCTCTGTGGGATGTCATTTGGTCTTGGCCACTTACTTACAAGTGCACAGGAAAGCTTGGCGAGAGGACACACATCAAAGTCAACGACAACGACAGCTTGTACACAGCAGATGATTAGACAGCACTGTCATAAACAATGAGATACTGTCAGCCTTCAGGCCGAACCTATGAGAGCTTCAAGCTTTTCATTCGCCTTTACACTCCTGCATCGCCATACATCATCGCCTTGGGCAACCTCGGAATCGGCATCCTCCCGCATATCATCCCTTTCCTCTTGACGACCACTATATTCTCGGCCGGCAGCGCCTGTGCCTACTGTTCGACGAGGACGCCCTACGGCCTGGCGCTCGAGGGGAGGGCCCCTCGCTTCCTGACCAAGATGACGAAGACGGGTACCCCGGTGTACTGCCTCGGCGTCGTGATGGTGTTTCCTTCTTCTCCTTGCTGCAACTCCCGAGCTTCTCTGCAAAGGCACTCGACTGGTTGATTTCCCTGACGACCGCGGCAACTGTTATAGACTACATTGTCATCTGTTTCACCTACATCTGCTTCTATATGGCCTACAAGACCCAAAACTTTGATCGTTCTCGTCTTACCTATGTCGGTCGCTTTCAGCCGATCAGTGCGTACGTCGGCCTTGTCTGGATGACCTGTGTCGTCATCTGCTACGGATACAGGTCGCTCAACCCATTCAGCGCAACGTCGTTCTTCATACAATACGCCATGGTTCATATGGCGTCTCTAATCTTCTGCTTCTGGAAATACTACAAGCGCACAAAGACTTCACAGCCGTATAAGGTTCACCTCGTGTGGGATGCCCCTTGGGTAGCTACATACGAGGAGCTGTTGAGTGAAGTTGAGCCTCTTGTCGGGTTTCTGCGAGATATATGCAATTACTTCTCATTGAAGGCTGGGGGCTTTTGGGAAGAGGCGGAGTCGTAGGCAGAGTGTAAAGCGCAGCAGCACCCTGAATTGCCGGTAGAGGGCAGCAATTCGCTATTGATGGCGAATAGAATTTTCAACGTACATTATTAATGGGTACGTCGAGGTAGATCGTAATACCCAGGAAGCATCCACTTGTATCGCAATTCGAGATTCTAAACATTGGCTATGCAGAACATGCCAGTGAACTCGTCTCAAAACGGCCAATCTGCCATTTTGCACTGTCCATGCCTACAGCTTTTCGTCATCTTAACGGTATTCCGCCAACGACGACCCACACCGCATCTCTCTCGGCCAAACTACATTGACAGAGTATACCACAGCCCTCCTGCAACAGCCACAGCGCCGACAAGCCACGGTGCGAAACGCGCCCCTGCTTCCAGAATCACTCGCTTCTGCTTGTCAAAGATCTTCCTCTTGAGCGCCGCCGCCTCGTTCCCGTGTGGGAACGGCACGTCCGGCACAGGCATGCCGAGAAACTCGCACAAGGGGCCCCAGCCCTCGCCGAGCTGGTACACAAGCAGCCTGTCCTTTGGAACCGTCGACAAAATGTACTTGTGGTGGCTCTCGTAGACCTCGCCGAGCTTCGACTCCAATTCGGCAACGTCGCTGGCTCCCACCCAGCCCAGCATCATCTTCTGGATATTCCCCGTGCTGTCGGCGCCCACCAACGGCTCGATGTAGTCCCGGATGAAACAGGTCAGGGTGCCAAAGATTCCAGACAGCACCCCCTTCATCGACACGCGCCATTTCTCGTAGTCCCGGATGACGAGAACGACTTTGGCTTCTGGGTATGCCTCGATGAGTGATTTTGAAAAGGGAGCCGCGATATCGGTGATGCCCTCGCAGGGTCCAAAGACGTGGTCCCAGTCGGCGGCGGTCATGCCTTTGCCGGTGTAGGAAGCCAATGATGGGAACAGGGCGTCCGAGGCACGGCCAAAGAATCGCCAGTCGTCGGGGCTGTCGATGGCGTCGAGGCCGTGGTAGACGTCCTTGTAGCCCAATTCGGTCAGGGCGAGCATCATGGAATAGGAGCCCGTGCGAGGGAGGCCGACGCTGAGCACTTTGGTAGGTCGAGGGGTAGCCATCGTGACGGTACAGTTTACTGCCGCAATAATGGTTCACGCAATACTGTTCTTTTTCTCGGAAACAAGACGATTAGTGTTGGATCTAGCAAGGACTTTCGGTCAGGACCGTTTTAAAGTCCTAGCAAACGAACTTGTAGCACAAACAACCATCTAACAGCTGCCTAGTCGTCCCACTTGACCCTTGTTGATCTGACCGTCTGGCGAATTAGATGACTCGGAATCCCACCGCCAAAGCGACTTGCAGATTCTGCCGTCTACACGCGTGAGCGGGATTGAGACATCCCGACGGGATGAACATCTTTGTTTAATTGGTCTTGTGGGACGTGAATGCCAAATCAAGAGTTCGTTCTTCACAGTTACAGCGTCCAGACACTTTTGGGTACACAGTTTGAATTGGGTGAGAATCTTGATGGACATTTTCGCGTCCTACTTCAGCACTCGTCCTAGCAAGCAAGCAAGTGTTGCGCCGGCGAAAATGCTAATGGTACATGCTGATTACAATTTTAAATGTGCCCGTCCTTGACTGAAATTTTTCATTCTACAATTTCAATTCCTCGCACACGTACGCACCAAACTTGGTATCTAATCACTCCTTCTTGATGCCGCCGCTCGACTCCGACCCCACAGACGCGCCCTCTCCCTCACCAGCCAGCGCCTGCACCACAGCTTGCAGAGCCGCCCGGTCCGCGCCGCGAATCTTGTCGACCCGACCATCCTCGGTGAAAACTACAGACTGGCGAGGCGTGACCCCCTTGGCGGCCACACCGGTGGGCTTCCCATTCTGGAAGAACATAAAGGTCGGCATGGCGGTGACGCCGTAGCGGCCGGCGACATTGTTGACATGGTCGACATTGACCTTGGCGAAGGCGAGTCGTCCCTCCACGGCGTGCTTGTCGGCCAGGCCGGAGAAGACGGGCGCAATGGCGCGGCACGGCGGGCACCAGTCCGCGTAAAAGTCGACAACCACGTTGGTGGTTGAGGAGAGGAGGGCGTCCAGCTCGCCGGCGCTGGCGACTTTGTAGACCTTGCCCGAGGTCTCGGGGATGGGTGAGCGGTCTGCGAATAGCGCCTTCAAGGGGGGGGAGGAATAATTGGTTAGCGGCGTTGAAATCGTGCTTGGGGTCTCAGAACGTGCCACCGTCTGACTTTCCGACAATGAGGTGAAGACGTCGTGCTGTCACGGCCCATATGGGGCTGGGTTACGTACTCTTGAGATCATGAAAATGGCAAAAGCCAGAAACATCCATGAGAGCGTATCCATCTTGACGCTCGATGCGATGGACCTTCACGATGAGAGTAGTTGTGAACTTTCGTGTAGATTCTAACTGGACGTATGTTGGAGAACTGGGGGGAAAGGTCGGCTAAATTCAGGCAGCCGATTCGACCCCAAAAGTTCAACCGGGCTTTATCCGGCGGGGCTTTGTCAGCCTCTCCCGATGCCGCCAATGTCAGAGGGTCCTGTAGAGACTACTCGATCGACAACCAGAGTGCTGTAAAGCTACGAGATACGTTCTTGTTACCGTAGTTTACGGCCAGAGAGTCAACCTTCCCAACAAATATTACTCAAAACAGTTACCATTCGTCCATTGGTCCAAGCACGTTCATGATTCACTTGGAAAGAGATAAAATGGCGATAAAAACCCGCTTGATATTTCCATAGCAACCGTCGTCTACAGACACCCAGAAGATTTATACGGATTGGATCATCTTCTCTCAATACGCGCGCTACAAATTGGGGTATCAACAACTTCCCACAACAAGTCCTTGCGCTTTAGTCCTCGGATAGTGCATGGTTGGTAACAGCAAACACCAACCTCCTGAACCAACATGAACCCACAGGTTCGTCGCAGCGGCATAATATCATTCAGCACTCACCATAGAAGTAGCGCTGGTCACTATAATTCTAGATGATAGCACACGAGGAGCCTGCCTCTCATCCAGTCGTCTCGAGCTTCCTGGTCTCTCCCCTTCATTCCTGGAGACTGGAGAGGGAAAGAAGGGAGATGGCTGAGAACTACATCTTGCGGCGGACTGTTTGGTTATGGGCTGGGTGGAAGACGTCATGGGCTTCGGCAGATGCTTGTAAGTGTGCTGCACGAATACAATTGTACAGATCGAGGTTGAGGGCGTGGGAGTGTAATCATTCTTTTATGACTGCCTGCTTTAGTTTATAGACGCGAGCATTTTGTACTCAATCTGTCAAAACTCAGTCTCGACTCGCCCTTCTGGCAATGGCCGCAGACCCTCGTTGGATGTAAGCCGGCGCACAGGGCCATCGCGGTCGGCACCCGATGTCCCACATCTTCGGCGGCCAGTTTTCAAAAGTTGCGACGGGGTTCTTGGTACTCGCTTTTGACCCACAGGGTTGGGACAACCAAGGTACGGATAAGCACCGCTGGACAATCTGTGCAGTTCTCAATCTGACCTCGATTCGTTATCATTTTCATATTGTGGAATTTCGATTGATGAAGCCAAAGCGTCGGTGAGAAGACAGGCTTAAGGGGAAGCCGCTGAGCGTGAGAGTGTCCATGTCCGCTAGATTTCCAAGATGATTCAGCGAGGAGAAGGAGTGAAGCGAAGTGTTTCACCCTCATCCACTTTACTCCAGTACCAAAACAGGACTGTAGACAGGACTGTAAACAGTTTGCGTTAGCTTATACCCGTACAACGGGCTTCCATCATCAACCGGAAGCATCGCTGCAGAGAGCCCCAACCCCGGATGTGGACCGCCGGGGGTCTTCGGTGATAGATGCCGACATGGCTCCGGAACGTCTCCTTCCGAACGTAAGTGACCGGCAGACAAGAGAATGGTCTAGGCAGGGCCAAAACGATGGACGGACCGTAGAAAACGACTTTCGAACAAAGGGCAAGAACTCGGAGGCCGACTTGTTATCCTCGGTCCAGTCCAATCCGATAGGTTGTCCGTCCGGCTGCTCGCACGACTGACGGGAACGGTCGGGGAGTCACGGATATCTAGATTATCGCTTCCCGGTGCGACGGGGGACAGATTTTACTGCGGGGCGAGGACCGGAACAGAACCGACTGAGTCGCCGTTGACGGATAAGATAGGACAAGGTGGAGGGGAGGGGGGGATAACAAGATAGAGTTGGGCCGACATGTCGACATCTGTTACCTTGTAGGACCCAGCTCCTTGGAATGGGAACTGATCTTACTAAGCTATCTCTTCAACACTCGGATACTGCGGCGGATTGGATGCCGGGTAGAGGGTGGAGTGTCTGGTAGACTGAATTTGTAGAGATGCGACATGTTGAACGGAACACCAGCATTGTTCCATACCAAGCTTTCGTCGCCGTTGGCCTGGATGGAATGGACCGTGGACGAGGGTGGGGATGTAACCTTTGGGTTTCCGGTGGTGCGGTGGGCGGTGTTGGACAGTGTGGGGTAAGGGAGGTAACGGTCAGATTTCTTGGGGAAGAGTTGATAGATATCTGTGGTTACCTTGGGGTCTACGAGTCAGATACAGAAGGAGTCGAGCAGGCCTCGGTAGGTTGATCAAGGTAATCTGTGTAAGCAATTGTAGAGACCTTGCGATGGAGGATGTGCCGAGTTGGCTTGGGAGAGAAGAAGAGCATAGCAGTGGGAAAAGATGGCTCAGGAAGTACAAGTCTAGGCCCATTACTTACGACTGGTGCGGGTTCGGACTCTCAGAGACGAGTCTTGATTGTCTATTCATCCAATGCTGACAATCTACCCTACATCTGCGGTGCGACCCTCGGGCGCTGTCTGAAGTAGAATCGTAGCTGCAAAGTGGCAAGTAGAGGTAGGGCGGGAGTTTTGTGCGACGCAAGCATCCTTATCTGTGTAACAAACCCACGAGGAAGCAAAGTTCCACCGTCCGTGTCGCCGATGCAACTGGCCGGTGCCCAGGCCGTGGTCATGGTCAATCAGTTCCGTATCTCACGTCGTGGACGGTGGACCAGTGGACGGCACGACAGGTATGAGGAGCACGGGTGATCCCCGACTCGAAGGTGTCTTGTAGAGTCTGGGGAACAGCATTCGATAACCTGCGAGAGAAATGGTCCGTTATTGGCATTCTGCAGATGACCATCGACAAAGCTTCTCGACTGGCAGCTGGTGGCCCCTCTTTTTTCCTTTCGAGACTTCTGGTTTGAGTTTCAATCTCAGGGAAACGTTACATGCACCTCTGCCCGGCACGGACCATATCTGGCAGGGGTGGTATGATGGGGACTAGCGCGCTGGTTGGTCGACGCTTGTCTAAGGTATCTTGGCTCTCGGCACCACTTTAAATCTCTCCGCATGGGGGAGAAGGCAAGGCCGTCTCAACGCTCGTTTGTCCCACTGTGTTTGTTGCGTGGAGGAAGGTACAGATGCTGTGGTGTCAGCAGCGCAGAACTTGAACACGTCCTCGGCACTGAGATGGCACAGTGCGGTCGACCTTGCAGGCTATGGATGCATGTCATCTCTGTCTCGTCTCCTTCCCCAATCGGCCGAGGCATGAAGCATGAAGGCCCAATGAGCCAATCATCATCCGAGCCATCGTGAAGGAACAAAGCGTCACCTCGTGACCTGCCAGGTTGCAGGCCAATGAGAAGCTCCGAGAAGTCGGTCCTTTCCTGAGGTGCTTATCGATTGGGGTAGAGTGGGGACATTGGAATTCGTTGATGAATTTCGCTTCGTTCTCCCGGCTCGGCACACATGTCAAAAACAAATAAGCCAGACACTAAGGTGCCTACCTAGGTTAATTGTAACAGCAAGCTGCAAGTGATGGTCGTCGCCGGTCGGGCAAGGTTGAAACATGCCGACCATGGACAAACAAAGAGGTGATATATTTCGCCAGCACCACGAACCAGAGGTTGGCCATTCAACCAAGGCAGAATACCTTAGCTTCCGTGGCCTTAGCTTCCGTGGTGTAACCCGCGTCATCTACCAGCCAGGGGCATCTGCAGATGTAGTGTGATGGGAGAGGGAGGTCGCCCCAACCAGTCAGCAACAAGACGAATGAATGTCTTGATTCCAACGTCCAGCTGTGGTCTCCCACTCTCCCTCCCTACCTTACTCGCAGGTTGGTACGAGTGCCTTGGACCTCGTGATACCTCATGAGATTCGCCTCGCGCGTTGCCGCGAACAGCCGCGCTTCGCCCTGGCTTGGGCCCGCCACAACGTGCCGTCCGGCGCCGTTGAAGTTTGTCTAAATTTGGACTGCGTCTTTCTTCGATTGTCTTCGTCTGACAATGTCGAGCATGTATCTCATAGCTACTGACCTACTCATCGTCAATCCGGGCAAAGTCATGAGAGGTATCAAGCCTGACCGACTGATTGCTAATTCGTCTTCCACTCGGCACTGACCGGACCGGAGTCTCTCTTATCAAGACCTCCACAGACCACGATCCATGGCCAGGTCTCCGAACCAAGTCTCCCCATCCGTATCTATGGATCGCACCCCCGGTTGGTGTGGGCCCCTTGTGCAGTGGCTCCTCCCAACCCATCGGCTGTTCCCCCGTTGCCCGGTCACGACCAGATCCCGGTCTCTTTTCCCCATGCTCACACCTTGAATCAATTCTGTTGTCACCTTTGAATTGGCATCAGCACCTTTTGACCGTTTAACGATACGGCGGCCACAGGCCATAGGGACGATGGAAGGCAGGTAACTTGCAAGGTAGCGTGTGTCTACCTAGTACTTTGGTAGGTGTGCAGGGGGTGGTCTGTGGGGGAGGCTTCTTGCTGGCTTACCGGTAGATACTTCTCGACTCTCAGACTTATTGAGCCTATCTGTTGGTTTTGTCCCTCATCATGTAAACATATGCGGATTGATGGCGCGTATCTCTCTGCCTCTGACTGTCACGTAGCTTGCCACATCCTCATCCTACCACCACCACGGCCGCCGCCGACGCCACCACACTGACACATTGTGGACGCCCTGCCCTCAGCCCAGCTATCAAACCAGTCCTGCCTACCACCAAAGGTACCTTACCCCTTCTTGGTCAAGGTCTCTGGTCCATCGCGCTGATAGGCACCTCGGCCACACGTCAGACGGACAGGCGCATACGAGAAACGACGTGAAGGAGGGGAGCGAGCAGACGACTCCTTCCCAAACTCCCATTGCTACCTTACCTTGCCGATGCCTTCCTTCCCTTTGTCAGAGTGCCAGACCGGGGTAGCTTCTACCTAAGGTACTGCCGCCTCCCAAGTTGCCGTGTGCCTTCCCCCAATTCCTACCTACCCGTCCCGTCCCATTCGGGCGTTGGCGCCACTTTCCTTAGCTCTGCACATCTCTCCTTCCATCGTCTCATACCTCACACACACACACACACACATGCCGCCCGGCTGCCGGCCTCTCTTTTTCGCACCTGCCATTCAAGCATCGAGCCCTCCAAGGTTCTCGATTATTATTTTTATATCCAGAAAAACACCCGGCGTCGCTTGCTTCTGGCAGGATTATCCAGTCCCATTTCGTCGGCACGTCTCACGTCTTACGGTCTCCCTCATCAACGGCGATAAACAAATTCGTGTAACCAACACAAAGTACCCGTTTGCTATCTCTCTTTCTCCCTCTTCCTCCCTCGTCTCCCCCGATATCTGTCTCTATCTCTCTTACTTTGTTTCTTTCCGTCTCCAAATCGACCCCAGCTCCATCATCCTCACCACCCTCCACTCCCTCCAGTCTCCGCCCCCCCTCCCCCCCTGTCATCCTTCTTGCACCCGCCACGCCTCACCCTGGCACGTCGGGACCGCGACCTTGACCAAAGCTCCACCCACGATCATCGCCCAGTGCAACTGCAACCTGCAGCCCGATAAACCGTCCCATAAAGAAGCTGCACACCTCCCCCCCCGGAACCCTTTATCTAGTTTTCACTCGCCGTCTTATTCTTCCAGTTCAGTCTTACCAGACCAAAGTCATCTCAACGCGTCTGCGCTACTTGGGCCACCATCCCCATCGTCAGGCACGATTGAGTTTCCAGTCTGCGACACTTGAGAGAGAAGCACCAAGCGGCAGCCACACACCGCCGGCCAATTCCTCCCGCCAAGGCGCGACGCCGCTCCGTCACCCTCTCTGAATCTCCACCTCATCACTCCACATCACCGCCAACATGTCCTCCGTCGACGAGAAGCACGCTCCCGAGCCCGCGGCTGCGGCCGATATCGAGCCCACCGCCATTACCCCGACAACGACCGCCATTGACGGCCCCGTTCCCCGCCCTGCCGGCTTCATGTATCGTGGATTCCGCATCGGTGGCAAGGAGCTCTGGTACGCTTCGCCCCGCATCCAGCTCTTCATGGTCTCCTTCGTCTGCTTCCTCTGCCCCGGAATGTTCAATGCTCTCGGTGGCCTCGGTGGCGGTGGTCAGGTTTCTACGAAGGCCTCCAACGACGCCAACACGGCCTTGTACTCCACGTTTGCCATTGCCGCCTTCTTCGCCGGTACCTTTGCCAACCGTCTCGGTCTCCGTCTGACCCTCAGCTTGGGTGGTCTGGGTTACTGCATCTACGCCGCGTCGTTCCTGTCTTACTCCCACACCCAGAACGAAGGCTTCGTCATCTTCGCCGGCGCCTTCCTCGGCGTGTGCGCTGGCCTCTTGTGGACCGGCCAGGGCGCCATCATGATGTCCTACCCCACTGAGAAGGAAAAAGGACGCTACATCTCCTGGTTCTGGATGATTTTCAACTTGGGCGCCGTCATCGGCGCTCTTATCCCCCTCGGCCAGAACATCAACACCACTACGAGGAGCACCGTCACTGATGGCACCTACGCCGCTTTCATTGTGCTCATGCTGCTCGGCGCCGTCCTCGCTCTATTCATGTGCGATGTACCCAAGATCATTCGTGAGGATGGGTCTAAGGTTATTGTTATGAAGAACCCTTCTTGGCAGTCCGAGTTCAAGGGCTTGTGGGAGACCTTGGCCCAAGACCCGTGGATCGTCCTCCTATTCCCCATGTTCTTCACCTCCAATGTCTTCTACACCTACCAGACCAACGACATGAACGCCCCTCACTTCAACACCCGCACTCGTTCGCTCAACAACCTCTTGTACTGGTCCTCCCAGATCATTGGTGCTCTGATCTTTGGCTACGCCCTCGACTTCCCCAAGGTCCGCCGTAGCGTGCGCGCGAAAGCCTCTTACATCACTCTTTTTGTCCTGACCATGGCCATCTGGGGAGGCGGTTACGCTTGGCAGAAGAAGCAAGCCCCCCGCAGCGAGATTGAGGGCAACTTGAACTACCCCACCATTGACTGGACTGACGGTGGCGAGGCCTACATTGGCCCCATGTTCCTGTACATGTTTTACGGATTTTTCGATGCCTGCTGGCAGACGAGCATCTACTGGTACATGGGTGCCCTCTCCAACTCCTCCCGCAAGGCTGCCAACTTGGCAGGTTTCTACAAGGGTACGTTACACATTCCCCGTGTTATCTGAGTATTTCTTACTGACAATCCATAGGCATTCAATCCGCCGGTGCTGCTGTCTTCTGGCGTCTCGACGGTCTTGGCACCAAATACAACACCATCTTCGGCGCCTCGTGGGGCTGCCTTGCCGGTGCTCTCGTCATTGGTGCGCCCATCATCTTCCTGAAGATCAAGGACACCGTCACGGTCGAGGAGGATCTCAAGTTCTCTGACGAGACTATTGCGGACATCGCCGCCCCGGGGACGGTCGACACCAAGCTGGACAAGGAGGTGGCGTGAGCAGTTGTGCTGAAGCGGAAGCTACAGGCAAAGCCTGCATGATATCCATGGGGAGTTGAGGATTTTACGCTGACGAGGGATGACGATACCAGAACGTGCCATGCGCATAGGAAAGTTGTAATATTGGATTAGGTCCTTTTATATATAATGCCAAGGCTTTATCAAGCCACATGAAGTCTCTGAAGTGAAAGCCACGCGCTTCACTATTTCTATCACTGCGGTCTATTCGTCTCACACATAGCCGCGATGTCTATCCTCCACCTCCTCGCCGCCATACCCACCACCACCGGGGGTATTAATCTGCACGTACTCGCCCTCCTTGAGATTAATAATTGCCTTCCCGCCAAGGTTAATCTTCTCCATGCCACCCTCCTCGTTGTGCAAGAAGGCGTAGTTCTCGCCCCTCTGCCCCGGTCCGCCGCCGGCCATACCCCAGGGGCGGTAGACCCTGCGGTCCGAGAGGATAGAGAACTTGAGCGGGATGCGTGCCTGGATCTCGCGCGTGATGCCATCGCCGCCGCGCCAGGTGCCCTTGCCGCCGCTATTTTTGCGGATGGAGTAGGCGCGGACCAGGACGGCTGTGCGTTTTTCGATTACTTCTGCGTCGGTTTGGCGGGTGTTTGTGGAGTGAACCTGTGTTTGAGTTAGTTTTGGTCATTCATTGTGATGGATCATTGATGGACGGCACGTCTTTTCGATACTCGGTATGAAAAGGACCGGGGAAGTTGGAATGGAAAAGGGTTTGATGATGTGTGTGTGTGTGTGTGTGTGTGTGTGTGTGTGTGTGTGTGTGACTTACATGAGTCGAGTGCTCGCCGTGATATCCCTCACCCGCACCGACGCCGCCCCCGATACTCTCTCCGTAATTCCACCCTTTGACAACCACGCCCGTGACGGGATCCCGCCCGCCCATCCCCCACCCGAAACTGTTGGCGCACCCCTGGCTTGCACCGTACCGCCCAAACGCGCGTAAAATGACATCAATGACGCGCTGGCTGGCGAGGGTACTTCCGCAGATGGCGGCGCGGGCACCGGGGTTGAGAACGGAGCCGACGGGCGGGAGGCGGATCTCGACGGGGGCGAGACAGCCTTGGTTGAGGGGTATGTCGAGGCCGACGAGGCAGCGGATGGTGTAGATGATGGCCGAGTGGGTGATGGAGACGGGGCAGTTGTAGTTGCCCCAGACTTGGGGGCCCGAGGCGGAGAAGTCGTAGGTTGCGGTGCCGGTGTCTGGGTCGATGGCGATGGCGACGGCGAGGGGGGTGCCGTCGTCGAGGTGGTCGGTGGCGGCGAGGCCGGATGGGTGGGCGCGGGCGACGGAGCGGAAGAAGGTGCGGACGGCGGCTTCGGCGTTGCGTTGGATGGCGGCCATGTATTTGTGGACGATGGCGAGTCCGCTGCCGCTGCCGCTGCCGCTGCCGGCGACGGGGTCGTTGTCGTGCTCGGCGCAGAGTTTGCGGAGGAGGAGGATGCCGCGCTGGTTGGCGGAGGTTTGGGCTTTGAGGTCCGAGATGTTGTCGGCGAGGCGGCGGGAGGTGCTGCATCCTGGCAGGGCGCCGGCTCTTTCAAAGGCGGCGCGGACGTCGGATTCGAGAAAGGTGCCGGCGGAGACAATTTTGAGGGTGGGTACGTTGAGGCCTTCTTCCCAGAGTTCGCGGGACTCGGGCATCATGGAGGTGATGCCTTTGCCGCCAATGTCTGTGTGGTGGCCGCGGGAGGCGACGTAGAAGGCGATTTCTTGGTTTCTTGCGCTGTCATTGTTTTTGTTGTTGTTGTTGTCGTCGGTATTACCGGCCCCGGGCCCGGAATCAACAAAGACAGGCGTCACGACGGTCAGATCCGGGAGATGCGTCCCGCCCCATTGCGGGTGATTTGTGAGGAGGACGTCGCCCGGTCGGAGCTTCCCCTCCCAGTGGCGGTGCTGCTCTTGGATGGCGAACTGCATGGAGCCGAGGTGGATGGGGATATGGGGGGCGTTTGCGACGAGTTTGCCCTGCGGGGAAAAGATTGCACAGGAGAAGTCGAGGCGTTCTTTTATAGAGGTGGAGATTGCGGTGCGCTGGAGGGTGGTGCCCATTTGTTCTGCGATGGCCATGAAGCGGTGGGCGAAGACGGAGAGTTGGATTGGGTCTATTATTTCGGCTTCGTGAGAGGACGGGGCGAGGTCTGGTTGGTTTGGTGTTTTCGTTGTCGTTGTTGTTGTCGTCTTGAGGATGGGAGGAGTGTGTGGTGATGATGATGATGATGATGAGGTCGTAGTCGGAACTTGCTTCTCGAGGAGGACGTGGGAAGAGAGAATGTACGCCCTAAACGTCGGCGACACAAAGATGGTCTGCGTCTGATCGATGAGCAAAGCAGGGCCCTCTACCACAACCCCCTTGGCAACCTCGTCCAGACGATACACGCCCGTTGCGTGCCACCCGCCGTCGATATACACATTCTGCGAAACTGCCGGCTCCGGGGCCGGTGTCAAGCCGCTGCTACCGCTCCTCCTCGCGGCCAGCTCCTTGAGCGCAGACGTCTCCCGCCTCCCAAACGCGCTACCGCCCGCCGCGGCGCCCGTGCCGCGGACCTTGATCGACTCAATGACTATATCCCTGTCCATCGAGAATGCGAACTCGCGGAGGTGCGTCGCCTTGAATGCCGCTGCGTAATCGCCGTCCGCGGGGCGGGAGATGGTGAGGTTCGTATCGGTGCCAAAGTACCGCAGCACAAGACTCTCGTCAAAGACGAGGGAAGCCTCGTCTGCGCCTTGGGAGAGGAGGTCCGTCGCTACTTTTATCCTCAGCGCGGCGAGGCGGTCCGCGACATGGGATGCCGCCGTCGCCGCGGCAGTGCCGTCATTGTTGAATTTCTGCCCGTACGGCTCGAGGGCCTCGCTCTGCAGCTCGGCCTGCGCGATGCCGTACGCCGAGAGCAAGGAAGAGAAGTTGTGGATCAAGACGCGGCGGATGCCGAGCTTGTCGGCAATATCGCAGGCGTGCTGCCCACCCGCGCCGCCAAAGGAGACGAGGTTGTGGTGTTCCGGCGCGAAGCCGCGGGCCTCGGTGGCGTTGCGAATGGGACGGGCCATTGTCTCGTTGGCGACGTCGAGGAAGCCCAGGGCGACGTCGTGGGGCGTCAGGACGACGGCGTGCTTCGTCTGGGCATTGACGGCAGCCGTGATGCGCGCAAACTGTGCGGCCACGACGGCGGTGTCGAGGGGCTCGGAGGCGGAGGGGCCAAAGATGGAGGGGAAGGAGGAAGGGACGAGACGGCCGAGGAAGAGGTTGGCGTCCGTGACGGTCAGGGGCCCGTTTTTGCGGTAGCATGCTGGTCCCGGGTGGGCACCTGCGCTCTCGGGGCCGACGGCGAGGAGGCCGTTGCGGGCGGAGAGGATGGAGCCGCCGCCGGCTGCTACGGTGGCGATGTTGAGCATGGGGACGGTGATTGTGCGGCCTGCGATGGAGGTTTCGGTGAGGTAGTCGTATGTGCCGTCGTAGCGCGAGACGTCTGTGCTGGTGCCGCCCATGTCGAGGCCGATGACGGGGGTTCCGGTTCCGGTTCCCGTGCCGGTGCCGGTACCGTCCTCCGGGTCCGGGTCCGGGTCGTAGCAAGACCTCGCGATGCCGACGACGCCGCCGGCGGGACCGCTTAGGAGGGCCTCGTTGCCGCGGAAGCGGGAGGCCGCTTTGAGGCCGCCGTCGGAGCACATAAAGTCCACACGGCGGGGCGGGCTGCCAGGGAGGAAGCCGGCGTGAAAGGAGGCGACATAGCGCTGGATGACGGGGTAGAGGTAGGCCTCGGAACAGGTGGATGTGCTGCGGTTGAGGAACTTAATGGTCGGGGAGACGCTGGCAGAGGTCGTGACGTAGGGGAAGGCGAATTCGGGGGAGCGGGCGAGGCGCGCGACGAGGTCTTCATGGGCTGGGTGGAGGTAGGCGTGCATGAAGCAGATTGCGAGGGAGGTGTAGCCATCATCCTTGAGGGCGCGGAGTTGGGCGCGGATAAGGTCTGTGTCGGGGTGGCGGAGGATGCGGACGAGGTCGCCGTTTGCTGTGCGGACGAGGTCTCCTTCACGGGGGGTAGACGACGACGGCGGCGGCGACGACGATGACGATGGTGGTGAAGAGTTTGGTGAGGAAGCTGAGGCGGCTAGGAGAGCGGCCTCCTTGTCCAGGGGCGTCGGGTTGAGGTCGTAGTCCGCGGGCACGATGCGCTCGTCGACCTCTACGACGGTGGAGTGCAGGGCCGCGGCCTTGCGGATGTTGAGGTCAAAGAGCTTTGGGCGGGACTGGTCGCCGATCACGCAGACGTCCTTGAAGCCCTTTGTGGTGAGGAAGGCGAAGCGCTCGCCCTTGTGTTCCAGGAGCGCGTTTGTTGCGACTGTGGTGCCGATGCGGCACGATGCTGCGGGACTGGGAGTTAGCAAAGGAGAGGTCAGATAGGGTAAGGGAAGTCCCGAAAGGAAGGCGTAAGAGGTGGTGATAATGAGACGAACCGATGCGTGAGCCATCGAGTTTCACGCCGAGGGGGATCGGCTTCCCCTCGACGGCCTCGAGGACGCGCCTGATGGCCTCGGTCGGGGCGTCGGGGTAGTTTGCCGGGTCTTCGGAGAGGAGTTTGAAGATGAGGGGCTCGCGGCCGTCGATTTCGGCAATGACGTCGCAGAATGTGCCGCCGCGGTCGATTGAGACTCTGATATCGGCTGCCATGATGTGAGAGGCGGGCAATTCTCGTGATGTTGATGCTCAGTTGAGTTTGGTGTTGCGGCGCATGAATCAGGACGAGTCCAAGGCCGTGTTTTAGTGAGGGCTCATGAGTGTTGAAATAAAGGTGACTAAGATTGCAGTCCTTTTGAAAATGTGAATATGAATTCTTGGTGCTCTGGAATGAAGATATCAAGCGCGTATACAAGACGTTTCTACGGACGTCTAACACGTCCTGCGCTTCCTTGCGGTAATTGATGCCGAGTGACTGATCCCCCCCCCTTCCACCAAGACCGCACAACAAATAAGCGACTGTCGGTCGGGCGTATCGAACGGCGCGATTGCGTGCTACCGGGCTCTGTCCGCGATTGCGGACCCGGCGTCGGGCTGTCTCCGACAATAGCTTTAGGGCGCCGGCCGTGGCTTATCGCTCGTCGAGCATGACCGTGTCTAAGTCGGCCCTCCACTCCCCCTCCCGCGAGTGACATAAGCACTGCGGTGTCCGGCGTTCGAGGCCAGCGCGAGGGTGTGGCGCCGCCTGACACCCGGAGCATGGCGGCCGTGTTTGCGGCGAGGCGAAGGCTTGATCTGAGTTTTGGAGGCCACGCGTCGAGGTAGACTCTTTGAGTTCGGACGGAGGATCCTGTGGGTCAAAGGTCGATCACCCAAAATCTTGGTACCTTACGGCACAAAACTCTATCGGGCTCTCAATCCTATGTCAACTATGATCAACCCCTTTGGTTGTGTCTCTGAGGGGTTGTTCAACGATTGCAGCTTTGAACTCTGCTGTGCCCCCGCAATACATTCACCTGGCTAGATGAAGTTGCATCGGGATGGCAATCAACAGCTTGAAGTGCATTGACTAATTTCAAAAGAAAGTATGTCCGTAACGTCGCCTTAGAAATACATCGGCCATAAGTGCATCTCTCACAAGCAGGATCAAAACAGCAATCAACTCACATTTTAGCAATCATTTGACAATAAAACTCAAGTTCCAACGGCAGTTGACACGGGGTGTCGAGGCAGATTCGCTTACGCATGTGCGATTCAATTGGGTTCGTTGTAATTAACTTGTAGGCTAATAACACGATGGGCTAGACTCGAAGCTACCAACGTTTGGGATTGCTAGACATCACCTTGGTAATACGCAAACCTTGATACTTAGCAAAGACTTAGTAAGACTTGATAATCCTACTCAATCCGCGCGTTGAGTGGTCGATAAAACCAACAGCCTGGAAACGGTAGATGATTCCGAGGACCCAATTCCAGGAACGATTTGGGGAAAGCCTTGGCCGCAGCCCCAAACCCAAAGGGCGCAACCGCACAACAGCTGCTCCACTTTGCAATTTAATTAAGTTGTCATTGTCCTTGCAACTGCTTAGTCCGGCAACTGTTTCCTACGGTGCTGTACAGAGCTGCCGGGCTCCGAGACACCACGCGTACAAGTTGAAACGTCATACTTACTATAAACGCAACGCATAATGGCGAAGCCTTACCAAAATAGTGTTCGTCTCAGGGTTTGTATCACTTGAGTCTTTTCTTTTTAGAGTTCTCGATTGAGCGGCACCACGTTGCCGCGGTCCACGACGGACCCGACGTCCTATCCCAATGGAGCCTGGAGTTGAGAGCCGTTCGCTCCGGAGTCACGACGGCCTCGCGATATCGGTTCGAGTCAACGAGATTATGACAGTCTTTCGGTATCTTGGGCGAGAGGGGCTCTCCGTACATTGGCAAGCAGGACCGATATATAAACAATCGAATCGAACCTTTGATGGCATTAAAGCATCTCCTCATCTCAACATCACTACTCGCATTCAACAACTGTCTCTTTCTACGGTCTCCCTTTCGACTTACAAAAACCACTGTACCTCTCTTGCAATTTCAACTACCACCGCACAACAGCCAAAATGCAATTCCCCACCTTTGCCATCCTCGCCACCATCATGATCGCCGGCGCCGGCGCCTCCCCTACCGCCAAGAATAACCCCACCGCCAAGAGCAAGACCACCACCTACGTGACTGATGGTTACTCGTCGGTCTGCATGAACGGCACAACAGACGCGAAAGGCAAGAAAGGCGCGAAAGGCACGAAAACCGCCAACCTCTTCTGCTCTGGCAACCACAACGTCTGCCCAAAGGGCAAGAAGGATACGTTCGACGACACTGCCACCAAGAAAAACGAGGCAGCCTGCAAAGGCGAAGTGTTTTTACAACAATGTACGCAGACGATTGCTTGCGTCTAATCATCTGAACGGGAACGACTTCACTTTTTCCTTTGTTATTTTGAAGCGATGGGGGAGTAGGGGGGATGGATGTTCGTTGGGGCAACCGTTGCACCAAGCTTGCAGTCGAGGGAGGTAAACTTGGTTTGGGTTTACGTCGCATCTCGTCACAAATATGATGCACTCAAAAAAAAAAAAAAAAATTTGCGTTGATTCATTTCTACCTTCGACTGTCATTGTCTGTTTGTGACTATGCAATGTTTCTCGTCATGATTCGCCTCATCTCAAACTGGTCGCGCATTCAGCATAAAGGTCTTGGAACCTTGGGCGATTGGAACGCAGGGCTCGTGTTTTTTATTAACAAGCAAGCCGAATTCATGCCAATGTCAGAGCTTCGATCTCGACATCTCGGTCGAATAATGAAGAACAAGACATGTTATTCTCCTCAAGAGTTTAGTCGATGCCTAACTGCTATGGTTGTGAAGAATCCAAAGTTGAAGAAAGTCTTTGATTCGCAGAACCCCGCTCTGTCATTAGGCCGTCTCTCTTCCAGTTATTACAGCCAAAGTTATCTACTCCGATACGTTGTCCTCTAGTCAAGTTTGGCAAAAGTGGCTTCTACATAAGGTCAATCTCCGCATGGTAAAGTCGCCGTCGTGACTGGCGGTTCCAGAGGAATTAGTGCCGCTATTGCTCTTGAGCTAGCCAAGAGAGGCGCAAACGTCAATCCAGAATTAGCTTAAAGCAACCCATGATGAAACTGCCAGGATGCGCCGGTGGCCTGAGGATATTGCGTCTCCGGTTGCGATGCATGCATTTGCTGAGCCGCAGGCAAATTGGTTTACTGGGCAGACTGTCTCAGCTTCTGGGGGCTTTTCAATGATATAGGCAGCGTTGGAGAAGGAAAAATTTATGCCACACCAGTCGTAATTGAAGAGATCTGCTATGACAGGAGATGACTCGCAACTCCAAATGTCATGCAACTGTTCTTCGAGACAATAGAGATATAGCCTCAAACTAATTAGTTCTCTAGGAAAACCGCATTCTTCTTCAACGCATTTGATCATTTTCTGACCGCCATGCTGTTGTGTCGGTTGATTTTGAACTGATTATACTGCATTCACGAAAACTGCGTGGCTTCGACCCCTGCCCTCCTTCGAGCATGCGACATGATTCTCAACCAGCCATCATAACCTCCTGCAGACGACGTAGAACCTCGTCTTCGCCAGGGTAATCAGGGCCCTTGATAGACTCAAAAGCGGGGAGGAGCACAGCCTCGTCAATCTCCTTGTACTTCCCAAGTTGCACATGGATCACGTTTCCGTTGCGGGAGGCATCGGCCATCAGATACGCCGCGCCGCGGGCAACGGCCTCAGCGGTCTGAATCTCGACGCCGATCTTGGCCATGAGACCTTTTAGGTCCGGAAGCACGCTGCTATCCGCCCACGTCGGCGCCAAGGTGTTGACTCGGATGGGCAAGTTGGCGGATTGGATGAGCGGTATGAGACCACGTCCGAATCCCAGCACGGCGTGTTTGGCCGTAGCTACGTTTCCGTTGTTAGTTGAGACGGTCTGTTGGGTAAGGAGAGGCCTAGAACTCACCATAGTCCACGGCACGAAGCCGTTGGAGACCCGTCGTAGAGCCGTTGATGACGATGCTGCCGCCCTCGGCCTGTTGGCGCATGTAGTATATCGCAATCGTCGCCGTGTGCATCACACCGGTGAGGCTGACATCCAGCAGCTGGTGCGTGGGCTCCTTCAGATCGCCGTTCTCGTCCACTTCCGTTGAGAGGTAGTTGGCGCGAGGGCCAACACCAGCGTTGGCAAAGACATGATCAATGCGTCCGTACACTTCCTTGGCTTTCTTGAAGAGGGCGATTTGGTCAGCCCAGATGGTCACATCGGTCTTCACAAACGTGTAGGCGCTCTCAGGCTGCTGCGCCGGCGGTTGAACGTCTGCATTGACGACGGAGGCGCCCTGGGAAAGCAGCGTGTTGACTGTGGCGAGGCCGATGCCCGATGATCCACCTGTTACAATCGCCACCTTGCCCTTGAGGCCGGCCAGGTCCTCGTCTTTGATGAGAAATTCAGCCATGTTGGTAAACAAGAGTGCGATGCAGTTGAGAGCAAATGGTACACACAAGGCTTGGTTGGTGAAGCTTGCAGAGTCGATATAAATAGCTATTTCACGTCAAACCTCCATTCCCTTCCAGACGTTCTTCAATCCCTCCAGGTGCCAGGCAACTGTATTCCATGCGACGTGTCGGTCTACGAATGGAACTCAAAGCGGGATTTACAACTGTATGCGGGGTAGCAAGGGCCATTTTCAAGCCAGGGAAGCGGAAAAGCGGCCACTTTGGACGCTTTGCTTTAGCCCCGGCGAGCGACGCGTCAAGTGAGAGACGCCCACACTTGTTGACGGCCCTTGTTCTTTTGCGGTATTTCTCGATGATCGGTGACAGGGGTTTTTGTGGGATATGCAATGGGGCGGCCGCCGGAGTTACGCAGCAAAGAATTACATCTTCAATTTTCCCGATGCGCCGATTGGCTCTGTCCAGTTGTTCAAGTGGTGTTGCTATCTACATGTACTGATGAACCATGGTTAGGGAAAGGATCGTATATTGGTCTAAAAAACCTTTACAGGCCAGCGGAACGCTCAGCAGCCATGTACTGCCTTCGCCAATGTCCAAGGAAGGTGCTTGATTCGAGGATAGAAGGCTATTGCAAAGTGACCTCGCAACGGTGCCCAATGGGCGCTACGACAAAAAAGTTTTCCATCTCCATCATTGAGTCGGTCGTGCTGCTTGATACCTTTAAGCTAGGGCACTGACTGAACAAGACTGCAGCCCCCATCCGGATCTCCATCCGGGCGAGGTGCAGGCCGATACAGACCCGCGAGCCGGCGCCAAATGGGCAGAAAGTGCTCTTCTGCTGTGGCGTGAGTGCAGCCGGGTCAAGCCACCGCGACTCGTCAAACCTGAAATCTACTTAGAGAGCTGGCTTATTAATTCAAGAGGACTGCAGACTTACTCCGATGGATTTGGGAACACGTCCGCATTCCGATGAAGAGTGTAAGCTTGAGTTTCTACTTCAAAGCCTCCCGGAACATGGTAGTCTCCGAACGTGGCGCCTCGGGATGGGACGACTCGTGGCAAGTTGCTTGGAATGCTGCCGTAGAGACGGAGAGTCTCGTCCACAACAGCGTTAAGGAGAGGGAGCTTCTCCAGAAACGCATCATTGAAAAGATTAACCTCATCAACTACAGCGACTTCCGCTTCCAAGCGAGCTTGGAGATCAGGCTTTTTTAGAACGGCCCAAATAAGGTACGTGAGAGTAGACGACGTTGTGTCTGAACCGGCAAAGATCAAACTGGACGCCTCGATTTCGATGTCTTCCTCTGTGAGATTAGCTTTCTCTCCGGCATCGCACTCCGCTAGGGCATTGGCAAAGAGATTTGCCTTGTTGTCGCGATGTTTCTTCAGGTTCTCAACAGCTCGACCGCCATATGCACGGATCGACTTTCCAGCGTTCAAGAGTCGTTGAAGTGACTTGAGCGGGATATATTGGGAGATTGCGTAAATCCATGGAAGCTCGTACTTCAGAAAACTGCCTAGACCGGCCATTTGAAACGTGTCGATGTATTCATTCTTCTGTTGATTTTGCCGTTAGCTGGCGATCAAGTGTCATTGGATGATGGAGCACTATTGTAGCTACGCCAGTAGTAGAATTACCTTGCCGGATTCTAGAAGCTCGAAAGATTCCCCAAAGCATAGCTGGCCAATCACATCCGAAGTCATGAGCATCCACCAATGAAGTATATCGGAGGATCCGTGGAGGGCCTCGCCCTTGATCCGGTGAACGGCCTTTGCCACCTTCTCTCTCACTACAACCTCGCAGTTCTGGCGAAGGCTCGTAGTCGAGAAGGCGCGGGAGAAAATTTTCCGTCGTGCTGCGTGTCTCGTTGGGTCTATCGTTGCAAAGACACCAATCCCGACGCCTGAATCACTAACCAAATCCTCATACCATGGTGACTTTAGGAAGCCGGACCCGATGCGGTGGATTGCGACGAAGCCCTCGGGATCAGAGACTGCCACTTGATGGGGCGAGATTCGCACGACGGTACCGTATCTTTCGTGGAGCGAGTGAATGTAATACATTCGTCGGCCGATCGTGCTTTGCCATTTGAGCACGTAGTGCGTGACGCGGGTGTACCATGGCCCTGGGATGTGTTTGAGAGGGTTCTTCAGCCACGAAGAATAGAGCTGTATCTTCTTCAGAAACCATCTCCGACGTGAATCTGGATGATCCAACTTACTCGCAAGAATCCAAGTACGCAAGTGGTCAGACACGCCCAGAACACTACGACTGGATCGGTGAAGAGCATGATCCAAGAGCTCTTGAGGCGACGCGGTTCGAATACGAATTCGGGTCTGTGGTGGTGAGTGATATGAAAGTTCAAATTCTAAGCCGCCGATTAGCATTTGTGTAGATGACTTACTCTAGCCGTTGACGGTGCGGGGGAATGCTTGTGGCCGTTGGCGGAAGGGGATGTCAGAATATTTGGCTGGCGGGAGAACCAACAGCCAACGAATTCTTGGTTCGCATAACTTGCCCAACCAGGAAGGTAGGGAATTGTACCCGGTGTACTGATTAATAGGTCAAAGGTGAGTGGCTAATAGCTTTATTCGCAGTTGCACACGATTGGCATTGTGGAACTACTTCCATTGCGAGCGCAGCTCAGATGCTTGGATCAATATACTGCCGGAAGAGGTGTTTGATCAACTTCCCCAAAGGAGATACCACTAACAAAACACAGGGGGTTTAGTGTTTCAAGTAAATTCGAGTGCGGGGGAGAAATTGTCATTCTAGACTACCCTTTTTCGAAGTTGATACAAGTAAAAACTACCTTGACTTGCTGACACGTCATTCGGCACCCTCCTAGTTCATGAGACCTTCCACAGACTACAGCAGGTAATGATGACCTTCTTACGGCATAAGCTGACTTACCTTTTGGATAATCCTACAAGGCTGGTATACGTATGACCATTTATTGCAGCTCGATACGTCTTTAATCATAAATTCGAGTGCGCACATAAGATGAATGCCGACTTGGAGGTGCGCAGGTATGTATGGAGGTCAAAGACCCATCGCCTCTTAGTAGAGATGACACAGAATACAAATACTCCTTGAAATCACTCGGACTACGCCAGTTCTGTCACTCGACTCAATTCAAGTGCCTACTTACGTTCTGGTGATGCATTAGCTGAGAATTCCATCTGATTCTAATTCGGCTGGAACAAGCCTAAATTTGCCGCAAATCCCGACCTTCTTTAATTTCCGTTGAAAGCTGTTAACTCGTACACCCTAATATGAGATTGAGTCTCGAAACCTCTGTCAAGTTGGACTCACATGATGGCAATCCAAGTTTAGTCTGAGATGCATGATGATTTTTTACAACATAGTGCTCTGCTCAATGTCTGGGTCACTCTTTGATTAGAGGAGCTGCATTGTACCGCTTCTAGATATCGCAGGCCAGGAGTTCAATCTCAAGGTCGAACATTGTCCAGCATGAGAACCCAACTTACCCGCCATTGACTTGAGAGTAACTTGAACAAAGTAGTCACAAAACTAAGATATCATTCTTCAAAGCCACTTCTTTACTGAAGTGGGGCCACTCGAACGACGAAGCGCAGTGAATATGCCTTACCTCGAATCTACCTCACACTGTACATCTACAGTTCCAGAGGTTCCGACAGACAACCAGACACTCAATCTCTGTAACAAACGATTTACTCGCTCTCTCACATAATTACCTACATGATTCGATATGCGAATCCATTGTGCAAATCAAAAGCTCGGATCGTTGCCTCAATGGCCATCGGTGACGCAGTCACATGAGGATGCCCAGCTTTCTGCTCTTGCTGCCCATGACCCCTGAACCCATGACTCGAGCCATCACGCCAAGAAATACTGTCATTTTTCCTTTCGAGTCTTAATCTGGAGTAGTCCGCAATGCTGTAGGAGGGTCCTGTGCCCCGCTGACAACCTGTACCAAGCACGTGGAAACAAGCAAAGTTCGACGGGTGCGGCTCCAGCGCAGATCTACGAATACGGACGCATCCTGAGAAGGATCTTCGGATGACAGTGAATAAGCTTTTCCCCCTTTATATACTCCGAACTACAATAAAGTTCAGTGTCAGATAAGTGGAATAAGCCGACTAATGGTCCGTATAACTTCACATGAGCACTGAAGATGATCAGAAGCTAGGCCAGATTCTCTTAAGTTCAGGCCGCCATTCTATTCTTAACAATTCAAACTTTTTGTGACTCTTTGATCAAACTACTTGTCAAGAATGATTTTGCCCCACGCGGCCGTCCGCTCTGCTCCAAGCGCTTTCGCTGGATGCGCCCCGCCGGTCTACCGATTCGCCCGTCAAGTGCCCGGTGTTTCTAGACAGGCGAATCCCCCAAATTTTCTCTCAAGTCTTCGACACGGATATAGGCTCATTCAACCCGGGATTCGCAAAGGGTCTCGCACCGTGGTCCGATATGCTCTTGTTTCCCACCGTGCCGACGCCGTCGTGATTCGATGCCTCCAACGCAACCGGAAATATCAAGCCCCTCAAAGTCACCACCAATGGCCAGTCCATCTTCAGCCCCAGAGGCTACAGCCCGCAGCTGGGCTTCCGCCGCGCCGGGTTACTGCTCGGAATCGGTTCCGATGACTCGAATGAAGATGTCATGACGACGCATTGGAACTCCATGCTGGACTCGACGCGGAAGCTCAATCTGACGCATGAGTCCCTCATGTCTTTCACGAGACGAACGATTCCAGCGTTGCGCAATCCGTTCTGCGGAATGGCACGCCCCTTGACCAGAATAGTACCTCGGACAAACCCTCGTCGACCGACTGGAAGTTGCTGGACAGGAACAACACTGTCATCTTTATGACTGCGCTCAAGTTCAACATCTGACAAAACTGGGCCGTCACCATTGATGTCCCCAAAACTAAGTCACAACTCCATTGCGCCTCAAGGACGCAGGTCTTGGAGGAGCCCGATATCTAATAATTCATCAGCACAATTAGAGCCTTCTTCTCGGAAGGGAACGATCCACTAAAGTCCGTCACCGTGGTCCTCCCAAAAAACAACGCGGGCGGTGCCGCGGCGGCGCGCTCCAGATCGGCTTACTAACGAAGCCCACCATGACCAAGGGTGTCGTGAACGACGGATTCTAGGAGAGCAATTTCAACGAGGGGCAAGTACTGGCGGACATCTTTCCAGCGCGAACGGGTGTGGGTCTCTCTGATCCTTGAGTGAGAACCAATCTCGAGCGTCAAGTCTGTAAAAAGTTGGTGGGAGAGCGTCAGGGGCGAACGCTCTGGGGTCGGGCTCGGACGGTGTGGGAATCCATACCCAGGCCTCTTCCGACAGGATGTCTTATAATTGCTTTTTCCAGGATGACCCAAACGGCTTTGCAGCCACGAACGAACCCCCTTTTCATTTTCTCCGGCTCTCGGCATGTTGGCATTCTCACTTCAGGGTGTAGAGAAAAGCAATATACTGGTTAGTTTGCTGCCCAGACTACACTTCATGTAGAGCTTGGCGGTGCCTAGGCCCTAGGTGAAGAACGCCGGTCGAGTTTTGTGGTTCATGGGAGCTTGTGACCGAGACATTCTGCCGCAGCTTGATCCTTCACGGACTGCAATGGCTTTGGGCAGATTCCTTCCCTCTTATCCGAGGGGCTGAGCCCCTGTGCAAATTGCCTATTTGCTAGGTTCTTTGAACTTGAGCCTGCGGATTGGGCACACGTCAACATGGTGCAGGCAGCTTGCAGGCTGCTTCTCCCTTTCATGAAGAATGTCTGGATCGATCCTCGTGTCTGCATTGATCCACTGATACGTGTCGTGCGACTGCAACGAGCCGAGGTTAGTGGCGGGAGGACGGCATTCGTCGCCTTGATAAATCGAAAGGCTATTTACAGATGAATGAGAAGGTCGTACCAATATTTGACACACTCGTAAGCCTTACCTGGACTGGACTGGATAGGTTAAGAATCAGGCTGAGAGATATTAATCTGAGTCAGGTAGGGCGAGGACCAATTTTTGCCTTGCCTTGCCTTGCTCGTGAAGGATTTTCAAATCTTTTTGGAGGATTGGGTGCAATTATGACGCGTGCGTGTTGCGAGAATCGCTTAGAAAGTTTGAGTAATTCTCTTGAACCTGCGAAGGTGATGACCAAACTTTACTTTCGTGTAAGGCGGTGCGGGCAAGGAGTGGCTGAGGGGCCGCAGAGAAAGTGGCAAGCAAAATCAAGCCACTTCCAGTTGATTGCCCCATAACAGACCCTCTTGACCATCTGAGAGCTCATCATCATAGAACCAGGCTCTAACAAACAGCTTAGAATAATTACAGGCCAACGCCGCGTTTCTTCTAGTGTCCATCGATGCAAACGACCTTGAAAAGCTTGACTTATCCTTGCTATTAGGAGGATTAATAAGTTACGGGACGTTTTATGCTTATCTGCCGTGCCTTGGATCGACGTCTTCATTATGCCGACCAGTGCTAATATGAACGATTTAGTCCTTCTACATAATTATTATAGGACTACCAATTATGGTTCACGTTGTTTCCACACTTGATTTCATTGCAACAACAATTGCCATCCACTTTCTTGCACATGGTCCCTCCAAATGAAATGCACATGATTGAATTTTGTAGTGTGAACATCAAATGAAGAACGACTCATCGAACATTTCGAAGGTGAACATTCTTGTTTCGGAACCTTTGGAGCCTGATGTTGAAGATGATGAGATGCGATTGGCGCCCACTTGATCTGTGATCTTCCTTGAGTGAGGGTCATTCCCGGCATCCTCCTTACCGACCAAGCGGCGCACTAAAGGGTTCAGGCCTTCGGTCCAGGGACCAGAGCAATCCAACCACTCCTTCCATGTCCCCTTCAAGAATCTCCAGTCTTTTGGACAATAGTCGGCTAGCTTGGAGCAACGGACTGCACTGCGGAGTAGGAAGGTGTTGAAGAAGGGCAGCCTCCCTGTCCTGTCTTCATAGCCAAGACAACGGCGTGGTAGCTGTTCCCACATCATCCGTTTATGAGCTCATGGATGCTGGAGAAGAAACGATTCGCATATTGAAAAATACCTTGCCTCCTCAGCCCCGTGAAATGGTGCGACCTAGTAGACCAACCAAGAACCAATCAACTGCGTTTGACAGCCATGATAGCCGAGTCCAAGCGCTCCGAGGTAGCTAGGCATGTCAGGACAGACCTGCATTCCAACACGAACAGAAGACTATGCACGGTCTTCCGCCCCAGGCGGGTTGCCGCAGACAGACGCAGTGTCATGCCGTATTGAACCTTCGACGGGAGTGCCGTGTCAATCCGCACAGATGCTTCCCGATTTTTTGATTGCGAACGACAGGTTGAGACAATGGTGTCTACAGACGAAGCCACCAATCATTATGAAACGGAAGAATCGCAAGAAACATCGTTTTTGGATGAACTAGGCTACATAGCCTCAACCTTTGGATGACATCGCGGGTTCCTATGTGGTTATCCCTGATCCTCCCATCAACGCGTAAAGAACTTGAGCCTCGGGAGTTGGGCTGACGGGCTTCGAGGTATAAGAGCTCGGGATTTCACTGGGTATGAGACGAGAAGTTGAAGGATCATTAGAAACAACAAGAACCATCCAGTCCCTTTACGGCTTTACACTTTCGCTTTTTTCAGCCATACATCTGCCAACCAAGTGCAGCGCACACTCTTTCAACGACCACCATACCCAAGCCTCGCTCTTTTGACAAGATATTCACTTCAACGCCACCACAAGCAACCACATCAGTCTCCCTCAAAATGAAGACCGCCGCCATCACCACCGTCCTCTTCGCCGCCCTCGCGGCCGCCTCCCCCGTCGAGATCCGCCAGGCCTCGGGCTGCAAGGCCTTTACCGTCCTCTTCGCCCGCGGCACCACTGAGATGGGCACCCTGGGCAGCGTCGTCGGCCCAGGTCTCCAAAAGGCCGTCGCCTCCTCCGTCCCCGATTCCGTTTTCGAGGGCACGACCTACCCGGCCGACATGGGCGGCATCATGTCCGAGAGCACCGGCTCCGGTCCGGGCAGCATCGCCATGGCTAACCAGGCCAACTCGTGGCTGACCAAGTGCCCCCAGACCAAGATCGTCCTCACCGGCTACAGCCAGGGCGGCATGGTCGTCCATAACGCCGCCAAGAAGCTCTCGGGCAAGGCCATCGCCGCGGCCGTCACTTTCGGTGACCCATTCAAGGCCCAGGCCGTCACCGGCGTGGCCACCGGCAAGTTCAAGAGCTTCTGCGCTGGTGGAGACACTGTATGCTCTTTTGGTGGGTGTGCTAGCTCTGGAGGCTGCACTAGCGCCAGCGCCGCTGGCCATCTTGGATACGGGTCCGACGTCAACACCGCAGGCGCTTTCCTCAAGACCGCTACTGCCTCCTAGGTACAGCCTCAGTAAGGCCGATGAGGCCTTAGCATCTTGGTAGAAGGAGCATCTTCATGTAGATGCTCGAAGGGAGCCCTGGATTTGTGGCATGGACACACGATCGGATGTCTGGAACTTTCCTTTCTTCAAAAGTATGGCTTTAACCTTCTTGTATGGAATACACCTACTAGTCAATGGCACTGGTTCTTACTCAAACTCTGCCCGAAGGAGGGCTGATGATGACTACCACTACATGAATATGTGTTGGCTTGCTTACCTAGATATGCCACACTCTGTTGCCAAGGAGGACAGTGAGAAATCCTCTGATCAACTGTTTCTGACCATGCATCACACCATCCCTTACCTCACATTTACCCCGCTGTCTTCTCCCAAAGTCTCAATTAAAACTCATCAGTATCACTTTCGTGAGTACTGACCTTCACTCGAGATTCCCTCCACTTCTGAAGCAGCGGCAGTCCGATGCCGGTCCAGACAGTCAACGCCACCACGAATGCAAGCGCGCTCTCCCACCCATGGGTCTTTGCAAAAGCTGGGGCCTGTCCGCTCGGCATCTGCAGCTGTTGAAAGGGAATCACCACAGCCTGTCCGACCGAAACCATGAAGCCGAGCACAAAAGCACGCTTCTGCTGATCGCCGCCGCAGGCCTCGTTCGCCCAGCCAGCCAGCAAAGGCGTGTAGCAACCGTAACAACCCGCAAGGATGAACACGGCCATACGCAGCATATGCGGCACGCTCCACACCGCGAGGACGGCGTAGACGAACGTGAGCAGGCACCCGACGGCGAAACAGACGGGTCCGCGGCCGCCAATCTTGTCGGAGACGAAGCCTGTGGAGACCATGAAGACGAAGTTGATGGCGCCGACGCAGGTGGGGATGTTGTTGATCTCCGGGACGGTGTACAACTTTGTCGATTTGAGGTACAGAGTGAAGTATTGGATGATGTAGGAGCCGCAGGTCAGGGTCCAGAAGGAGTAGGCTGCCGTAAATGCGTAGACCTGCCACGAGCCAAAGACGCGGCTGATGACGGACCAGTTCATCTTGCCGACGGGTTTGCGACCCTCTTCTTCGATGCGTTCGCGGGCGCGCTGCTTTTCCCAGTCGCTGAAGTAGAAGGCCTTTGTCGTGTGAGGGGTGTCGGGGAAACAAATCTGGTGGCAGCGTTAGGGGAATATAGTGGTAGATATCAGTGTCCAAGAATAACTTACCACGCCGTAGATCACCACGGGGATGGCAAGAATGAAGTCAAAGATGAAGAGCCATCGCCATGCCGACAGGCCACCCTTTCCGCCCATGCCGGAATACAGCGCAGACTGGAGATAGCCGGAGAACATCTGACCCAAGACACCGCTCATGACGAAGAGGCCGGAACGACGAGACAGCTCGCTCCTGCGGTACCACGAGCCGAGCACATACATGACGCCAGGCCAGGCAGCAGACTCGAAAAGCCCTATAAAGAAACGTAGGACGTAAAACTGAGTGGCGGTCTGGCACTTGAACAGGAACAGCACAAAGAGCGACCAAACACAGAGGCACCCGGTCAGCCAGAAGCGCGGTCGGACAATCGTGATGATCAGATTGGCGAAAGAGCCGCCGATGATGGTGCCAATGTTGAAGTACGTGTTCATCCAGGAGAGCTCGTTACCGGGGCCGAAGCCGAGCTCTTCCGACATGCCCGATACATAGGCATTGGAAATGTTGTTTTGGTCGAGCTAGAGGGTGCTGAAGTCAGCAAACAAGCCCAAGATGATGCTCTAAGAGGGGAGCATCTGCTGAATTACCTGTTTAATGAAGAACATGAGGCAACTGAATGAGAGTAGAAACCAATCCAGTTTAAAGATCAACCTCTTCTCTTCCGGCGATGTGCCGGGTTCGTGCCAGTGGAACCATCCGGCAACTTCAGGTTGCTGTGGGGGCTCCGGCTTGGGATCGGCCTCGGCAACAACGGAGGTCGTCGAAATGCCGTCCTTATCTTGGCTCCGGTTGGTCGGGTCGACGGCCTTGACGGCATTGGCCGCGTTAGTATCGAGTCGCAGCGCCATCGTTGTCCAATTGCCGCTCTAACTGTCTCTCGTTCCGTGACGAATGCAGGATGACTCCAAGACGATTCACGGTCGACGAAGGTGATCGGTGAACCCAGCTGATGAAGCTTTCCCGTACAGAGTGAAGACTGAACCTGGGCAGCAGATTCTTTATCATAGCATATCTCTCCCTAAGGTAGAGGCACTAAGATAGAAGCGGTTGATGGTCCGAAAAAGCGACTTGATAACGATTTTTATTGGGTCGAGCACGACATCGGCAGTCCTTCCTCAAGGCTGACCTGATTGAAATTCCCTTCACCGACTCACCATTGGCGGCGAACAAAGCGCGCCATCAAGAATGAAATATTTTTTCCTTCCGATGTAGTATCGGGGAGGGGCCTGGTGTCTTTAGACTCCTTACCCTTTTTGGAAGTTTATGTCGGGCTAGTTCCGGCCCCCGTACGCGCACTATCCCCTCCGCGCCTTGTCTTTCCCCCTCCCCGCTCCTTCGGCTTCTTATGCGATACGCCCTTCGGACAGCAGAACGGCGTCAAAAGAGAGGTTCTCAACACTGGGGCACTCTGACGTGATAGCAGCTGCCAAGCCCATAGTCAAGGCCGCTATCTTATGTATGAGAAATCGCGGCTTTTCGTGAATCCTTGCTGAGAACCGCAAGGGTGTCCATTTTCAGACCGCTTACTCAGGACCCAAGACAAGATGGTTGACTTTGTAAACATCAACGGCGCCCGTCTGGCATACCGCATAGCCGGACCAGAGAACGCGCCGCTCATGATCACGCTACACGGCGGTCGTGGAATGGGTACACTCGTTGAAATCTCACGTGTTATGAGACAGGCCTGCTGACCAGAAGCTCGCCCTGTCTAGGTGATCATAAGTCCGACTTCAAAATCTACAGCCAACTAAGCGACAAAATTCGAGTTCTTTCTTTCGATTATCGCGGGCATGGCCAGAGCTCTTTGACGAAGCCTTACACCTTTGAGCAGATTGTTGATGATATCGAAGGTGTGAGGCAGCATTTCGCTGGAGATGACCAGGTCATCATCTGCGGCGGCAGCTTTGGCGGGTTTCTGGCCCAGCACTACGCCATCAAATATGCCCCAAACGTATCACATTTGATTCTCAGAGGGACTGCGCCGTCTCATCATCGTGAGTTATGGAATCTGCGCCACCTTGTGAGGGCTGAATGTTGACAACCTAATCCTACCACCAGACGAGGCCGGTGCGATCAAGACCTTAGAGGCGAGGATACACAAAGTCCCTAGCTTCTCTGTCGACATGTTGAAGAACAAGGTGTTTGGTGCATATGAGAGCGATCGCGAATTTCAGTTGATTTACTTCGCCATGATGCCGTTATATAAAGAGACGTTTGACCCTGATGCAGGATTGAAGAGCAATCTGGACGGAGTGTACGTTGCCGAGTCCCACAGTAAGTTATCGCACAACGCGGATCTGCGTTCCAATCAACGCACACCCAGTTGACAATTCACTCAGATGATCTCTACTCTGAGAAAGAGAAATACTTTGACTATACCGAACAACTATCTCAAATAACAGCCAAGACTTTGGTAGTGGTCGGTGACAAGGATTGGATCTGTCCTCCGGGTGAGAAACTTACTCCCAGCGTTGTGAGCATCTCGGCTGAAGCTGACTTGAAAATTTGCAGAAAACTCCAAGTTGATTGTTGAAAGAATCCCTGATGCCAAACTCCTGTTAGTTGAGGGTGCCAACCATGCTGTACATGCTGAAAAGCCAAATGTGGTTCTAAGAGAGATTCGGAAGCACTTGAGCATCTAGAGTCACTGCCATCCTGGCTGCGGAGCGCGGTTCATATAGTCCTACCTTATGATGTTCCTTAACCAATACGCGATGACAGTACGAGTCGAAGGACCTCGGCCGAGAGTTTTGGGAACATCTTCTGTTCTAGACGATAGGTTTACAAGTACCTCTTCATATACTATGTGGACGTGGGCATTATTTCTGCGCCCATCACCTCTTTCCCGGTATCGTTTCATTCTCTTCAGTAACGCTATGCTGTACATCTCTTGTGGCTTTGATAATTTGCCATGTTCTCTCCGCGTCATCGTCATGGTTACTTTTATGGCTTTCGTTGTCTCTGGCTCCTCCAAACATCGCAATTCCCAGTTCCGTTTCGTACATCGGCCCTTGTTACCCCTTACCCTGTCCGAACGTCACGATATTGGTATCGCCTGAGCGATTGTACGGCTCCTGCGTGCTGGTGGCCTTGGTGGTATTGGTGGCACTGGTTCAGGGTGACGATCAGGCCGGAACCGTTCATCAGGAAGGAGAGTCGTATCTACCCTCACGGGATCCAGAGAGAGGCTTTTTGGTTCGTGATGCGCATAAGGGTGATGCATATGCTGGATTTAATGAAGCACAGGCTGCTGGCGTAGAAGTTTTCCAGATCAAGAGCGTCGCGACGTCTTTGATGATCGCAGTCAGCAATTCCCGGTTCATCAACACGAACATACAGCATCTTCGTAGCAGCGTATGAGGAGTGCCCCGCCGATAGGCAGGCCTTACTCATCGGTCGAGGTGCTTCTTTGTACTAGTGAAGAATCATGATACATTATTAGAATAGGAATACCTTTGTGTACGTTTGATAATGGCAATCGATTCTGAATGGCAGTCATCTATCCTTGGGCCGTCCGGGGATATTCACTCCATCCAGACGCCATTTTATTTATGAGCAGGGCGGCTATACTGAGTGTGATCAAGTCGCCGGAATGATTGAAGAAGTTGATTGGTATTAGCAACTCTGTCATCTCTCCTGGATCTACGAGGGTACGTAGATCTTGTCAGCCCATTCGGATACCTTCAATCACTGCCTCGAGACCTGGACCTACTTGATGGTACTTCGGGAAACTGGATTGTTTGAAAATGTCAGCAAGACTAGACGCTGACCTGATTGCAGACGCCCCTCTTTGACCAAAAATTATGCCGCGACCGCCTGCCAGCGGACGACCTCGCCAATGCAATGTTCTCGTTCCTGACGGAGGAGCAGTACGGCAATGGCAATGCCCTCGAGATCATGATGGTCGGCAGCAAGGAGGAACCCAATCTCCACACCAAGGGGGCGGCTTCCTTTTGGTAGAGACCAATTGACGCGAGTACGATATGAGAGTTACTTCCCCTTTGCCAAATACGTTTTAAGCTTCCCCTGCTCTCTCACCGTCCTCACCCAAGCTCGTTCAATGGCGCCGTGGACTGTGTTTCTTGTCTGTTTTCTGCTTGAGCATGGTCCCTTGCCTCGGTAGTGGGCAAGTTATTAACCAGGCCACGGAACATGGGCCGGTTCTTATCACGAGGAATGACCCAAACAGACCCTAGTAACATCCAGGTTGAAAGCCAAGGCCTCCATCTTCCACATTGGGCCAACCATGATGCTAATACCTCACCACATCTTGAAACATAATCGTGACAGGAAAGCAGAAAATGACTGAAGAATTAGAGATGCCAGTAAATTCAAAACTCTATTTGCCGCTACAACGCATGAAGGTATCTAAACACGGAAACAAATGAGCAGCCGTCTAGCCGGCTACGCGAGAGACAGAACCGATTTCACATCAAAGAAACCCCAGTTCCAACGATCCCCAGCCGTAGTCCATGGCCGACTCGTCATTCCCCACCGCCGTCGAATGCCGCGTAGGCCCCGTCGGCGAAAACGCAGTCTGGCCCCTGAACCCCGCGGGCGCCGAAGGCTGCCCGCCGCAATCGTCGGGAAACTCGTGAAAGGCGTAGCACGTCGACCGACCGAGGACCTCCTGCATCAGCGCAACGAGCCTCGTGATGAGGGGCCGGACCATGGCCTGGTACGACTCCCTGGAAGAAAATGGCCCGCCGCCGCCGCCACCGCCGCCGCCGCCGTGCCCGTATACGTTGGCGTTGTTGCTACCAGGGAAGTGCAGCGTCGTGTACCCGTTATTGGGCACGCCGGAGATGAGGCCCATGAACTGCCGAAAGACCTGGGCAGCCTGCCGCGCGTGGTCCCAGCCCCCCGGGAAGGCCTCGAGGATGCTCACGATGACGGCGACCTCGTCGCGGGCCGAGAAGGATGTGCATTCCGCGGCGCAGGCGATGAAGCTGTGGATCAGGACCAGGCCGACGGGCAACAGGCGGCACAATGTCACGCGGTTGAGCGGGAGCTGGCGCTGCTGGAGGAGGACGGAGGTCGACTGGAGATGTTTCTGTGCGAAGCGCAGTAGTTCGACGGCCGAGACGATGGAGCCGCAGGAGTTGAAGTGGCAGGGGTAGTGCAGGAGGAGCAAGAGGTGGTAGTACCGCGCGCTGAGCCAGGTGACCGAGTTGTGGATGGGGACGTTGTCCGGCTCCAGCGGGGAGACGAGGCAGCCGTTGCTGTACCAGTTTTCAATCTCGGAGCGTATGTTTTGCACAATGGCGCGCCTGTCGGCCTGCGAGAGCGCGGCAACCTCGGACTGTTTCCGGGTGTGGATCTGTTTGAGGATGCGATCCTCGAGCTGCCTGAGCTGGATGACGTGGCGGTTCGTCTGGAGGATGGAAGCGAAGTGCTGGCGGTCCGGGGACGCGAACTCTTCGATCGTGAGGCCTGGCAGGGGGACATCGACGTTCTCGTCGATAAGGGCCACGGGGAGACCTAGGGAGATGGCCATCATACGGTCTAGGACGTAGATGCTCCAGAACAGACGGTGGCGTAATTCAATGTCCATGGCCGAGAGGTTCTTGTCCTCGGACGATCTCCTGCTCAGCCCGAGGAGCATGGCCTGGCGGGAGACGATGCCTGCTATAGACCACGTCGAGATTCCCTTTGGGTCGAAGAGTGAGTAGAGAGCCACCAGGACGAGTATCTGGATCGATTCGAGGTCCTCCCTGGCCAGACACTCCTGGATGATGTCGGCGTACGCCACGTCGAACTTGGACGCCGTGTCGTTGGGTATCTGGCCGGCCCGTTGCAGGGTGGTGCACCCAATCGCCATGATGAGGTAGAGCAGCGTGGAATCGGCATCCCTGCGCCGCTTGGACGAATCGCCCAGAGACTCGAGGTTCCGCAGGACTTTGGTCCTGTTGACGAATGGATAGGCCCGGTTGACGTTGCGGAAGTAGGCGTCGACGAACCTTCGAGCGATGGCATCGCGGGGCAGGCTTGAGGACGTGAAGCCCTCTCCGTCGCGGAGACTCTCGATGCCGAGGATCCTTCCGGGCTCCGGTGCCGGCTGGAGCAGAGCTCGCATGTGATCATTGCCCCTCGACGATGATGATTCCGTGTCTAAATTCACCGCGAGACTCCTCTGATCAAAAAGAATAGACCCCGAGGTCCCGAGCGGTTGCTGGTGCACGGCAAACGTGTCCCGCGGATCCCCCCGATTGCTCTCGGCACTGATAATAGACCCGGGCGTGGTTCCGTTCGCCACCGGCGTGACCGGGTGAATCTCCAACGGCTGGCCCACGGCCGTAACCGTAGTAGCAGCCGGCGAAGATCCCAATACGGAAGCGATATCCGTACCCGTATCCAGGGTCTCGACACCGGGGACGCCGCCGGCGATGGGGAGGTTTTCGTTGATGAAGCGCGTCAGCCATTCGATGCGGGCGCGCAGGTGGTGCGTCTGGGCGGCGGTGGAGGCGGCGGGCGTGGAAAAGGAGCACTTGTGTCCCGCGTTGGCGCACAAGGTGCAGATGGGAAAGGTGCGGCTGCACTTCTTCTTGAAGCTGCGGCAGCGATCGCAGGCGGGGATGTCGCGGGCGACCTTTGGAGAGGCCGCCGAGATGATGGACGACGACGACGGCGCCGCTGCTACTGCGGAAGCGGAGAGGTTGGCGGCAGTAGTGACTGCGGTCGGACTTTGACCCGTCAGCGCCGGTGAGATTGGCCCTGACGGCGGCGCTGGGGCCGAGGCCGAGACTGAGGCCGCGATGGCTGCTGCAGACGATGAGACATCGGGGAAGACATCCGGAGCTCCCGGGTGGGCTGAGGACGAAGATATTTGGGGCGGTGGAGGGCGTACTGCGGGAGGAGAAGCCGAGCGACGCAGGGCTGGCGAGGATGGGGATGTCTGTCGGACGCGGAAGCGGTGGATGTTGGATCTGATGTGTTCGGGCGACATTGCGACGGTGGAATGGGATGGGACCAGACCAGACGGCGAGAAGCCGACGTAACGCCCGTTTCGTGTCGGGAGCTGTCGGGGGGAGCGCTCGCTCGACACGTCGCATACAAGACCGACCGATTATTCGGCTGGGAGGGAGGGATTGACGAGAGCGAACTGAGTCGGGAATCTCTCCGCTTGTCACCTTGCTAAAATTGCTCAATGGATCATCGCCTGCAGGCCGAGAGGGACGGGATTCTTCAGCGGCTGTGTGGCTTCATGACTACGGGCTGGCTTAGGTTGGCTCGTTTGTTGCGTGATATCCAATTTTGCAAAGAGAAAACGTCAAGTGTCAAAAAAATAAAAATAAAAATCTCTTCTCTCCCCTCCCCAGCGTCGCAACGAGGCTGTCCTACCTTATTTCTGTTCTGCCCAGGTCGCTCTTCGCGCAGATCCAATCCTCGTCCACTAACTGAGAGAGAGTCCTTGAACCGGCCGGCAATGAACGACCAGGAAGACGAGTAATTACCACTAATACCATTTGGTTTACCGATGGTGGCAGACCACGGCTCAAGCGGGCGCAGAGCACGCCATTACCACAGGCTCTTCAGGGGTGACGAATGAGAATCCTTCTGAGAGCGATTCTTCTGGTTTAGCTGGCCCCGTTTGGCCCCGCTGTCGGGGATGCCTCATTCGGAGTTAATATTTCCTCATAAATTTTGCTCTTCGTGTTGACGGGCAGTGAGGTATAAGGGGGGACGGCAATTGGGGTTTTGCTGTGGTGTGATCTGGCATCATCACAGTCGGCAAACGAGAGCTTCAACTAAAGCCATAACTTGACAACGGGAGGCCAGCCAGACGGAGCCAAACGGGACCAGAAGAAATGGTAGGCAGATGACTTGCATGAGAAATAAATGTTCATCCCAAAAAAAACTCCCTGGAACGCCTATGATCTCCCCCCCCCCCCACTCGCCCAGTTCCCCGACCGACTCGCACAAACACTGCCAAACCTGGCGCTGGCGCTGGCGCCGTCGGGCCACGTCCGACGTGTGCTGGTGGCCGTTCCTTTTGTCGCCATTACATGCACGACCCGGTGGGCCGTTGGTCCGACACCAGCAGCATATCGGCGAACCAAGGTTCGTCCCGACTCTCGTCAGCCCGAAATCTGAAGATCTGGAAGTGTAAATCGACTGATGGTTATGCGGAGTAAAAGTACAAATCTCTCAAAATAGCCACTCACTCGTTCCATAAAGTCGAGTCTTTTCGAGGCCGTCCTCCTTCTCGTCCGAGGACTTCATCGGTGCTGCCATACAGATACTTCTCAATACCACCGATTTCTCGTTTTTCCACGACCCCTCCTCGCGTCAACACCCGGTCAGGCTCCGCCGCCATCATGTCGCCCATGTATCTAGAGGACAAGCTTAACATTGACCGGGTCGCCGTCATCGGCGCCGGGCCGTGCGGTCTGGCCGCCGCAAAGTAAGCCCGCAGATCCATCCAGCTCACATCCCGCAAGTACAGCAATTATACTTACTTGCACGTTTGACAGGTACTTATTAGCGGAGAAGAAGTTCTCCAAAGTCCAAATATTTGAGCAGAGAGATACCGTCGGCGGCCTCTGGACATACAGCTCCTTGAACGTCATTGACGGTGACTTCAGCATTCCCAGGACACAGCCTACCGAGAACCCGGACACGGCCATCGCCGTCGACGGGCACGATGCCAAGCAGTTCGTCTCTCCAGTGTACGACTACCTGGAGACGAATATCCCCCACACCCTCATGAACTACTCGGATACAAAGTTTCCCTCAGACGCCTCGCTTTTCCCTTCCCATCAAACGGTGAAGAAGTATCTGGAAGACTACGCCAAGGAGCTGAAGCCCATCATCTCTCTGTCGACGCAAATCCTGTCAGTCAGGAAATCGTCGAGCGACAAGGAGGTCTACTGGGAGATCGAGAGCCGGGACCTCAAGACAGATGAGACGAGCAAGGCGCGGTTCGATGCTGTCTTCGTCGCGAGCGGACACTACAACGACCCCTTCATCCCTGACATCCCAGGCCTTGCCGACTTCGACAAAGCACACCCGGGCTCCATTTCACACTCAAAGTTCTACATGAATGCCGCGCACTACGAGGGAAAGGTAAGATGAACCATGAGCTTACCCCCGAATCTTGGCCAAAGTCACTCACAAATCCATCACAGAAAGTCATCATCGTCGGCAACTCAGCCTCCGGCATCGACCTAAGCGCCCAAATCTCAACAGTCTGCAAGCTCCCCATCATCGTCTCTGAAAAGACAGTCCCCAACACCCCCGCCGAAGACCGCTCCTCGTGGGCAAAATCGGCCCCAGAAATCCTCGAATTCATCCCCGAAACCCGCCAAGTCCGCTTCGCCAACGGCGTAGTCGAATCGGACATTGACAGCGTCGTCTTTTGCACGGGCTACTTTTACAGCTTCCCCTTCCTCCGCAACCTCTCCCCGCCCGTCGTCACAGACGGCGCCTACGCCCGCAACCTCTACGAGCACCTCCTCTACATTGACGACCCTACGCTCGCTTTCGCCGGTATCCCGCAGCGCATCGTCCCCTTCCCCGTCTCCGAGGGCCAGGCGGCGTACGTTGCGCGCGCCTGGGCGGATCGTCTGCGTCTGCCGAGCCTCTCCAAGATGCGGGAGTGGGAGGCGCGGATGCTGAAAGAAAAGGGGGAGGGAAAAATACTGCATAACCTGGCGTTCCCCAAGGACCTGGAGTACATCAACATGCTTCACGCGCGTAGCTTGGAGGCGGAGAATAGGCCCGCCTTGCTGGAGAATGATGGCGTGGGGAAGATGCCGCCATTCTGGGACGATGAGAAGCGGTGGACGAGGGAGCGGTTTCCTTTGATCAAGATTGCGTCGAGGAAGTTGGGGGAGAAGAGGCATGAGGTTACGACGTTGGAGGAACTCGGGTTTGATTACAAGGCTTGGAAGGCTGGGCTGGACGAGGAGGGGAAGCTGCTATGAGGTGGGTCTCCTTATCTTGTGATACCTTTGATGTAGCAAACGATGAGACTCCGTTCAGACTTGAGCCAAAGGTTTAGAATAGATACCTTACGATAAAACGTTGCTGCGCGTTTACTAAAAAAAGAGAGACTATCGTAGAGAGACACCAATGTCGGAGCATATCCTTAACTCACTGACGAAGCTAGAGAGAGGCTCTTGACAATCGAAAGATGTATTACATCGTGCATGCTCCAGTCTGAACCTGAGTTCAATTTATCCAGTTACCTTCGCCCCTTAAGAATAGGAATATTGGAGCATGTCTAGAACGGTTTATTGGGAAGGCATTCTAAGTAAGTGTTGAAAAATCCAAGGCATTGGTTAAGCTGCACTTTAGGCGTCGACTGCTGAAAGGAATTGTTCCTGGTTCTAAATCACAATCTTTGCTATCTCGCGATAAAGGGTTATAGCCGGTGCATAGTACTTAAGCTAAAATCAACCCGACTTGAAGTGGCCTAAGCTTATAAAAAGTAGTCTGGTAAAGGGGCTTATCCTGCTGCATTACAAAGGCTTATAAACTACATTACGGATATGGACTGAACTTTTGGACCAAAGAGGAAGCTGACAAATGGGCCTCCATCCCAATTACACCTGTTACCGCGGGCCATAAACGCTCGGAGTTCCGAGCCGCGCGGGACTGATGCAGCATTCTAGAGCGGGGAAGCTGATGAAGTCTATTTTTACGTCATCTTTTATTTTGCAGAACGACGTCTGCTCCATTGTTGCGCATCCTCATTGGTAAAAGCAATCGCTGCACTATAAGACCCCTCATCATGCCACAGCTCAGCATAGTTTAATTCTCACCAGTTTTTATCATACTACGTGGCATTCGTACATGAGATCTAGCATTGCCAATCCGTCAACTAAGGGACCCACTTGATCAATACTTCAAAAACCTTATTCTTGACAAAGTGAACATGAGTGAAGAGGTGAGTAAGCTTTAATTCCTGACGTTAACAAAAGTCCTTGCTGACCAGCTCCTAGCAGAACGATCCCATCCGATACAAGCCCGGAAAGGGCGGAGGCTTCGAGCGCACCGAGGCTCAATTCCGCAACTTCATTTCGAAAGATGCCAACTCCAAGTTCCCAGCCGAGAAAGGTCGCTATGCACTTTACGTCAGCCCGGGATGTCCATGGGTGAGCACTCTAACTTCGCATGATAGCCAAATGCACGTCTGAACAAATGCTAACGACACAAATTCAGTGCCACCGTGTCATGATCGTCCGCGCTCTCAAACGCCTCGAGGACGTCGTGGACCTCTACATCGCCGACATGGGCATGGGCAAAGATGGCTGGCACTTCACAGACAGCCCCGAGGCAGCCAAGCTCGGCGTCCTCCCTCGAGACCCGGTCTACGGCTTCAAGACCATCAGGGAGCTCTACCTCAAAGCGAGCCCGGGCTACGACGGCCGCGTCACGGTGCCCGTGCTCTGGGACAAGACGGCGCACACTCTTGTCAGCAACGAGTCCAGCGAGATCATCCGCATGCTGTACACCGAGTTTGACCATCTCCTTCCCGAGGCGGATCGCGAAGCGAGCAGACCGGGCGGGGGGCTGTATCCGGAGGCGAAGCGTAAGGAGATTGATGAGATTAATGAGTGGGTATATCACACGGTCAACAACGGCGTATACAAGAGCGGGTTTGCCTTTACGCAGTCCGCGTACGAAGAAAACGTCGACAGCTTGTTCAAGTCTCTGGATCGTCTGGAGGATATTCTCAAGGACCGGCCTTTCCTTACCGGAGACCACATTACCGAAGCCGACGTTCGTTTGTTCCCGACCATTGCTCGGTTTGACGTCGCCTACGTGCCGATCTTTATGTGCAACCTCGGCACGATCCGGAACGATTACCCGAATCTGCATCTTTGGTTTAGGAGGCTGTACTGGGATCAGAGCGAAAAGACGCACGGCTCCTTTTTCAGCACGACGGAGACGTGGGTTTCGAAGTTTAAGGAGGGGTACGGCAATGGAAGGACGAGGGTCTTGGGCATCACTGGGCCGCTTGTCATTCCGAAGGGTCCTCGCGTCCTGGTCCACGAGCTGAAGGATGAGGAGAAGTTGGAGGAATGAGAAAGCTCGTGAATTCCGAGATCCAGAATCAAAATTTCAAAAAAAAATTTCTGTGGTTGCTTCTGTCGGTGACTGAACTTTACGGGACATTTGCGAGTCGCGACTGTAGATGACCCCAGCTGCCAGGCTACTGATTACATTCAGAAGTTCCTTGCTATTGTGAATCTCCATCAATAAGTATCGTGACAGCCTCCCAGTTTGCCGCAGTCCCCGGCCGGGCCTGGTCAAGAGACTTTACCTTGGTTTAGGCTTTTCGGCATTAAGAAAAGTTCCGAACTGTGCATCTCATTATACTCGGGGAAAACCAAAAGCTAGCCAAACTTAACGGGCAGAATTCATGACCGCGGCGGTGCAAGCGTGATAGGAGCTGGGACAGTCAGCACGCAGCGCGGGTTTGGGACAGGCTCCCTTAAACTAGCAACCGCCTACATCCAACGGACGAAAGTGCCGTGCAAAATGAGTAAAATCATCCCCCATCTGCTCATCTTGAAGTGGCAAGACTCAATCCAGTCTTCTAGGCTAGGAGACAGGTGCTTTGCGCCCGATATGAGGCGATGAGAGGGACTGAAGCCCGGTAGGGGTTGATAATCAGCCTTGGTCTGCTGAAGTTTCTAGGAGAGAGTATTATACACATCAGACGCTTTATATTTCTCATTATCTATAAACAGGCACGACATGCTATAGTTTACTAGTCCCCTGGATTGGGCCCCTACCTACGTTAAGCAAGCTGCTCGACCATAGCACCTACGCGGTCGGTTAGACAAGGCATTTTCGATAAAAACTGTTATTTTGGTTCCGAAAAAAATTGAAGTATTCACTCTTTTTATAAGCGTAGCTTGTTAATGAAACCTACCTATCCTCACTGAGTTCTCTTAGGATCGACTATAAAGGGATCAACGTACTACTCTCTCCCTCTTTCTTCCTGGCTACCCGCGCTGGAAAACCTTAAGCGAGGTTGCCACTTTATGTTGGGTTTGCTAGAACACCACATCAGTCTCTTAGTCCCGTATGTTCTGAGTTATTCAGCCGATCGTGCCAAGCCCATAGGGTTCGAATGGATCGTCATAAACAAGGTTCCGGGCGAACCTTGGGCTGATGTCTGGAAAGAGATTCCACTCTCAGCAAAGGCACAAGTGGTTCGCAGCGTTGCTTTGTTTTTCTCCGACACACTCAAACACCAACTACAAGGTATTTTCAACATCTTCCCGATCATGGACTCAGATCAAGATTCAGCTTCTTCCAGTTTTGATACAGAAGGGAATCCCATTGAATTACCCTGTTTCTCTGCGACAACCGGGGCTGCTAGCCAGAGGCCTCCCGAGACCTGTGGGCAGTGTGATAGAGGCGATGACCCATCCGCAGATGTTGAGATGTCGTCTACACCAAGCTACAGCCTGACTAGGTGGCCATATTCAAGTCAAGCCAACATCAGAGGGACTCTGATACGGCGGTTTATCATGTAATGACCCATTTATGATGCGTAGAATCATGAGGCGATTGGATGACGTGGATTCGGGCGCTGAAGGGACCGATGGCCTTGAAGAACGAATATGTAGTGGATTTAATCGTTGAGAGACCTATCATTCTGATGGTAAATTGAAGCTTTTCGATCTCCTTGGTCCTAAGTTCCCTTGTTTTATAATTTTAGAAGACGATCAAAGCATTGAGGCTACTGTCGGGTTTTGGATTTGATGCATTTGAGATCTTCTTGTCTCGCTACTATGAATGATGCCCATTGATTCCTCTACATCAATCGCCTCTCTGGACCTTGCGTTACCATCCGAAAAATTACGCATAGTATTTTTTTTTTAGAGGCAGCAAGATCTCGTTAGAGGGATTCAGATGGTGAAACAGGCGCCATGGTGACCTAGACACAGACTAGGACAGCACTGAAGTGTGCCATGATGCTATATCAAGTTGTAATCAGCTTTCAACCGACTGAATATAGTATTTTTGCCAAGTGAAACTATGCCCTTCAGCTTTTCTACATCGACGCCAGGCGCCCGGACTTGATTCAATCGATCATGACAGACCTTTGCGAAAAATTGAAGCTTCAGCGGCCCTGACCGCTTCACATCGTCCATCAACTCCTCACATAGACAAGAGGGCCCCAAGAATTCAGCATTGGCATTTCAAGAACAAGAGAATAGGGAGCGCGATACGTCATCTCCGGAAAGGGCCAGGCGAGAGACTTGCCCCCAAAAGCCACAAGATTCAGAGTCTAGGTCCTTGTACGCTATGAAGAGTACCTTAGGAGACTAGCGAGAAGACTATTGTCCGCCAGCCTCGCCAAAGGTGAAGACGAGTCGACAGGGGAGTCCGGGAGTCCTCTCCAGGAAAAGTTCCACCACAGAAACTCTTAGAGAGGTTCTCCCTAGGGTGGAAGAGATTGAGAATGTGATGCTTGTGAATGTAGTTGGTCAACGCAGCGCTTAGCTTCTTCATAGCCGAACGACATTTGTCGCCCCAGATCGCACGTCAGATGTAGCAGTCAAAAGGTCATCAAAGTTTTGATATGGTTTTTTGAAGGGTCTTCTTGCATTCTGTCAAAAACTTGCTGGCGTCCCTTGCGAAATGAAATTTTGCTGTCTTCGACACTGGATAATCCGGGTGATTCACAGCGACGGTACCGAGGCGTGAAGCCAACAGCAAGTGCATCACTGTGGCATCGTCGTAGGCACAATGGAGCTTTTTGGCAAGCTTGAATCAGAGAAAGTTACTGGGACTACAGTTTGAGAATACATTCTCAAAGAATTAGAGAGCGTCCTGCTCCAAGGGACCAAAGCGAATCGAGGACCGGGACCGTGTAGGTCGAGCGTTCATCAGCGCCAGAGGTGACGCTGCTGACTTCTTACTTATAGCCGTCAAGAACACGCACTCTTCCAAGTGTGTTAAATGTTGTGTGTTTTAGAACGGGGTCGGTCGCAGCTATCGCTTTGGTTGCTTCCACCGATGTCAAGGAGGGGCTGTTCTCCTCGTCAACAGAGGTTTCATAGCTTTGGGCCGCAACCTGGAGAACATGACTGGTGGTGTCTGCGCCTTTCGCAATATCTCTGTCGGCGACTGCATCGCTAGCTCATAGGCAGGTCCTTTGAGCACTTGATCGTGGATCGCGTGCATGTCACGCATTCGTTCGTCGATCGACTCCATCGGTGGGAGGCGCGGCAGGTCGTGTGATTGTCTCGGAACATGGCTGGTTGTGGAGTAACTTCAAGTAAGACCCAAACGGTTGCGCAGCTCTCGGACCATGGATGATGAGGAAGGGAAAGGGAAAACGGCAAAGTATTACATGGAGCTTTCAGCCCGGTTGAGGGCGGGGGAGGGTTCCTTTTCAAACAGAAGAATTAGAGATGGTCGCCAGAGCAACTTATTATCGCTAGTACGACGTATCCCTTAATCGTGCACGAGAGTCCCTACCCACTCATTTAGTTTCGAGCTTAAGAGGAGCAAGTACGGTCCGAATTGGCCACTAAAAACCTTCGGACCGAGAGTTTATTAAACTGAAATTGACAGCTAAACGCGATAGAATAGCTCAATCCATTGAAAATAAGATGTTCCAGACAGACTTTCAACTCTCAGACGACCTTCTCTAGGTATCATGTACTATTATGTACGAAAGCTGTTCACGGAGAAAGGGGGAAAACAAGTCTCAAGCCATCCAGCAATCAGGCGCCAGACCTCTCCGGCGGTAACATTTCGCAAAATTTTTACCCATAGTTAATTGCACTCATCGGTTGCGAGTAAGTACTAGGTCGAAAGTCTACCATACTACGCCGTCCTTCACGCCTTCGTTCAAATCCAACACTACACCATGGAAACGTTTGTACTGTCACAGTCACACTTACTTCTTCTTGTCCCCACAGAGCATCTAGTCAGTCCGCCCGCTCACAGACTTCGAATTCTCGTCGATTTGTGATCACAATGTACGAATCATCGCTGCATGAAAAGGAAAACAGAAGGAGATCCCCCGAACATGAGGGGCAACAGAAGAGTGCCCAAGACACGAATGATAAACACCGGTGGTGGTCCTCTGAACAACTGCAGTATATACCACTAGACGACTCGGGCGTAAAGGGGGACGCTGAAGACATATGGGCGCAAGAGCTGAGAAGGAGCAAATCGTCCCTCTGGAGATGGCGCTGTGCCACTGCGCTACTCTCAGTGGCCTTGATCGCGTCCTGTCTCCCAGTCTTCACGCCAAGGTCCATTCGAGAAGGCTACCCCCAACCAGAAGAAGGCGAGGAAAACAATCTCAAATGGATAAAAGAAGCCGAAGTCGCCCAAGGACACTTTTGGTGCGGCAATTCGACCCTCGAAGCCAAACGCAGAGGCTGCGCCTTCAACAAGCTCCACAACAGATGGATGCATCCGGCCTGCAGGCACGACTTTGAGTACGCCAGACGGGCCGTCTTTGAAGCCCTGGGCCTGGGTGAGGACGAGAAGCCGACATTCCACTTCTACAGGGACGACGACGGCAAACCGGGGGCTGAGATCTCCGACGACGAGCTGGATCGGTCCGAGATCTTGATGCCGGCTTGGACGACTGTCGGGCACCATATGACACACTGCATGTATCTGCTGCTGCAGGCCGCGGCGGCGCTCAACCTTGGCACAAAGGCGGATATGGTTGTTCATGCTTGGGAGCATGCGAAGCATTGCGCCACGGTTGTGCTTAATGAGACGAAAAAGGCGCCGGCTTGGAATGAGGTTGCGAGTTTCGGACATACGCAGTCTGGTGTTTGTTGGTAGCCAATGGAGGATGAGCTGCCGTAATTTAGCTCGACACTGACCCTGGGGTTTAGTTACGTAGAATCCTCCCACTTGCCTAGGGAATGTATCTTGAAGCCACTCAGGTACTTTCTTGGCCATGTGAGTGATAACAGGTAACTATGACTTCAATTCGTCTTGGAATAGAAACGATATCCCCATTCTTGTTGTTCATGTTCCAAATGGGGCAGGTGTGGGGTCACAGCTTTCCAGAGCTCGTCCAATATGCTGAGCCGAAGCAATGATATTGGAGACTATATTTGAAGGAACCTCTTACCCTCGAATACCAAGTTAACCATATCTGCGTTAAGTCCACAGCGGAAAATTTCACGCATAACTCGTAAATACTAAGTAACTGGATGAATCATCATGAGCCAATGACAACCCCCACGTCATTAGATGGTAATTAAGTAGAACTTGACATATCGAGCTCGAAATCCCCTAATTTTTGGTTGCACTTCGATACATACACAACCTCCGGGCTGTCGAGTGTTCAACTAACCGCGCCTCTTGACGGAAGACCTCGGCACAGGCAACGACTTGCGCGAGAAGCAACTCTTCCCAACACAATCCAAATCAAAGAACCTGACAACCTCATCAGGCTGATCAGGAATATTATGATCAATTCCATGCGCCAAAAATGCCTCAAAAAGCCCCCTCGCCCCATAAACGCTCTTCGTCCATCCTTGCACGGGGTCATTCTCAACAACCTTCGTCGGCGTGCCCCCCACACCCAGCACCGTAGTCCACATCTTAATCTCCTCATAGAAATTCGTCACATTCACCACATTATCCACATCCCCATGCAGGACCTGGAACTTTGGCCTCGGCCCCGCGTAACCGGGGTACGCAGCCTTCACGATGGCCGCCCACTTCTTCCCGGTATGCGTGATCCGCCCGCTCGCGCAATCATCAGACCACACGGCGAACCCGTCGGCGGCATAACACCCAAACGGCACCCCGGCAAACGCCGCGCCCGCCGCAAAGACGTCCGGGTACGCACCCACGAGGACGTTGGTCATCATCCCGCCGGAACTGGTGCCCGTGACAAACACCCGATCCGGATCGACATTGTAGTTGGCAATCGTCCAGCGGACCATGCTCACGATGCCGAGCGAGTCGCCGCCGCCGTTGTGGGAGAGCGTCTGCGGCGAGGAGACGTCCCAGCAGTAGTCTGCGGTCCAGGGGGTGGAGGGGTATATGGTGATGAAGCCGAGGTCGTCGGCGACGTGTCGCCAGGGCTTGTTGTTGAAGGCCTCGGTTGCGTTGCCGTGGCACCAGTGCGGGAAGACGAGGAGGGGCGCGTTGGGGATCAGGGAATCGGGCACGTAGAGGTAGAAGGAGACGTTTGTGGGGTTGGGGCCGAAGTCGCCGGTGATGTGCTGGAGGGAGGCGGCTGTTGTCAGGGTTGGGAGGAGGGCTGTTGCCCAGGCTAGAAGGGAAAGCATTTTTGAGGGGATTTACGGTGGCTTTTTGTCACACAATTGTGATCTGGGAAAGATGCCAAGGGGATGGAACATAAATTATTCTTCAGATGGACTCTGAGCTGCTTCTTATGTGCTTTCAAAAGAGCTACCCCGGCGACCCCGCGATGCCGGGCGTACGGCTAGAGGAAGGAGCAACACATGATGCCTCTTCGTAGTGCTTCATTTTCACTGGTCGATATGACATGGGGTTTTGGTGAGGTTGCATTTCTTGCGCGTGGTTGGCGGGGATGTTGTTGTAGAGGAGATCGGGGGTGGATACTGACCATGGAGGCTCGTGCCTCCGTTTCCTAATGGGGGAATGTGGAGTCGCGGCAAGCCGGCGAGCCGGGTCTCGTCGGTGCGACAAGTCCGAGAATACGGGTTTCCTGGTTGAGATGTCTTTGGAGTCGATGGTGATCAAAAACTTTACTTATTGGAAGGCTTGAATGATGAGTCAATTGGAAGGTTCATCCCGGTACTGTTAATAGGAGTTAATAGTTAGATCTCATATCTCGATGGCTCGACATCGTCAAGTTTGAGAACCATCACCGGATTCACCATAGCTACCTAGGTGCTGTTCGCCAAATACCCTTTGATTTTGATTGACCAAGAACTCCATACGACGCAATATCTGCCCTATTGCACGATATTATGTCAATTGTCGGCCAAGCCAAGTCTATGTGCCGTTCTACCCCCTTCCTCTATTCCCGTGAAGCGACTCGTCCCTTATTTTCTCTTGGCGAATGAAGAAGCAGTTTTCTGGACCTTTGTCGGCGGTGCCGCCTCCGCGTCGCTGTCATCATCCTCATCCGAATCCTCAACATCATCGTGATCGACCTCGTCCTCGTCAACGACCTCCTCGCCCGAGCTCTCGTCCTCCGCCGCAGCAACCTCCTCATCATCGTCTTCGTCATCCGAGTCGCCAACGAAGCCATTGACAGCAGACACCTCCTCATCGTCGTCGTCGTCTCCCAAGAGCGCATTCCTTGAGCCGTTGGCCGCCTCGACGTCCTCCTCGCCCTCAACGTAGATGGCGCCCTCCTCCTCGTCGTCCTCCTCGTCAGCGTCTTCGAGCTGTCTCGCGGCGTCACCCCTACGTGGCCGTCCGTTCCTAAGCTCCATCTGCGCGTGCAACATGTCCAGCTTGCCCTTGAGGGCGAGCAGGCTCGGGAGACCCCGCGAACGCTCGCTGAGAACCTTTTGTAGCGCGACTAACCGTTCCAGGGCCTTGGGTTGGACTGCCAACGCGCCGCCGTGTACAATGAGCGTCCACTTCACCCAGTCCATGAGGCTGCCCGCGCGACCGGGCCGTCTGTGGAATCTGGCAGAGAGCTTCGTGAGGAGGATGCCGGCAAGGCTGCTGTCGAGGCGCTCGATCGTCTGCTTAATACCTTCGGGCTGGGTCGTCTGCAAGCAGTTCTCGAGGAGATCGGTGTCGTCGGTCTTGAGCGCCTGGGTGAGGACGGTGCTCAGAGAGGATAGCGACACGGGCTCGAGGCCCTTTCTTGATGACTGCGAGACGATGGCCTTGCTGGTGTCTTCTTGTTGCGACAACATGGCGGGAACGTCAATCGTGCCGCGGATCAGCTCGCCAAAGGTGGGCGACCCTGCCTCTTCCTCGTCTTCTGCGCCCTCGGCATCGGCCTTGGGTTGTGTGGTTTCTTCGGCGGCGTTGCCGTTCACGGCTTCCTTTGCGTCGCCGGCCTCGGCCTCGGCGCCGTCCATCTCCTCGTCGGAAGCATCCTCGTCGCTGTCCTCGCCGGAAGAAATTTCAATCGCCTCGTTGGTGTTGCCCTTCAGCGCGGCTTGCAGAGAGTCTGTCGCAGAGACGGCCGCTCTGCTCTCGTCAATTGTGGTCTTGGAAGCTTTGGGAGTCGACTTGACGACAGGGGCCGTGAATTTGCCGGATGATCTCCGCCTTGAGGACATGGTGACGGATGGGGGTATCTCGAGAGAATGGGGTGGTGGGAAAAAGGTGGGAAAATGGTGATCAAGGTCCTCTCATCCAGCAACGACAGACCGGCTTGAACTTTTTTTTTTCTGCCGCCTACCGATTTTTTTTCCCGGCTCGATGCACACGACCGCCTGCAGAGGGGAGTGCTGACATAATGATTGAAGGTGGGGCTGTGTTTGATCGAGTACGGTGGGGATCTCGGATGACGGAAGGACCTTTTGCCGGGTAATCCTCAATTACTTAGATAATCAGACGGTCTCGAAGAGCGTATTCGAGCTCGAAAAAGGCGGCTGCGAAAGTCATTCAGCGGCCATGTCGCAATTGATTCCGCGGGTTCCTTGGCTCACGGCTTCTCGATGCAGTCGTATTTCGGCATTGGGTCTCACCCAGTTTGTCTAGACTCGAAGACCTCGTGCCGTAGACGCGGGTTCCAGGTTGCGTCAAGCAAGCGGCGATACGGCTGTGCGCCAACCAGGCTCGTATGGAAGCTATTCGCGAAGGTGTAAAAGCCTCAGGCTAACTGGACGCCGGACCATCAGACGTTGACAAGCTCATAAGCAAACGAAAAGGTGATTGGTGCATGATAGCTGGTGCCCAGCTGCCGCGATCCAGAGCTCTGCGCCGCAAGGAGTACTTCTTCTTGATTGGCCGACATGATTCTCAGGAAGGCTTGGTCCCGTCTCTCTGTGCTATGCCAGATTTGTCTCATCATCATCCACCCTCCAGATATAATTGGTGTAATGGGATGCAGCTATCCCTGTCGCATGCCCTGGCCAGGGTAAAATGGTCGAGCTCCGACTGGGGTCAACGCGACTTGGCGGGTTCCTACAAATAAGAAGTGGCCCCGAATTCTGAATTCCGCGCTTCTGATGCAGAAAAGTCCTGGAAAAATCCAAACAAGCCTGACAGTAGTCATCTGATCTGTCACGAGACCACCCAAAAAGCAGAGCCCTCGGCGGAGAATGGTTACTCTGAGCTTCTCTTTTTGATCGGGATCACTCCGGTACGTACCGATTTTGTTTCCCGTCGCATCCAACAAAGCCAATTCTCTTCTATTTTCATTCTGAGCTGCCACCAAACACGCCTCACAGTGTACCTTGCATCGGTTGCGTCGCGTCCACAACGTGCTGGGCTGTTCCTCCGGTGTTTGCATCTCCCGTAATCTCGTCTTCCTACTTTTACGGCGGTTCTTCATCCGAGTGAGGCGCCACTGCATTGGAATCATTATTGTATATCCTGAAATGAGAAAATGTGTTATTGCACGGCATCACTTCATAACCTACGAGTTTGATGTCGCGGCCCGCTTGGCTCCTGCTGCTTGGAATCTGTCGCGATGGCTGGCATTTGTTGTGCTGTCTCTCCATGCCATTACCCACCTGCTTCGCTCACTCAGCACTCCACCAGCCTCACGCATCTCTTACACGATCGACAAGCTCAGCCACTCAGGCTTTCCATGATGGCGATGCTAACCATTGAGCCAGGAAGCGAAAAAGAAGAGCAAACCTAAAGGCAAGAATCGCAAACGCGCCTCGACACCTTGCGGTGAGTCTACACTTTATACAGAGCGCCAACCATGCATCCTCCTCGACCGCCAGAATTTCAATCCTTCCCGTCTCGCATCACGCATTCAATATTTCCCACGTCCTACGCGGACACGGTCCACATCGCATCCCGGCCCCAGTCACATTTCCCAGCCTCGCGCGTTTAGGCCAGATCCGGGAGCCCAGCAAGCATCTCATTGGCTGGTGCCTCCACAGCGTGCATAAATATGCATTTTATGTCACCTTGTGGCCCCCTCCCCCCCGGTCCACCCTCGTCTCCTTCAACTTGCTCTTCCAACCATTTCCTCGCAAATTCACGATCTCTTCCCTCTTTTTTTTCCCAACTGCTCCCGCCTTCCTCCCCTCGGACCTCTTTCCTGCCTGACCTCTCTGGCTTCAACCATCCACACCCCCAGCCGTCGATCATCCAGGCGCACTGGCCACCACCTCTCTCGCTCTCTCACTCCCTCTTCCCTCTCTGACCTCCCCGTCCCTTCCCGCCTCTTTCTCTCGTGGTCTGTTGGCTTCCTGCCCAACGCTACGCCACTACTTTTTTTTTTTTCTGCCGCTGTTTTCAGGCTGCACCCCCTTCTGAAGCAGGCCCCCTCGCCAGTCGCGAGTGCGCGCCCTCCCCCCCGATAAGGCCAGATAACCGGCTGTCCGGGGACCACCCTTCCCAAGCTCGCTCTTTCTCATAAATAGGACGCGCCGCCATCTCGGCCCAAAACCACTGACGTGCACGCGATTTCCTCCGCCCAGGTCCCTCCACCTTCCCGTATCGCCAAAAAGTACCACACGGCACTTACCATCCGCGACGCGACACGGCCGGATTAACCATTTCGCCCACACCACTGTCGCCGCAACCGACGATCACCTCAATTTGCGACAACACCATATTATCAATTGCGCATCGTCCGTCATCGCAGACGCATTCTTGATTCTTCCCTCGGGTGTTTCGCGATATTTCTGGTACCTCCATCTCCCGCAACTGCTGTCATCAGTCCTGCTTGCTTCGCGCCTGCAGCCAAACACCGCGACGCACCTCTAAGGTTCCTTTCACCATCGCGTCGACTCCTTCCTCGCAGCTGTTCCTACCCCGGCACGGCCATCCGCGACCCGAGCCATCGAAGCGATTGTAACCGCTTTGCGCGCGACAATTCCAGAGTCGTAGGATACTGTTGGCGCATATATTATCACTCGAATCTGGGACAACAAAGTCCTGCCCTCGACGTTATACAATCCGGTCATTGTTCTACATCTCGCCATCGCCGTAATCTAACTCTACCTGCGCGCGTCGCTACGTTCATGTTGCGTCGCGCACAGTAAACCTGCCCTCATCTCAATCATCATATGGCAGTCATGGCGTCGCCTCAATCAGAACGCGCCGTCTCGGATCAGAAGCCGACCGAATCCACACCAGCAAAGGATGAGAGCAAGCCCGAAACCAACGGGTGAGTAGTAATTGAATTTGTTGCGCGCTGGGCTTCATCGGTTCATTTCGCTTCGCGTCCCACGAAGCCCGATTGCTGACAACTTGCCACTCCACAGCCACGCTCCGCCTGCTGAGAAGACCTCTAACAAGGCTGATGAGCCCGCAAAGTCACCCAAGGTTAACGGGAATGGCAAGCATAATGAGGAAGTCAAGTCGTCTTCCCATGCGAAAGTGAGCCCTTCCAAAGAGAAGGACACCGAAAAAGAGGAACCAGCCAAACCGTCACCTACACCGGCCGTCGAATCCTCCGTTAAGGCCAAGTCCGCAGAACCTGAGCAGGCCAAGGAAAGCAAAGAACCTAGCAAGTCTCTGAGCCCACCACCTGCTGAGTTATCTCAGGATGTCGACATGGCCGATGCGCCAGAGGTAGAGAAGGCGGAAAAGAAATCCGACGAGAAAGCAGAGGAAAAGTCAACCGAGACAGACGCCGAAGCCTCTGAGCCTGCGAAGACCGCGACGGAAACTAAAGACGTCGAGATGAAGGAGGGCGAGGAAAAGGTCAACGGGGCGAAGGATGAGTCGCCGGCGGCTGCCGTGGCTGCGGCTGGTCAAAAGGTAGATATCCAACCAGCAAGTTTGTCTCAACTCGCAATTGACAATGACAAGGACAAGCCTTCAGAGCCTGCGGACGATGACGTCCCAATGGCGGAGGCGCCATCAACCGTCAGCAAAGTTTCTCGGGAGAGAGAAGATGATGCCGATGCTGAGCCCGCTCCCAAGCGCGCAAAAACCGATTCGAATGATGGTGCTTCGGCTTCAGGAGCCATTGAGTCTTCCGTCGAGGTTAAGCCCCAAGGCGCGCAGGACGATTTGGCCAAGGGCGAATCGGCCCTCGAAGGTCTCCCGCTCTGGATCGACGCGGCGCGTGACCTCAAACCTCTGACATCTCACCAAACGCGAGAGTTCCGCAAGGTCTTGGCTGGTGTGAAGAAGACCAAACATGGTGCCCACTTCAAGGACGCAGTTGTCAAGATGTGGCCTAGCCTTGCCGAGAGCTATCTCATGCGGGTTAACAGACCTATGGATATAGGCGAGCTCGAGCGGGGCCTGCGCGACAACAAATACAAGAGCCTGCGTCAGTTAAAAGATGATCTCGGGTTGATCTACAAGAACTCGCTTACCTTCAACGGCGTCAACAATGAAATCACCTCCGCCGCTCTCAACGTCGTTAAGGTGGCCTGGGAGCGTGTCTCAAGTGTACCATCGGACGAACCCGCGAAATCGAAGCCTGTGCCGAAGCCCTCGCGATACTCCGAGTCTCGAACATCTGCCCCTCCGCCTCCTGTCCGCAGGCAGCCTAGTGTTGCTGCCACGAGCCCGCCGGCAAAGGCTGAGGCCGAAGCGTATGCTGTACCCCCTGGTGGCGTGCCGCAAGTCCGCCGTGCCTCGACACAGAATGACTTGGACCGACCCAAGCGCGCCATCCAGCCCACTAAGAACCGCGATCCGGATTATTCTGCCAAGAACTTCAACCGGAAGAAGTTGCCAATCGAGCTCCAATTCTGCTACGAGGTGATCAGCGAGCTGATGGATGCCAAGAACGCTCACTGCAACCTCGCGTTCCTGCATCCTGTCGACCCTGTCGCTCTGGCCATCCCCACCTATTTTACCATCATCAAGCGGCCGATGGACATTGGTACGATTATGGCCAAGCTCAAGAACTACGACTACCCGGGTATCAAGGAGTTTCAAACAGACGTCAAGCAAGTTTTCAAGAACTGTTACAAGTTCAACCAACCCGGCCAACCTGTCTACGAGCAAGGTCAACAACTCGAGCACGTCTTTAGGAGCCTGTGGTCCAAGAAGGAGCAGTGGATAACCAAACACACACCAGCCAAGCCAGTTTCCGATGGGTCAGGTCACGATAGTGAAGACGAAGTTGAGGAAGAAGAAGAAGCGCCTGTCCCCGCGGTTGATCCCGCGGTGGCTGCAACGATTGCATTCCTGGAGAAGCGTCTGGAGCAGGAGACGAAACAGTTGACAGACCTCTACAAGACGGCGGACCTCGCTAGTGACGCCGTCATCGACCTACAGCAGTCTTTGCTCACCACCATCCGGCAGCGCCTCATAGACGAGAAGGCCAAGCTTGTGACTGCGAAGCCTGCAAAGAGTGCCGCCAAAGCCAAGCCGCCAAAGCCTAGCAAGTCGAAGGCGACCGGCGCCCCCACCAAGAAGGCCGCTGCGGCCCCTGTCTCGAAGAAGAGCGGCGGCGGCGTGGCCAAAAAGGCCAGGCAACGTAACATGACCCAAGCGGAGAAGGATGCTATTGCGAACGCTATCAACGATCTTGAGAGTCCTCATATAGAACGTGCCATCGACATCATCAAGAAAGATACCGGTCAATCGGTAAGACAACCTTTGTCTTTGATCTAAATGAAATACCTACTTACGTACTCGACAGGAAAACAGCAGTGGCGAACTCGAACTCGAGATCGATCAACTTACTAATGAGGCGCTTCACAAGCTGTGGGATCTCTGCAGGAAGGCTTTGCCTAGCTTTGGCCAAGGCTTCGCCGCGGCTGCGCCAGCACGTGAAGCATCACCGGTGAACAGCGCGCCGGTCAAGTCGTCGGCCAACAAGACCTCCAAGTCAAAGAAGAACAAGCCCATGAATGCCCAAGAGCAAGAAGCTCGCATTGCCGAACTGGAGCGGCTTCGCAATATGTACGACGGAAAGGAACCGGGTGATCAAGAGAGACCCGGTAGCTCAGGTCGTGCGCACGAAGCTCCTGTCCACGAACATGACAGTGAATCTTCGGACTCGGAAGAGGAGTAGAGGCATAACGAGTACCAGCAATTTTTTGGAGTCCAAACCTTGATACGTGGAGAGGAGAGGACAAATCAATGCGCCTGTCACCCTAGGACGGGGAGTTGGGCGTTGTATTACCTGGCTTATTCCGATATGCCAGGGATGGCTCATATCGCGTGAGACGGAGCGGTATCTTGGGTGGACGCCTCCAGACCCGATGCCCGGGTACTCTCGGCCCTCGTTCGCAGATAAAGGACCGGGGTAGCCGTGCCCGTGGACGCCGCAGAAGACCTTGCGCAAGGAAGGCATTTGACATGTCCACCCAGCAGCCGGAGTGAGGAGAGCGTTGGTTTGCGGGCGTTGTAACTGTAAGCCCACTACAGAGCATCTTTGATTGCTAGCTAGCAGCCTTAGGGGAGGCTAGCCAACACTTGAGCTGTAGAATATGATGTATAATATCCTTCAACTCGTACGCTTCATGGCAGTCTGGGCTGCGGCACAGACCACGTGGCCATGTGTTCTGAGTCTATGACGAGAAGACTTGTTAAATTAGCAGGCGATATGAAGTTTGCATCCACAGTAGCGTCATGGGCGTCAGCCGCTTAGTACCGCCCAAGCCCATCTTCACATCTACGATCTTCATCGGCATGTGTTTCTATAGCATCGGGTGCGACGCGAAGACGGGTGGAGGTCGCATCCCATCCTGCTGTCTTGAAGGTGAGAGGACTGGGGCTTCGCTGCAGGTGAGGGCAGATGGCTTGCTCGTGTGGATGGATCAGCGCCAGCATCGTGATACCGGGAGTGCACCTGGGAGATCGTCGCGGTGACTCGTGGCCTGACTGTTTGGCGAAACTTCAGATTGGCCGTTGCGCAAATCATGACGCTGGTTCAAGGCTATGAATGGCTGGGGTGTCCATGTTTGGGGGGAGGGTCCGATGATGTGAGATTTAGCCTGCTTGCTATGGTCTCCCGACACAGGGTAGGCCATTGATGATTCGTGATGAGGAAAATGTGCGGGGCCGACGACGAGGAGGAGGAGGAGGAGGAGGAGGAGACAGAGGCGATAATACTGAGACTGTTACGGGGTTCAGCCTCGGGTGATGAGGAGAATTGAAGTGCCGGCCGGTCTGTCGGGGTGGGGCTCCAAAGACAGCGGGTGCCGGGGTGCACTCCGAGGTTTCACATCGTGGTGGAATTGGCCGGGTTGTGTGATGGCGACATTAAACATTTCCTTTTCTGGCATTGATGGGCACATCACTCACAACTCAACTGGGTGTTGAACCCAACGTGTCCCGCTACGATTGGACTGTTTCTGTCTTTGAAGTCGATCGAGTACCTACATGATATCCGTACATCCTGGGGATATCCGTACAAAAGACTCGTTTCCGACCCTGATCCTCGTCGTGATCCACTGCCCACATCACCTACCCACCTCATGAAAACATGAGTGTCCGGAGCTAACAGAGTCATCATCCCCGCCCCACAGCGGATTCTTTCTCACGGCGTTGTGGCAGAGTGGTCTAATGCGCAAGACTAGAAATCTTGTTCCTTCGGGAGCGTCTGTTCGAATCAGGCCAACGTCGACGTAATGTTTTGCCAGGTCCTTTTCTTTTGCTGAGGTGGGTGGTTCGTCAGTGTAGAAGCCTTTTTTGGGCTTCAACGTCCAAGATCTCCAGGAGCGCATGATGCCCCCTACATTCCAATCTAGGAAAAGTATAGAAGCAATGAACAAACATCTCCCCCATCGGGATCAATCCATCAAAAAATCGCCATCACGCCTCCAGTCCTTGAAACGAGAAACCCCCACCAATATCATCCTCCGCCTCCATGACAAACGTACTCGATCCCGTATAATGAGCCTGCCCGCTCACCTCAACCCTCCAAGCCCTCCTCCCACCAACCTCGACCTCCTCCACAGGCGCCCCGACAAACGCCCCGCGATGCCCACCCACGGCCCTCGACACGAGGCTGTGATACGTCCACAACGCCCCCAGCCTCCTCGTGCCCCTCGCAGCAGCCAACGCAACCCGCGCCTGCACAACCGAACCAGTCGGACTCCGGTCAATCTGCTGATCACCAAAAAAGTATAATCCCGTCTCCGCGCCCACGCAGCCCGGCGCCGTGGCAAGGACGTCGTCGCTGTCCGTGTCTGTGACCATGATGCCGTAGACGAGGGACTGCGGGCTCCGCTCCTCGCCGTCGTTGGGATGACCACAGCGGGCGCCGAGTTCCGCCGATGCGTTGACTGCCTGCTTGAGCTTCTTTGTTGCGTTGCGGAGGCCGCTGACGTCCGGCTTCGAGAGAGAGGGCGTGAAGCCCAGTGCCGCGGCGGATACGACGGCGTAGAGCGCGCCGCCGAAAGCCACGTCGATCGTCACGGCTGCGGCATCCCCTAACTCCGGCCAACGTAGACTCTGCGGGATCGGGACGGAGAGGTCGATGGCTGTGGCGAACGTGGGCACGGAGAGAAACGTGATGCGCCGATTCACATCCGTCTTCCACATGTCCCCGTCCATCTTGACCACGGGAACGGTAAGCCGAACCACCCCGACAGGCGCGTGCAACCGAATCTCGACCGTCCCCTCCTCCTCGTCAAAAACCAGGTCCCGACGCTGCGGGAAGACGGCCTCGTCTGCGCAGTCGACGAGGAACCTGCCGAGGGCGATGGTGGCGTGTCCGCACATGGCGCCGTACCCCTCGTGCGTGAGGAACAGGGCCCCCATGTGCGCTTCGCCAGCGTCGACGAGCTCCGTGCGGGGCCGGAGAACGGCGCCGTACATGTCTGCGTGGCCGCGCGGTTCGTAGATGATGCTGCGGCGGATATGGTCGTGTTGGGATTGTGCTAGGGAGCGCTGTTCGAGGAGGGTGCCGCTGAGAGAGGGGGGGTTTGTGCCGGTTAGGTGAATGAATACAGAGTTGGTGTTTCTCATTTTGCAATCTCGTATTTTCGAAAACTCGCGTGTCAAAACATTGGGAGTTGAACGAGACTCACGGGATGTCTGGGTAACCAGCGTAGACGATGCGCGCCGGCTCGCCGGATGTATGCATCTCCACGGTCCGGATCTCGGTGCCCGTGAAGGATGGCATGAAGGCTGGCAAACTCATTATATTGAGTCGCGTATCGCGCTGAATTCAACACTTTGGTTTTAGTTTTACATTCGCTGGGCTGTGAGGTTTTTGGAAAGTCTTAAAAATGATGTGGTGGTTTGTGAGAAAGAGCGCATTGTTCAGCCGCTGCGATCCGCTACGAAGGGCAAATCCCCGAGTCGGTTCCCACTTTTCCGGCCGCTAATTGCCGATGTCGGGGGTTTCGACGGCGGCGCCGGATCGAGGGCTCGATGCGATTCAGATGTAGCTCCACATGCACATTCCGTTTCTCCAAGATGGATGTGAGTCGAGACTCGAAATCGCCAGTGTCTTCGATGCTTTCCAATCACCACAGAGGCATCGAGGCCAGAGCAACTATTTTGGAAATGAGGTAGAGTGAGGCAGGTAATAGCAGGCCCAGCTCTCCAACCACGAGACCGTACCATCTCTTCCACACCGAAGCTATTCGCAATACTTGAAACAGAGTGACTATTTTGTTTTCATCTCTTATGATCAATTCTCGCCTGACGAGCATTCTATGCTCCTAGGTTTTGTCGAGACCCAACTATCTTGCTACCGCACTCTTTCCGATCGAATGAATTCAAGCCTCTCCGGCTTGAATTGTCACAAGCAGAATTCTTGCTCTTTGCGGGCGTTTCCAAGTGTTGGGATGAATAACCGGGTTTCGACTTCTCTTGAGGTGCTTCGACCTCCTGTTTGTCTCATGTCTCGGTGTTTGAAGGCATGTACATACCCTTCAAAGCATGTCTGCGAGTTACGAGCACATACACCTGCTTAGTTTTGGGACGATTGAGACTTCCAAGATAGCGTGTGAGCCGGAAACGTTTCTTGGTTTCTATAGCATTGCGGCGGTCGTCTCAGGACATCTGAGGATGGTTAAAGGCCGACGGAAATGTGAGGGCGCATTTCGACAAAGGTGGACCGATATTTTGCTGGGAGAGAGACGCCCGACTGGATCAGAACCGCAAGAGAATGAACATTTCACGCCATAGGCAAAAGTCACATGGCGGCCTTGACTCAAAGTAATAGCTGTGTTCAATTTTCCTATGAAAGGCAAACACGCAAACATGGAGTGCTTTCCCTTAAACTTCGGACTCTTTACAGCCAAAGATTCGTACCTTAGACGCTGGGAAGACCCTGACTCCAAAACGCCACCGCGCGAGCCATACGGCAACGAACTGATCCGACGTCAAATCGCCCAACTCTGTTTCCGAGCTTCCGCCAGGGACTTCGGACGCTTTTTTAGATCCTTCAACGGCTAGATAGGGCTAAACGATTGCTCACGGGGACTGAGAACTTGCCGAATCGGCAGCGGTAGCGATAGCCGTGGCTGGTGTCGATCTACACCCACCTCAATCGTGCACCAAATACGTCTCGGGTTACTATCATTGCTTCTCATAAACGCTGATGATCCGATGTTTCTGATGGTTGATGAGGGGGGGCGATTTGACAACGGATCGAGCCTTCCGGTTCTAGAAAGCTGGCGTTAGAGAGGTCACGAAAGACCAGAGCCATTGAAGTGACGAGCAGATGTCTGGAACTGGATTTTGCATATTGGCTTGAGAGATGAGTTGTTGTCTTCCTCAAGAACAACCCATCTCGACAACCGACGTACCTCAATTTCACACAATGGGACGAAGGCTGCGAATCGACTGGAACTGATAGCTCCTCCTCCTCCCCCCCCCAATGGAAAGACTCATGGGATCGATACAGGCCTCCAAGTTATTTCCGTCAAAGGATTGTAGTCTACACCGAAGAAGGCTGCATCCATAAAAGCCAATTCCCAGCCCTACCGGCTTATGCTTACACAAACCGTCATCCTCAACTACCTGGATCTCCCCCACACACCAATCTATTCATGGCAACAATCCTTCCAATCTCACATCGCACTTGAACAAACGAGAAACCCGTAAGACTTGCCCCAACCAACCTAGCACGAACCGGACTGCGTCCCGCCATGGTAGGTTCACGGCCACATTTCTGACAGGCTCACGGGCTCCCGCGAGATCATCATGCCAGCGAAGCCTGGAGCTGAACACACATGCCCTTTCCTCTGATGCGTCGCCGGCCCGTCGGTCAGCCCTGCATCCCAGTCTCCCCAGTCTCACTCTCCTACCCCAAACACCCGAAAATCTCGTACTCTAAACCCATAACATCAACGGTCCAGACAACAGATACGATTCAAGCGCCGTTCTGATATATGCCTGCACGCGTGGCCTTTGCTATCTGACGCTGCATGAGCAGCACGAGAGATCTGGTTCACAAGTCTACAAACCGAAGGGTGGGGGGGCTTGGAACGGCCGCACGACCTCATCTACCAAAGAGAAGTTCCCCGTCAATCCGAAAATCTTACGCCAGGGCTCACAAGATGAAAAAGGCATCACCCCTCAGCCTCCCTTCTCTTCCTGCCCGTCTCGGGCGTCGGGACATTGCTGGAATGCAACCCTTTCTTGTTGCGTCGTTTTCTCTACTATGCTTTTAGCTGTCACTCTAATAAACACCCGTTTCCCAAACTCCCTCAGCTCTGACCTGTACTCTCGGACCGCAAAGTTTCATCAGGAAAAACCTCATGAAGCTGCTGCAGCGGTTCCGCCGCGCCCCTCTCTCGAGATGCCCATCTCACCCCTAGCGTCCGGGTCCCCTCTCCTCTCGACGCTGTCCGTCCTCCTTCTCGTCGTCAGCGTCGTCCTCGGCGGTGCGATAGCCGCTCCGACCACGACCGCGCCTACAACCACTTACAGGGGCAAAGGCGGCAGAATCACACCACCGACCCCGGACCGCGCCTATGAGGCCCCGCTCCTCGTCGGCGTCACACCCGCCCCGGACCCGACCCGCGTTTCCCAGCGTCTCCTCCGGGCCCGTCAAGGCGACCCGCGGCCCTCTGACGGCCGCACGAACTTCATCGCCTGGTACTCCCAGTCCGGCAGCTGGGTCTCTGCAACGTGCCCGTCGGACAACTACTTTGCGGCAGATGACAGTTTCGGCGTATGTTGTCCGCGGAACAATCCGTACTGCGAGATGGCGACGTCGTGTGGAGGGCCGTTTAACAACTACGCGATCGGACCGACTGGACAGGCAGACTGGTGAGATTCTCTTCGCCGCCCCCCCCCCTTTCACCATACCTAGCCGTCGTCTACCAAATCTTGGGTCGTGATATACACGGGAAATGTGTTGACTGGATGGAATGGGACAGTGGGCCGAGTAACACCTGCGACACAATCACCATGCTCCAAACGCAGGGCAGTACCGACGCGAGGAGGATCATCTTCTGCATCGCCATGTCCGAGCTCTACGTTTTACCCATGACTTGGTACCGCGTCACGAATCCACGTACGTCCATCCCTTTCTCCAAGCCGCCCCCCCCCCCCCCCCCCCCCCACCCCCCCACCCCCCCTCATCCCCCCCCCCCCCCCCCCCCCCACACCCCCCCCCCCCCCCCCCCCCCCCCACCCACCACCGCCCCCCCTTCCCCACCCCCCCCCCCCCCCCCCCCCCCACAGAGTCTTATCCTGCCTATTTGTACATGTACCTACCCAAGGCAAAGGTCAAGTTTTACCGTTTATCCTAACAAACGTGTCACGTTTCTAGTCCCCGAAGCCTCCGTCGCAACGGTAACTGTGACCCTGAGCACAACGGTGACGGCAACGGCACAGGCCGGAAATTCCACTGGCGGGCAACCAGGTAGCCCTTCTCAGTCGCCCCCTGCAAAAATGGCTCTGGTCATAGCTGCAATGATCTCGTTCTTGGCTCTCGTTCTTCCGTAAAAGATCGACCTGGGGCCTTCAAGCGGATAAAAGTAAGCGCGAACAAGAGCACCGACCTCAGAATCGCGTTTGGTCGTGCCTGTAGGTGGCAAGCCTGGCATTTTTCGTCGCCTTGAAAACAAGACGGAAGACTCTGGTCACCAGGGCCCGAAGCACTTTCTTTCACCTGCCGAATCGTCCGTCGTCTTTTGGGGGAAACAAGTAGCAGAGCCCATTTGCCGGACAAGGAAGACGGCTATGTAACATGGCAGCCACCACATCAAAACCGAAGTCGGGGCCAAATGACAGGATCTTGAGGGGTGATGGAAGAAATATGAGACCACAACGGATGGGCATGGTGAACAAGAAAGTCTTTGCATTCGACAGACGTTCGGGCATTATTAAAAGGTTAGCAATATCCGAGGGACCATCTACTTGGATCACAGCCATATACCTTACGCAATCAATCCCTTCATTTGTACCATGGTATTTTTTATTTTATTTATATATATATATATGTATACCAAGAGAGTAAAGCATTTGTAGGCATCCACAACCAAACAAGCATCCACCACCACCTAGACAAAAAACTCATCAATCGCCTTGACAACCTCATCAGGCGCCTGCTCCGGAATATAATGCCCACTCTCCACCCCCCGCCCCCTCCCCTCGACCCCCACCCCCCCCCCCTCCCCCCCCCCCCCCCCACCCCCCCCCCCCCCCCCCCCCCACCCCCCCACCCCCCCCCCCCCCCCCCCCCCCCCCCGCCCCCCCCCCCCCCCGCCCCCTCACCTCGACCCCCTCGGCAGCCACCTTCTTCCACTCCCCCACAGCGTCAAACCGCCGCGCAATATACCCGTGAGCCCCCCACAGCACAAGAAGCGGCGTCTTCAACACCCGCCCCGCCCCCAGATCCCCCTCCGCCTCCTCCAAATCCAGCGTCGCGCTCGCGCGGTACTCGTCGCACATGGCCCGCACCGCCTCCGGCTGCGCCATCACCTCGGCATAGTAGTCAAAATTCGCCCGCTCAAAAACCTCCAATCCCCCTCCCCTCGCCGCCGTTTGCCGCCCACCGCCGCCGCCGCCGCCGCCCATTAAGAGCTCCATAAACCGCCGCGGCGCCGCCGAAATCAGCGTCTCCGGCAACGGCGCCGGCTGAATGAGGAAAAACCAGTGGAAATACGCCTTTGCAAAATCAACGTCTGTCGTCTTGTACATGACGAGCGTGGGACAAATGTCCAAAAAGATGGCCTTTTTGATGCGGTCCGGAAATTCCACGCACAGCTTGTGCGCGACGCGGGCGCCGCGGTCATGGGCGCAGACGTAGAACGAGCCGTCACCGCTGCCGCTGCCGCTGCTGCTGCTTTTGTTGTAGCCCAGAGAATCCATGACGGCGATGCAGTCCCTCGCCATGGCGCTCTTTGCGTACGACGCCACGCCCTCCGGCTTGGACGAGGCGCCGTACCCGCGGATATCAATGGCCACGACGGTATACCGGTCCTTCACGGCGGCGGCGACGCGGTGCCAGATGTGGTGGCTCTGCGGATAGCCGTGGAGCAGGAGGAGGGGCGGAAGCGCCGGCGACGACGACGACGACGACGAGTCCCCGCTCTTGATGCCGTGAATGACGACGTCGGGCGAGGTCTGCGTCGTGACGGTGAAGGGGGAGAAGCCTTCAAAAGTCGTCATGATTTGCCCTTTTGTGGTTTTTTTTATTCTTTGCTCTTTTATATACTTGGTAGAGTAATCCAGAAGAGGATGGCCTGGTATGGTGTATGGCTTGAGTGGTTTGTAAATGTTTGCGATACAGTTGATGGGATTTATAATTTCTACTTACATCACCGCCCTTGCGATTACATGCGGCTAATCTTTGACGCGCAGGGTGGTGCTGGTGCATTGAGACGCACCTATGTCCCCCGAGGGACGTTTACTCTTCTGCTCGGCCAAAGGTCGGGTTTCCCCGCGCGCGCTACGATCTCTGACAAAGCAATCGAAAGAGACTCTACTGTGCGCCAGCAGAATCAGGTAACAAGACATCGGGGATGTTACATACTACATACTTTGCCGTGAGGACATCACATACCTGCTAAACCAAGCAACCACGGATTCTCATGAACCCGGAGCTTGGGAACCCGGAGCTTGGGAACCCGGAGCTTGGGAACCGAGCGTTTCCCGTCTTTGGTTGCACCTGATAAATACAGCTAGCTAACATGTGTCGTCGACTCGCCAGGTTGGCAAACTTTGTTTCTTTGACCAGCTGCAAAAGACCACCCTCATACAAAAGGTTGAGCTCGGTTTGAGACGTAGGTAGGTAGATATACTGTCATCATTAGAATTGATATATATGCCATCGATGTAATGTAATGCTTGTCTAGGCAAGGTAAATCGAGAACCATTCCCCATCCTGTCCCATAATTTTATCCTAATGCTTCGCAGCGCTCTGTGCTTCGCAGACCATCCAAAAAAACAAAAGAGATAGTGTTTTGATCCAACGCCTCTCGCAATGCCATAGTTGTGTATGTTGTATACAGCCCCAGCCAGACAACGTTCCTCCTGAATATTATGTAGTATCAGAGTGTCGGTAGGTATCGGTAGCCATCGTATAACGCTCTTCACGGGTCCGGTTTGGTCTTCATCTAGTACATGACGCTCTGCCGCCAGCGCTCAATGGACTGCATCTGCCCGTTGTGACCGGGCTGCATAGGCATCTGCATCTGCTGCATGGGCATCGGCGCCATACCTTGTTGCATGCCCATACCGGCGCCCATGGGCTGCATCGGCATCGGCACGCCGCCCATGCCTCCGCCGTAGGGGTTCATCCCGCTCATGCCACCCATGGTGTTCATGCCACCCATGCCACCGGCAGTGTAGCCTCCGTACCCGCCCAGATTCGGCTGGCTCATCTGAGCCATACCGGCGTGGCCATACACGGAATGCCGCTGCGGTTGCTGCTGCATAGGCTGCTGAAGCGGCCCGCCGTAATTGCTAAAGGCTATGCTGGAGCGGTTCCATCCGCCAGGTCCCATGCTCACACCTAGCCCGGCGTTCACGGGCGGAAGCCCAGGCTGTCCGAGGAGACCTCGAGCATCACCGGTACCGCCGGTGGCGTCGTTGAAAGCGCCGTTCTTGTAACCGCCGCTCCGCTGCGTATTCGGCCCGGTCAGGACCTGCGGCATCTGGGCCCGGACCGCGGCCATCTTGGCCTCCTGTTCCCGAACCTTGCGCTTCTCCTGCTCGAGGCGACGCTGCTCGTCCAAGGCGGGGTTGTAGGCGATCGGGTGGGAGCCGAGGACGTCAGCTAGGCTGTGCTTCTTGCGCAGCGGAGGCGCTTCGGCCTCAACCGGTCCTGGCCCGCCGCTGAGCATCATCTCCTGCTCGCGCGCCTCACGCTCGGCCTGTAGTCTCTTTCTGCGCTGGCCCAGCGTCTCCTCTCCCTCGTCCGGCTGGGCCTCCTTCTCCTTGCCCTTGTCCCCGGGCTTCTTCTCGTCATCGTCGCCAAATTGCGCGAGGATCTCCGCCGAGAATGCTCGGCTGACAGGGCGAGCGTTGGGAAGGTTGTTGTGTTCGGCCTCGTCCTTGGCCCTGAGGCGTCGCATACGCTCGCCTAGGGTCTCTCCGGCAGTAGCTTCGTCCTCTGAGTCTTCCTCGGGCCGCAGGTGCTCGGCGGACGGCATCTGGTTGAGACGCATCTGGCTCAAGCCAGCGTTGAGAGTGAAGTTGCTCCTCTGCTTGGCCAGGGTCCTCGGGGGTTCTTGTCCATGGAGACGAGCACGACGAGCACTGAGGGGTTCATTCTCTTCCAGATCGCGACGCTCCATCAGTCCCATGGGCCGGTTCTTTTCGGCTATGTGCGGGTTGCCGGCGTACAGGACGCCAAGCGGAACATCGTCTTCATCGGAACTGTGATCTTCTTCCTTGGCGCCGTCCACTTCCCAAGCGAGAGCAATCTTCTTCTTCTCACGATGCTTCTTTTGCGTCTCGGCAACCAGATCGAGCTCAATCAGGGTTGCGTGCATGCCATTCTGCCCAATATTGCGGTTCGGGTTCTGGGTGCGCATCTTAGCATGGTACTTGCGCAACTGCAACTCGGCGAGAAGTGTCGTGGGAGGCCCGTCAAGGACTCCCGCAAACTCGTCAAACTCCTCTTCTTCCTCTTCTGCATCAGAGCCCTCGCCTTCGGCCTTTTCTCCGTCTTTGCCGTCGACATGGTCAGAAAGAGCCTGGTTCTCCTCTCTGCTGCCAGCCATGGAATTCTTCCTAGATCCATTGTCGGATTTCTTGCTGAAAGGCATGAGGCTGGCCGTCTTCTTCTGAGAGGCAGCGCGCAGCACATGCTCTTCAGGAAGCAACACGGTGGCGGTAGATTTACGGTTCTTCTTCTTATCGGGGCCGTACGTTTCATTACCCAGCTTGCCGGCGAAGGCGTGGTCGGTGAAGGCGCTGACGGGGGCATTGGCAGATGCATCGAGAATGCTGTCGAGCGTGGCCATGGCGGAGCCTCCCTTGACCTCGATCTGCGGTGTTGTAGAGGGCAAGTCGAAAAAGGCGCTCGCCCGTAGCTGTGGTGGTAATTGGGAAGCCCGTGGCATTTTGGACTTGCGGCGTTGCGTTGGCGGGGGATCCTGTGGCATGTGTTCGAGTTCTTCACCACCACCACCCGACAGCAACGGGTCGCCCTGTTCAGATGGCACGTGGGAATCAACCGCAGGCTCCTTCAGTGATGCGTCACCCGAGCGCTGGCCATCAATATCGTCCCCAAAAGAGGTCATGCCGTGGCCGGCGAGCGGATCGGGCAACCACATCTTGGACTCGCGGACTTGGGATGCTTCGGGGTCCTGGGGTAGGTACTTGGCCTGGCCGAAACCAGGATGGCCCATGGCCTGCAACACTTTGGAATGCCTCGCGTTGCGAACCTCCGTCTTGGGCTTCTTGGACAGTTTAGGCGGCAGGTTGAGCATGGCGGGCACACGAGCCGGATAATACAGCATCTCTTGGCCGGTGAGTTCGTCAAAGTATGACTGAGGCCGTAACGTGTGCCTATTCGTCCGCGGCATACGCGGCGGCGGTGCCTCGTACTGAGGCTCCGGGATGTCGGGCATAGGCATGGTGTGCGGGACGGGTATGGGCGCCTCGCCGTATTCCCTCTCGCTTTGCTCACGTGAGTCGAATTCGCTCCGCTCGAGATCTTCCGGCTGGCAATGCACGCCGTCAAAATCCCCAAAAGCGTTGGCATGGTCAAACGTCGAGGTCGATTTCGGCGTCGGCGGCCTATCGTCGGAGTCTCGCCTACCACTGTCTCCGCCAAAGTCCAAGCCTAGGCCTCCAGAGTGTTGGTCCATCTCGCCAAGCATGTTGAAGACGCTGCCGCGGTTCTCTTCGTTGGTATTGGGACGGCGTATGGTCGCGTCGTCGTCGGCTGTCACAGGGATAGGAGCGTGGTCGGCCTCGTCGAGAACGCGTCCTGTTAGGGCAACGGGTTCTGACTCGGCAATCTCAGCAAGCGAAGGCTTGCCGGAGCGTGCGCTTCTGGTGGACCCCTTGCCGGAACCGTGGCGTGACACGATGGCATCGACATCGATTTCGGGGCGGCCGCGCGAGTTGTTGGAGCCGGAGCGCAGACGGCTGGTCAGGGAGTGATTGGGAGACATGACGTAGCCGCTGGGGGAGTAGCCGCCGAGCCGGGCGTTGTTGTTGAGCCCGACGATGGAGGCGACGGGAGGGATGACGCGAAGGGGGCCGGGGTGGGCTAAGGACTCGTCGACGGACGAGTGAGAGGCGGCGAGATTGGCAGCGAGTATGGAGGAGCGGCGGGAGTCGGAACGCTTCAACTCTCCATGCAAGTCGCGAATGGCGTCCTCGATGGAGCTGGTCATGGACAGGCGCTCGGCCGACTTCTCGAGAGCTGCGACGTTTGTGGTGTAAGCGCCGGAGCGGCAGTTGAGATCGGGGACGGGGTGTTTGAGGGTGAAGGTGCCCGAGTCGGAGACGGTACGGACGATTGGTTGGGCGACAGGACGAACGAAAGTAGATGCCGAGGAGGAGTGGTGATCCTGCTGCTGCTGTTGTTGTTGCAAACTGTCCTGGATCTGGGAGATGAGGCTGCTGTTGGATCGCAGGGACGAGGTAGAGATGTGGCGGGCGAGGGCGGCAGGGGCGGAAAGGACGGTGGACGGCGACCAGGCGGCGAAGGAGTTGGAGGTGGTGGAAGTCGAGGTGGCAGTCGAAGCAGCGGGACTCGTGATGGCGGCAGCAGCAGCAAAGCTCGTATTGTGGCCGCCCGTGTCGGTGGTACTGAAAGGATTGATATTTTTGGTACGCAGGGCCAAGGGGGCCGCAACGGTCATGACCCTGGGCATCGGCTGAATCTCCTGGATGGGCGGGCGCGCTGGCTGGGGGCGCGCTCGCTGAGGGCTCTGGAGGGACGTGCTGGCGCCACCCCTGACGCTACCGCTACCAGCACCCGTGTCCTCATTGCATCCCGTATTCTTATCCTTATCCTTATCGCTCCTCCTATTCCTGTCGGTGGTCGTGTCACTCCCAGCAGACGCACCCGCAACGGCACCCGCAGCGGCAGCGGTACCGGTACTGCGCCTGTCCTCCAGCTCCATTTCCATCGGCTCGTCCTCGTGCGCCCTGCCCATTGCCCTCCCCCTGTTCACCTGCAGCGGATCTAGCCACAGCGGCGTGGACCCGGCATGGCGCTGGCGCGGGCTCCTAGGCGAAATTACGAATGGCGGCACCTCGTCGCTCTCGTCCTCCTTGTACTCTTCTTCATTCCCAACATGCCTCAAATTCCTCGCCTCGGCCTCTGTGCCGTGACCGTCCTTCTTTTGACTTTTCTTCGAGTGCGACCCTGACCGTGGCCAAGATTCCATTTCCGTCGTTGCATCCACCGTGTCGCGTGCACCCGAGACATTTCTTTCTTCGTCTGCCGCTGCCACCATTCTTGTTGTTGCTGGAGTCGTCCCTGTCGCCGCATGCAATGTTTCTTGTTGTAAGCTTAATCCTGAATATGCATCCCTCGACCTCGATCTCGACTTCGTCCTAGTCCTAGGCCCCTCGGTAACAGCGTGCGATGACCCCTTTCCAGAAGCTGCCATTGTCGCCGGCGGTGACGTTGACCTCTGCTGCTCGCGGAACCTCGGGCTGCCTGTCGCCGTCGTTGTCGTCGCCGTCGTCGCCTTGCGACTGCTACCAAAGCTAAGGTCGAAATCGCGATCGGGAAACAGTTCGCTGTCCATGGACAGAGGCGTGAAGCTCTTATCGGCAAGGGACAAGAAGTTGGCAGGACTGGGCGTCGCTGTGGCGGATACGGACGGCTGCGACGACGGGGATGCGAAGTCTTTTGTGTACTCTCGGTCTGCTCCTGCTCCTGTTCCCTTCATCGCTCCCATCCTCTTTTCTGCTCTTGTTTCTGTTCCCATGCCGCCTGCATCTGCGTCGCTGTAGTCTGACCCCATGGACGACGTCGAGGACCTGCGCACCGAGGTGTAGGCTGCGTACGCCATCGCTGTGAGGATTCAAAACGAGTTTTGGGCGCAGCAAAAAAGGTACAACGTGATGCTTATACTATGGCGATGATGGCTGCTGTTTCGCGACTCTCGGTTGCGTCGAGTCTGGGGTGCGTGGTGGGCGGTGACGATGGGACGGCGTTTCTGAGTCGCGGTCCCTGCGTGGGCAAGGCGGTGCGGTGCACCTTGTCCAACGCTGTCGTCTGGAGTGAAGTGAGGGCGGGTTGCTGCGTGGTGTTGCTCAAACGGCGATAATTTGACTGGATGCGCCGACGATGGGATGAGTAGTGGCGCTGGGTTCCTGTAAGCCTGGTGTTTCCTTTCCTCTGCTATGTGGTCTATGATGCGGCCCTGCTATTTGTCCTGTTTGGTGACGCAATACTTTAAATCTTGCGTCTCGCGGTCTCTGTCGATGCTATGGGATTTCTGCCACTGGCTTTCTTCTTTTTGGTCCGTCTTCATCTGCGAATCTGGTGACAGTGACGTAGCACGCGCAACATGGGGCATCTGCTGTAAGTGTCGAGGGTACTCGTTCGTAGCACCCGGTGCCAAAGAAGTTGGTTCGTCGGGAATGCGCCGGTGCAAGGGCGGGCCGCAGGTTTCCAATGTTTCTTCGTCGCTGAAAGGTCGATGGGGGGTGGTACCGGTGGCGCGCCGAGGGGTATAAGCCGAACAAGAGACGAGGAAACAAAATAGTATTATGAAGAGGGCTGGCGAACTTCGAGGCACAGACGGAACACCAGAAGCCCAAGATATCGTCCTGCTACAACCTGCGCCTCCTTTGCAAAAGAGAGATAGAGAGAGTGTGGGAGTATGTAAGAGAGTTGGCAGAGAGAGAAAGATGAGTAAGTTGCGTGTGAGCTGCAACGCAATGTCCGAGGACGAGTGACGACGATGGGGGACGGATGGGATGGACGGATTCGGGGAGGGTGGGAGAGGGTGTGTAGATATTGGGCCTTGCTACGGATACTTTGTGTGCTGTGTATTCCCACAAAGAGCGAGCTGGCTGGGTGTGCAACTGTGGATGAGATGGGACGGGGACACCACACATTCACTCATCCACCTCACTGGACACTCACTCACCCACTCGCTCGCTCACTCTCACACACACACACACACACACACACCAACTGCGGTGGACTGGGGATAGAGGATGGAGAATTCAGAACGGGGATGGATACTGCAAGGCAACGACAGCGGGCGCGCGCGCTGGGCAGGTTCAAGGGTGGACTCTGGGCAGGATATCCCAAGGTCTGGACCACCCACTTCAAGGAACAAGGAACATGGCAGCAACGGGAAACGGAGAGGTGTCAGCCAGGGCTGGCAGATCATGGTTCGTCTCTCTATCTCACTCTCTCTGTCTCTATCTGTCCCTCGAACTCTTCACCCTTCCATTTTAATCCCAGGTAGGAAAGATGGACAGACGCACACGCCCCTCCGTTGAACCCCATGCATGCCCCGAAAGATAAGGTCGGCCAGCCTCTGACTTGGCTCCTTTTTTTTATAAAAAAAAAACAATGTCCGTACTAGGCCACGCGGTGTGATATGATGTACACGTGTAAAAGTAAAGCAGTTAGTTTCCGGGGTTGCAGACAAGTAGAGGAACGGATGGCTATCTCATCAAACGCACGCGCGCACTTCTGGGATCAAGCAAACAAATTGACCGGGGGGTTGGTTGGCAGACACTGACAGAGACGGGAGATGATGGGCAGCTGGCCAACAGGGAACGCGAACAATAAAGTCAGAATCGAGTCCTCTCTCTCTCTCTGTCGCCTTCAGCCGGTCTAGTCTGAAAAGGTCCAGTTTCTAGGCCTGGTCCAATCCGGATTCAGAGCTGTTCACAAATACCTAGTGTATTACTGGGTAGTCAGGGTGTGTCCCCAAATACGAGAAACTCTTGTAATTGAGAAACCCCCAAATACCTACACCGAGCCACTGCTGTATTTCCCGGTGCAATTTTCCATGCTTTTTCTGCCTGCAGCTATTGTCGAAAGCCCCCCATCCGATGGATGTCCCTGTATTTTTCCCTGGTCAAATAGCGACGGGCTAGTATGTAAGCGGCTTTACGAGGTGGAGGTCGTGGGATTGGATGGGAGGATCTGCCCGCCAGTAGTCCATAGGAGTAGTGTACCTGCGTTGCGCTGCGTTTGGTCCCGTGGGGAAGCCAATCTTGAGGATCCATATTCGGTACTCAGTGGCCATTTCCGTAGACAGCATTTGGATGGAGGAACAAAGACGAAGACTGGACGGGAAACAAAGTAATCATAACAACAACCACTTGACGGCACCTCGGCTGCTAAACCTCTCCCCAGGACCCTCCTCAAAGTCTAAACGAGAAGAAGTTCGGGCTAAGAGACGTTGACAGGTGAGCTCCAACAAGGCCAGTCCCTGGAGAACCTTTCCTCGTGCGCAATGCCAAAAGCCTCGTGGTCTGGAGAGTAAAAGTATCCTGACAGCCGACGAGGAGACGTATCAAGAGCTACTATATTTGCATCAAAGTCTCCGTCTTGTCGCAAACTCTGTGATCCGCCGCTCGTCAGAATCTTCTACGTGCACGGTTTGGCTGCTGCTGTGGTGATTCCCTTCCGTCGCCGCCGCTTCCGAATCCATCCTCTCCCTGTCTCTCGGCGTTGCTTGGGAACAAAATGTGTTTGTATTCTGTCCTAAACTGGGTCCCCCCCCCCCCCCGCCTCCCCCCCCCCCCCCCCCCACAACACCCACACTACCCCACCCGCACGCCCCCCACCCCCCCTGTCTGCGGTGTTTGTGGGAAAAAAATTTTTTTTTTTTTTTCCCCAAAGGGGGGCCCCCCCCCCCCCCCCCTTCCAAAAGTCGCGGAAGAAGAAAAGACAGAAGGTTTCCCCCGTCAGGGACACGCAGCAACCAGGCACACGACACGCAACTGAACAGGGATGCCGCCTGGATCACTATCGTCCCCACGACCGCTGACTGGCCTTGTAAGGATGACGATGATGTCGTTCCTGAATCCCCGTTTTCTTTTCTTTTTTCGGTCTTTTTTTTTCTGCGTCCCGCTCGCGCTATTGAAGATGAAGGGTGGAGGGGCCGATGAAAGGCTCAAACCCCCCCGTTGCCTGTAGGGAGGGGGAGGGGAGGTTGTACCTATTGTGCTATTCAATCGGGCTACCGAGTCGAATGGGTTGCTAGACGCGCGGAAATGAGGCGGAAACGTATCATTGTGAAGAGCAAGAAAAGACAAAATCAGAGTTTGTCAAATGAGATGAAGAAGTCAAATGAAAAAGGTTTCGAGTCGATCTCAGAATGATCCAAACGGAAACGGGTCTTTTCACTTTTATTACTTGTAGTCCGTGAAAAAGTCAAATGAGACGAAAAAAATTTACGGCATCAATCCGAAGTAAACCGAGAAGGAAAAAAAAAAGTGGCTTCCCTTTCCATGATTGTTGTTTTGATATCGTGGCTGGTGATCGCAGATGTGAGAGATGAGCTAGCTGCAGCCGGGGGGGTAGCAGTGAGATGAGACGCAATGTGACCGACTTATCAGCACTGTTCGAAGAAAAAAAAAATCCAAGACCGGCGCCAATCGTGGGAAATTAACACCCAAAAGTTGAAGCGATTCTAAACCCTCGAACAAATCAAAAACCTTCACCTCATCTCTTCCTTATCGCAAAAGAGCCCCCGTGGTCGTAGCCCCAAACCCCCCCCCCCCCCCCCCCCCCCCCCCCCCCCCCCCCCCCCCCCCCCCCCCCCCCGCCCCCCCCCCCCCCCCCCCCCCCCCCCCCCGCCCCGCCCCCCCCCCCGCGCCGCCGCGCCACGCCTCCGCCCCCCCACCCCCCCCCGTGCCCGCCGGGGCTTGCGCTTACTTCCTTAGCTCCCCGGCCTGCCATCTCATCCCCAGAGGACCGGCCGACGCCACATGTCACTGTCTATAAACTCTGAGGCTCAGTAAGAATTCAGAGCAAGGGCATGGTATTGTTAACAAGGTCGGATCCGCGGGGGCGGTTCGGAGGGGAATATGCATGCCTGAACAACGCATGCGGATTCAGCCAAGTCCACGTTGGCCTTCAGACGCCAGGCGGCTGTAAGTCTTCCTTATCTCATTTCTGGGCATTTGAGTGTCTCGGCTGTTGAAATTTGGCTTGCTTGCGGCACTTGGGCAAAGTTGCAAAAAGGCCGAGTCGGCAGGTTCCTCCGTAGCATCACGCCCCCGGGGATCTTGGCCTACATCACGACATCGAATATGGAGTGCAAAAAAAAAAAAAAACGGAACCCAGAGGTTTCAAACGTCCCAGAGCTCTCAAGTCTCAAATCAGAGTCCCGTTAGCCGAAAGTCCAAGGAATAGCGGAAATACACACGTTTAATCGGGTCTCACATCTATCTCACTTACTCACTTGCCAACACACCTCCATCAAAGCACCCGCATTCCGCCTCTCCGCAGAACCCGAGAGCCTCCATATCCACCGTCAACCCCCCCGAAACCTCAAACGACGCACCAAGGTGTGGTAAACCAAGCCCCCATTCTCTGCTTGTGGGAATCACCATCTTTCCCGCTTTCCCAGAGATCCCGGCAAGTACAGACAAACCCGACAAGAGTCAAGAAGGGGGGAAATCCGCCGGTGTCGGATGCCATAAAAGCATGGCAGGGGAAACTACGGATTACTTGAAGTGGACAAGAGGCAAGGTCGAACTCGCATACCCGCTCTGGTCCGTGCGTCTGAGCGTCTTCTGGCCCACGCCGCCCACGCTGACAGTCGTCATCTTGCATCGAGGTCTCCAGATTATAGGGTAGGGTTTTCTCGTCCGTCCCTTCGTCCGTCCTGCTCAGTTGGCAATAGTGACAGTAGTCCCGATAAACCATTTGCAGTAGCGTCCCGTCGTCTTCGCGCCAACTGGGCGATATCTCGGCCGTGCTCACCGCGCATCGCTCACCGCAACATCGTAGACCGAGACCGCGATGGTCATGGTTTGGGCTCGTCTCATAGATTTTCAGATCCGGAGTAATCCAATCCCAAAAGTGTCG